TATCGGATAAATACTTGTTTCTTACTATTTCCATGCTACTTTTCTTCTTTTAGACGTCCATACTTGACATGTCATTTTGCTAACGTGTTTGAAATAGACCAGGTCAACAGAGTCACCAACAACCGGCCGCCGCCTACAACGCTGGGTATCAACATCAGCAACAACCATCCGGTGGTCCAATTGCCAACGGTGGCTTTAATAACCAAGCTCCTTATGCCTAAATAACTGTAGTCGCGCGTAGTCTTACTCAAATTGGTCGTCTTTCGCGGATACCCTTCGGCATACCTCTACGATTTGGGTTCTTCGATCTTTCATTGGTTTCTCTTACACTACTGCAAGATACCCTGCTGCATCTAGGATACTTTAATGACGCTTGCTCTCAATTTTCATGGGATTGACAACAACAATGGTGGATGACTCGGCTTTTATGGTTTATGGTTATGGTTTATGGTTATGGTTTCTTTTGAGTTTTACTCAATATTTCCTTTGGTTCACTACTCTACTTTCGGCAATTTGCGACTCTGAAACGTCTCACAATTCGATGAAAAAATTCCAGCGAGCTTTACTTACAAATTACATTGCCTCGATACATACCTTGGCGAAAATGGAAAGGCGTCATGGTTTGGTGCATTATAGTACATCGATCATGATACCACTCTTGCGTGCATGGATGGGGGCCTGGACGGCATTGCTTTTAGGTGTGCGGCGTGATATTCATCTAATTTACTACGTGGTCTTTCTCTGTTTTCGAATCTCTTTCTTTCAAGTACATAGCCGCGACGGAGGATCTTTTACGTTCCTACTCTTCTTTGATTGAACTTACACCGGTATACTGGTGGTATTTCGGGCTTTGGGGAAAAGTTGATGGATGGATCGATGAAATATGTTGTTGCGTGGTTTTTCGTCGGAGGGCATGATATTTATTCTACCTCCTGGTTTGATATCTTCTCAGGAATGACATGGTGCAGCGTTAGCATCGTATAAATATAGTTGCAGTGGTTCATCAGCGAGAAAGCTTTTAGGCATTGGTTGAAGGAATTTACGGGCTGGTTTGAGATGTGGAACGTGTGTCGTCTGTTAGTCAAGATTAAGAGGAATTCATCCATTGCCTTTTATCAAGATATGCATGGTGTTGATTTGTGAATGTGAATGTGAATGTAATGGGGCTAGGCTTGAAACGCTGTGCTATCCATCATAGCTAGAAGTTATGCTTTTCTAACAAGGGAGATGTTCACTGTGAGGTAAAGCGGATATGGACCATTTCCTCACCTAACACCCATCCCTTCTACTTCTTGATATCTAGAAATTTCAACTCCAATTCCAATTCCGGTTTCGGTTTCAACTCATCCCAATCCTAACACATCCTAACCCCTATTCTTATGCTTGCAATATCTCCCTCAAACTAAAATAAAGCGTGGAACATCTCTCGAGTCTCGAGCATATGAAGCTGCTCACTGAGAGTGAGTGTCTTTTGAAAGAATAAGTTTTGAGAATGAAAATCTTTGGAGAGGGGGAGGGAAATTGGGGGTGGGAGTGAAGGGGAAATGAAGGGGGAATGAAGCTATAATATGGGGGTGTGGAGATATGGAAGGAGGTATATAGTCTGTAAGTGAGAAGCGAGAGGTAAGAAGTGGAAAGGGTGCGAGTGGAAAGACGTAGGATCTTTGTGGTTTCTTGGAGGGGGGGGGGGGGGGGGAGATGGGAGATATAAAGGGATGAGATGGGATGCGATTGTACAAGCTTTGTTAGAAGGAGGGAGGGGGGGGGGAGTTTGAGGAGGGAGTGTCAGGGGGGATGTTTTTGGGACGAAGATGTGGATGAAGATGGATTTTATCGCGTGAGCTAGAGTAAGTGATGAATACAATCCGAGAGGGGGAAACTATGAAAAGATGAGCAGGGGGGGGATTGTAGTTCTTGTAGATGGAGAATTGGGATATGGGATATGGGATATGATACAAGTACATGCAGAGAGCGAGGTATCCAGCTACTACGAGGGTAAAGAGTCTACGTACAAAATGTGACGAAATGGGGATGTACAAGTAGAGTTGGTGATTACACATCTATATCTATATGGATGAATACGGGGGGAGGGGTGGAGGGAGGGAGGAAGGAAGGAAGAAAGAAAGGAAGGAAGGGTTGTGTATATACATGTATATAACATACAAGCTTCGATGTGTTAGCATTGGAACTTGGAAGTTAATGATAATCAAGACGGGATATGTTACGGGTAACTATGTAGTGTTGAGGAGTACATGGCTGTTTCGGGGTGCACATCTGCATTGCAGATGGGAAGGACTGGAAGAGCAAATACAGCTTCAGGGGCATCGGTGGGATGTATAAGGTATCATGGTTTATCAAGGACACAGTTTGAAAGAAGGAGCTAGGATATTAGAATGGATTTGATCGGGGTAAGCAAATGGGCAGAGGATGATTATAATACCACCAGTAAGATAACTCGGAGGATAGAAAGTGGTCATGTTATGGCTCATTTGCTCAATTAACTAGCATAATAATTTTGATTAGTCCCTAGAATAAAAGACTTGATACATATAGTATTGATTACTCAATGAAGTATGTAGCACTGTCCAAAAGAACAAAAGGATCATCACTTTCTAACCTTCCTAGCATGCTTGACTAAATTTTCGATAACTCCCTCAAAAGCCTCCCTATCACCTAGCTTTTCATCAGTCCTCATCGTCCAATAGTCTAATACTTCTTTAGCTAAAACTTCCATTTCCTCGAGCTTTTTCACGTGTCCTTTCAACTCATCCATTGTCAACCCTTGTAGAGCCTCTTCTGTAATCTCACACGTTTGACGTGCAGATACTAAGTCTAATTGAGGGGCAGGTGGAGGACCCTTTCGACGTCGACTATCAGAGCGGGAAGGCTTGACGTTGCCTTGTGAGTCAAGGGAAGTAGAAGAAGAGGATTTGATACGATCTATGGAATTGTCGAGAGAGCCAGAGGACGATGGGTGCAAAGATAAAGAAGGGAGGATGAGTTTCTTTTGTGTGGAAGCTGGGAGGATTTCATCCAGAGATACGGGAATACCGAGACTGACGAGGAAGAGACGACGAATACGGGATCGAATCCAATTCGGTGGCTGAAGGGGCGGTGGAGCTACGAGTTGTGACCAGAGTGATGCGGATCGTGGCGTGAGGAATATGGGATTCGGGTTTTCAAGAGGTGGAAGGACTGATATATCAATTGTGTCGGAGGGGAATATATGGTCGAGGTAGGGTTCTGTTGCAGAGCGAATATCCTCAGGGGCATTGAGATCTGTCAGGTCAAAGGTGGGCTGATCAAAATACTTGTGTTAGGACTGAGTGTACTATTGTTGCATACGGAAAGTAGACGACTACTTACAAAAGAAGGAACTACAGGAATTGGTAGAGAAGATTGAGTTACTTCAGGCTCTTGAAATCCATCATCAAAATCACCAAACTCTGCATCTTCCTCTCCTTCCTCAAAATCATCGAAATCATCCCCAAAACCGCCATCGTCTGCATCTTCTCCACCATCTCCACCATGACCATCATCCCCGTCTTCTTCTTCATTATATTCTTCTTCTACGGCTTTGTTCGCTGCCGCCGAAGAGCTTTGACGTCGTAGACTTAAGGACGGGGAGCTAGATTCTAACTCAGTCAATAACTCTGAAGGTGTTTGGAAACCATTGTTATACATACCAGGTACATCAGCGACCTCAACTATGTCGTCCGGTTGAGCATCTTCCTTTCGCAATTCATATGCAGCGGTACCGGGAACTTCGCCATGACTTGGTTCAGAGTCTATCCTCTCAACTACAGTCTTGGGAATTGGTAAGTCCCCTGGTGTACTACCAGCTCTTGATCTCGTTATACCAGTCGTATTAAGAGTATTGGAGCGACTGCGACCAGGAGTTGAGTCTAAGACCAAGTCCGGGACTGCGTCAGCTTTACGCTTTTCATACGCTGGTGTACCCGGGACTTCTCCATGGCTAGGAGTATCGGGGTCTATCTTCTCGACGACGGTGATGGGAATGGGTAAGTCACCGGGAGTTGAAGGTCGTCGAGCTCGTGCGATATCATCAAATTCTGGAGCCATTGCAACTTGATCAGGCTCAGCATCCTCTGCTCTCATATTATATGCTTGTGTGCCTGGAACTTCTCCATAGCTTGGTTCATCGTCGACTTTCTCAATTCGTGTAGTGGGGACAGTGGGTGAGGCTGCGGTGGATGGTTCTAGACCAGAGTGTGCATCTGAAAAATGGTCTTCTGAATCCGAAGATTCAACAGTTTCTAAGGAACAAGAATGTTAGAACAAATCAATTATGTAAACTTCCGAGGGTATGTTCTGCATTAAGACCATTCTATCCTCATCATCGCATAAACAACAGAGAGTGTTGAAACTTAGTTTCGTCGGCCTTACCTGCAAGTTCGTGTGCGCCTGGGTCCTCAATGCTAGTCCTTGTAGGAGGTTCTAGACTTCCGTGGTCTTCCTCAGCCATGATTGATGATACCAGCGAGATACCAGCGATAACCTCGATAGAAAATCTAAATCAATAGAAAAAATGGTCTGGAGGTACGATTATCGTGTTGGCAATGTATACTGAGTAGTGAACGAGAGAAAGTCTAATCCCAAGGGGGAACAATGACAACTGCTCCCTTCTCGGTCAATGATAGCAAGAGCTCCGATCATTCTGTTGTTCACTCGCTTAATTTTTGATTGAGGCGCGATACAGTACCAAAAAGTCGCGCTGGGAAAGGCTAAGAAAGATAAAAGACTTCAATTTCACGCGCTTTGAAATGCGCAAGGCTGATTAAATCAATTCGGTTATTGCAGAAGCTGTACCTCAATTCAATTTAACATTGAAGTATATTATTGCATTGCTGATCATCTCGATTTCTTCACAAATAACCAGCTTCTGATCTGGTATAAACAATCAACAACATCGGAAAATCTTCCTTCCTCGGTTTCGATTCGCATCCCTATTTTCAAAGCTCAATAATAATATCTACAAGATGTCTGGATTTACATTCGGCAACACTGGAAGTACCGGCGGGGGATTGTTTGGTGGGGGAAGTTCTAGCAACCCTCCTAATAGCTCTGGAGCTGGACTATCTGGGGCCGCACCATCATCTCTATTCGGCGCACCAAAACCAGCTGGAGCACAAGCACCGGTCTTTGGAGGAGCAGGAGCATCAACCGCAGGAGCTGCAAAGCCAGCCGCTGGAGGTATCTTTGGCCAAAGCACGGGAAATGCCCCCAATGCCACGTCTTCTTTCAGTTTCGGAAAGCCTGCTGCTAGCACCACACCTACAACTTCAACAGGAGGTGGACTTTTTGGTGGAGGAGGCGCAACTGCAGGTGGAAGTGGAGCCTTTAATTTCGGAGGGCCCAAGCCAGATGGTGCTTCAACGCCAACAACTGAGAATAAACCGGCAACTCCTACGGGGGGTATGTTCTCAGGAATGAACAAGCCAGCAGCAGGAGGTGGTATGTTTGGAGGAGTAGCTTCGAGTACCCCAAGTTTAGGATCAACAACGCCAGCACCAAGCAAGCCTTTCAGTTTCGCATCCACAACCCCTGCAGGACCACCACCTACAAATAATGCACCAGCTGCGAGTACAGGTAACTTGTTTGGTGGAGGTGCTCAATCGCAATCAGCTGGAGGTCTTTTCGGAACACCAAAACCAGCAGCTGCATCACAACCTACACAGACACCCGCTGCACCAGCCCCTACTGGCGGTCTTTTTTCCAGCGACACTCCTGCAGCTGTAGCTCCTACTAGCAACTTGTTTGGTGGTGGTGCTGCTGCAAAACCTTCTGCTCCTAGTGGTAACATGTTTGGTGGAAATAAGCCTGCTGCTTCGGCAGCTCCCCCTGCCAGCTCGACACCTGCGGCGACTACAGAAGCTGCTAAGCCAGCCCCATCTTTCAGCTTCCCTTCTGCTACTCCAGCAGCTAGCACCCCTGGAACACAGGCTTCTACTACTCCCGCTCCCGCAGCTTCTGCTACCAGCAGTCTGTTTGGAAAACCAAATCCAGCTACATCTACACCCGCACCATCTGCATCTGCCCCAGCGCAAGCACCATCGCTTTTTGGAAACGCTGCTTCGACTAGTGCCGCAACCACTTCCACTCCTGTACCAGCTGCTACAACATCAAGTTTGTTTGGCGCAGCTAAATCATCAACTCCCGGTACTTCTGGCCCAACCAACAGCAGCACTTCTGCCCCTGCTTCAGCGACCACAAATGCTGGCTCTGCAAATCTAGATCAACGAGCCGGAGCAACTGCTGGCTCTGGGGCTGCAGGAAATACAGCATCTCTAGGAGCTTCTACGGCTGGCCCAAGACCAGAATTATCTCGTCTTAAGAACAAAACTATGGATGAAATCATCACCCGATGGGCATCTGATTTGGCGAAATACCAGAAGGAATTCCAAGAACAAGCAACCAAGGTAGCTCAGTGGGATCGCCTTTTGGTTGAGAATGGAGATAAGATTCAAAAATTATACAATACTACCTTTGAGGCCGAACGATCAAGCGCAGAAGTCGAACGACAACTAGCAACGGTGGAAGGCCAGCAAGCCGAACTCGAACAGTGGCTCGATCGCTATGAACAGGAGGTTGACGACATGTTCAAAAATACAGCTGTCGAAACACTACAAGGGCCAGATCAGGAGCGTGAGAGAACCTACAAGATGGCGGAGAAATTGGCGGATAAACTTGATGAAATGGGCAAAGATCTTTCTACTATGATTGAAGCTATGAATGAGGCATCTGCTACTTTGAACAAGAGCACCAAGTCTGATGATCCAGTAAGTTACTCCAATCTATATATCAGATTTATAAAGAATTCCACCAATCAAATGTGCCTACAGCTTTCCCATATTGTTCGAGTCCTTAATTCACATCTTATGCAATTACAATGGATTGATCAGAATGCCAAAACACTACAAGAGAAAGTTGAGGCGGCGCACAAATTGGGACAAAGTATGAGTGCAAATGGTCTTGGTGGAGCGGAAGGTGATGCTGCAGATCACTTCTATAGATCTTTTATGGGAAGAAGATGAACGGTCGAGAACGAAGGATAGAGCTTGATAAAGCAGGTAAAATGGAGGCCGACAAGTTTGTACTGGCGTGCTGAATGGTTGTTCTGGGCGTTTTGATTTGGCAGGAATTACATTTGCAAATTCATGCATGGATGGTCTACTTTGAGGGGAGCATATGTGGATAATGAACATGGAAGACTGAATACTGCAAGCCTTCAATAAATGATTGAGGAGAGAGATACAAAAGGATTCATATATCCAAAGTAGGCGAATACGTAGATGTACGAAACGGGGCAGAAGTGTTCTAGCGAGCAATTTTGTGTATAATAGATAGCATGAAGCAAGAGAGAATAGAGACTGATCAAGCTCATAACCAATTTCGTTCCATTGAAATGGGATCAACTTGGCTTGACACACATGGAAATTTTGCAACCACAACGTGGACAGGCAATGGTCGTATCATACAATCAAAAATTTCACCGACTATAAACGACCATAATTTCATCACAATCCTGATATCATATCTCATTTTGTTCAGTCTTGCTCAACTTAAACAAACGGCCCCCTTTCCACCTTCCCCCACGCTCATCCACTCATGTAGCTTTTTTTATATTTTTGCAAATTTTCAGGTTGATTTAGCTGGTAATGAACCAAAGTATTTAGTATTTTCTTCTTTCTTAAATTCTGCAAAGCGAGAAAAAGATAAGAGAAACAGGGGGATGAGAATTAAAAGACTTGATTGCATTCAGAGAAGAGAGGAATCCATCGATGGAAAACAATACTTCTCAAATTCTGACTATGGATATATGGATTTATGGACGAAAGCTCGAAGTGTTTTTCTAAAAGTATGTGTATACTTACTTCTGCTCGCCACCAGATTGCTTCTCAATTTCGGAACTGGAGAAGGGAGGTTAGCTTGAGCGGATTAAGTGAGGGGGCAGAGAGGAAGTAGAGGATGGTACGAGGTAAAACGGGCATTCTTACATGTGGTCCTCGAGTTTCTTTAAGTGATCACGTTGTTCGGTAATTTTCTTCCTCAACTCCAAGAGTTTCTCATTCTCACGTTGACGGATGGTGTAATCCTCATTAGCCTTTTCGCGTTTGGTAAAGGCATCTCTGGGGAAAAGGTTGTTAGTTCTGTAGCTGCAGATGCGGATGGGAGCTTACCCTTTCCTTTGCGCAACTCAATATCGCGAGGATAGTAAAGTAGTAGCATTGGAAGGGATGGAAAACTTACTGCTGGCCGCCAAATCTGGCAGCGCCGGTGTCTCCCTCGCCCATAGTGCGTGCTGATACAGTGAATGCTCTAGCAGCTGGGATGGATGTGCGGACTGCGGGTCGCATGGCAGAGTTGATTGCAAGACGATACATGATGATGATTATATTTAAGTATTTTTTTCTCGTGATGGTATTTCGAAGGTAGAAGGACGACAGATGTATTTGAGGGGTTGTTCAATTGGTGGTATGATTGTTTATGAAATGATTTGCTGGATGATGCCGGAGTAGCTTGCGGGCGGCTGGAAGCTTGGATAGAAACTCGTGGACGTGAAAGACGTAATTGTGCCTTGAAATCGAGGTTGCGAGGGGAAAGATCAGTTCATCGTCATGATCAGCTGTTTTGAATGGGGAATCATGGCTGCTTTGAAGGTATGTGGGGGTGAATGTGCGCAGAACGAGTGCTTAATCACCCAAGAATAAACTGAGGACAACTAAAGTGGCATGAACGTGTCTGCTTGTCGCTAGGTAATCAAAAGTCTCCAGCTACTTTGTATATCAATCTCATATGACGAACTACCTACTCTTGTTAGAGACGGCAAAGTTTAAACTTGAAGGACTCGGATACTGCTTTACTCGACTGTTGATTACTATTGTGATGATTACCTACCTACCGGGCTACAGTGGACTCGTGTTATGAATCACTCCGTACTCTAATGATGCTACTCTGCCCCACTACCTACCTAGGTAGCATTCCTAGAAATTCATATTCATAACTCATACCTATCTGTAAGTACCTAGTAGGATTTAGGTATATCTGACTCTGACAGAAATCACGTGGGTTGTGGTTATTGATTGAAGAACAGAACATACTCGGTGTCGAAGACAACATCTACTCAAGCCCACTTGACTATGTAGTACTCTATGGATGATTTACCGATATTGAAACAGCTACAAGTTGTGCTCTTGTGCTTGTGCTTGTGAACGGTCTAACACCAAACACAACGCAGCGGTAATACAGTACTAATAATAAATGCCATTCCAGATTCCAGAAACCAAGGCAGAACAGAATGTCTATGCTTTTAGACCTCATTTATTAGCACTGCCACAATCGCAGAAACTCAGTTCACATTACTTGGAAAGGAAGGAAAGGAAGGAAAGGAAGGAAAGGAAGGAAAGGAAGGAAAGGAAGGAATGGAAAAGGAAAGGAAAGGAAAGGAAAGGAAAGGAAAGGGTTAAGGGATGGAAACAGAAACAGAAACAGAAACGCCCAACACCTCAAGAAAATGACCAAAAAGCCTTCCATCTTCGGATCAATTTAAAATTCGTGACAATGCAAATCTGGGTCAAGGTCAAATCATGTTACATTCATGCAACGGATAACCACTTTTAACGAACTGAATTTACCATTAACCAAGATTGGTCCAATGCAGCCACATGAACCAGGCATTTACAGAGTATTCATCAGCCCTGTTGAACTGCATGGAAATCATCTCGAACCGAATATCTCTGACTCTTATACTTGGGCTGGGTTGGGTGGCCTCGTTGGCTCACTAACAGTGGAGATGTGAAAGTATATAGGTACATATCAAGACTTCTCATACATATGGTAGTATTGGCATTCGTGTCTCGTGTCTCTCTCTGCCTCTGAGGTCTTGCTTATAGAAGACGATTATAAAGACAATAAAAAGGGGGATCTTGAGATGCCCCATGTACGAAGATCGTTCAACGCTCAGTGTTCTTATATTGGAAAGAGAGTTGTCTAATTCGATTCAACTCAAGTGTCTAGATACCCCGAAACCCACATAATATAACGCATGAACAACAGTCAAAAGAAAAGAATCTCAACCATTTTGCCCATACATACAGTAGATGAATTAATTCACTTAAGAAGTTGATTTCTGATATAATCTGTCCCAATGAACTCTTTCCCCTCTCCCCCTCAAAAAGGAATTAATAAATTGAATTTATATCATTCGAGTAATTTTACAGAATAATACATAAAACACTGAGCCCCTTTTACGATCTCGAGGTTATCCGTTCACATTCGTTCATTCATTCCCTTTACCTCGCAGATCGCTTCCCATCTTCTAAAAGTGGCACTAGTGCGTCCTTCCAGCAACTTCCTCACGGCCTACGGTACCTACCACTTTCTCTAATCGAGAAAACCATCCCAAGAATCAAAACCAACACACAAACACACTTCCCACGTCGCATAACATCCTACGTTTCTCTTCCTATTTCAGTTTGTGAGATCTCTTTCCTAAAGACTTAAAATAATATCATAAAAAGATACTCAGGTAAGATCTTCATTTCCCCTCAAAGCCTTTGGACCCCGTCATCTGTTTTCTCCCTCCGCCCTGCCCAATATCTCCATCTTCCAACGCCATCAACAAACAATCAGTATGCGTTGCATCACACTGTCCTTGTTTACTCGACTCGAAGGATAGACTTTTCCATTCATTTGCAAATCACCATTCATTCAACGACTCTTCGCCTTTCACCATTGCCCCTCCGGAAGACTGAGGGGTACTTGTTGTTTTTGCCTTCAGCAAATCAACTCCTGAGTTCATCATACGTAGTAAAGCTGCATCGATTGGCGTGTTCTCCCTCGCAGATGGAAAATTGGCGCATGCAGAAGTGGTTGGGCCAAATATCGGTGACAGCCCAGTCACATCAAACACTAGCCCAGTCGCAATTGTCTATTGAATTTCGGCCACTTTAACAACAAAAAACACAACCTTTAGTTTTGAGCAAACGATAACTAACAAATCTATTTTAACAGATCTACAAATCGCAGTCATGGGTTACGAAGATTCCGTCTATCTCGCCAAGCTCGCTGAGCAGGCTGAGCGATATGAAGGTATGCAGATTTACAGTATTTGATCAAAGCGTATGAATACTAACGGTAGGAATAGAGATGGTCGAGAACATGAAGTCCGTCGCCTCTGAAGACCAAGAACTCTCCGTCGAGGAGCGTAATCTTTTGTCTGTTGCATACAAAAACGTCATTGGTGCTCGCCGTGCATCATGGAGAATCGTCACTTCCATTGAGCAAAAGGAGGAGTCAAAAGGCAACTCATCCCAGGTTACTCTCATCAAGGAGTACCGTCAAAAGATTGAAGCAGAACTTGCCAAGATCTGCGAAGATATCCTCGAGGTTTTGGACAAACACTTGATTCCTTCTGCCAAGAGCGGTGAATCCAAGGTCTTCTACCACAAGATGTATGTAACTTGTCTTTTGAAGAACAAATTTCATTTAAAATCTCTGACTAATCATATTACAGGAAGGGTGATTACCACCGTTATCTCGCTGAGTTCGCCATTGGTGACAAGCGAAAGGAGTCTGCCGACAAGTCTCTTGAGGCTTACAAGAATGCAACCGAAGTTGCCCAAACTGACCTTGCACCAACTCACCCAATCCGTCTTGGTCTTGCCCTCAACTTCTCCGTTTTCTACTACGAGATCTTGAACTCCCCAGATCAAGCTTGCCATCTTGCCAAGCAAGCCTTCGATGATGCCATTGCTGGTAAGTCTCATTGTAGCAACAACACATACAAGTAATCTAATCGTTATTTAGAACTCGATACCCTTAGTGAGGAGAGCTACAAGGACTCCACATTGATCATGCAACTCTTGAGAGACAACTTGGTACGTAAACCTATTCTCGCGGCGCATCGTGATTGCTAGTTCTATTACTAACAGTATGAACCAATTTAGACCCTCTGGACTTCATCAGAGGCCGAGCCAGCCACCCAAGAGTCCGCTGCCGCACCTGCTGAGGCCAAGGAAGCCGAGGCCGCTGCATCAGCTGAGGAGAAGCCAGCTGCTGAATAGAGAATCATCGGATATGGCGTTGATGTTTGGTCGAATGGGCGTACGAGCGATGGAGGTTACGATTGGGTTTTGCATGTTTCGGCAGACGAGATGAGCAGAGGGCGAGCTTCATGAAGAGCTTTTGGGGGGTTTCACTCGCAACTTGCTTGCCTTTAGACTCTTTAATGCATCAAACCATACTGTACTTTCCCTTCCACACATCCTTTCGCTACTTTGCGAATGTCTCGATCGCCCAATATCTCTTTTCCTTTTTCCACTTTTTTGTTAAAGACCACTTCCACATGTCATTTCCCGGTTGTTGATAGGTTACGGCCTGGCACTTTTTTTATCAAATCGATTAGACTAAAAAAAAAAGTAGCAAATCCATAAAACCAGTACAAAAAGTCGATGATAGAATAAAGAAATGTGAAACAAATTGCATGTGAGTTCGCATGCATGAACAACTAAACTTCAGAAGATCTACCGTTGACGGTGAGTTGGTGGCCATGTTCGGAAATTCTCGTTTACTAGTGAAAGGGCTGGGGATTTATACATGGCTTGGAAGTATGTGGTTCGCATGTATCTCTGGAGGCGAATAATATTTTTTAAGCTCGCTTGACTGACGGGCTGGTGGCGTGTAGTAGTAAAATGATGTTGGGATCGGACTTGAAGTAGGATTCGAATGGAAGGACGTGTTCTGCGGGGTGTAGATGGATGGGTATATATTGACGGGCAGTGCATGGGATACGGAAAGGGGAAGATATGTCTGCTGTTTGCTGATTTGGCAGTTTGTTGTGATGGAGGATTGTATAGTGATTTCTTTGGGAGAGGGAGGATAATCCTTGGGTTATGGTTGTGGGGACAAGGGTGTGGAATTGAGAATGGAGCGGGGGTGAAAGGGGAAGAGTGAAGAGGGAGGGTTTATGGGTAGAGTGGTGGGTTGAGTGGGAGTCTGAGTGCTGGTTATTGGGTACTTGGAGTTGGTATGGTGGGAGGATGGGAATATGGAATGGGGAGTGGACGGGTCTGTAATACTTGGCATGAGAGGATGGTAGGTGGTTTGAAGGAGAAATGGAGAGGAGGAGGAAATGAGATTGCTGGGTAGGGTGGAAAGGAAATGTCTCTGGGGGGAAGCTGAAGAGAAGGAGTGTAGGTGGGTAATTGGAGAATAATCTGCTGGCGGAATTCGAGTGTTTGGAGGGAAATAGCTGAACTTTGTCGGACGTAGATTCATCCGCTGTTGAGCTCTGAATAAGTATGGATGCGATGTGAATGTTAATGTATATGACGAGAGAAAACATACGAAGAGTGGTTTGAGAGACAGTAAGATATTGAGATGACGTTCTATCTAACGCCAGGCATCGAGGGCTATTATGGAAGATTCACATGTCGTTAGAGGTTTCTATTAGGTTGTATTGATAGACCTAGAATGCGTTGAAGGGCGTCTGGTTGGCCAAATGAACGACGTCATAAGCTGTAGTAGGGGATCTTACATACGGATCAGGAATCTGATAGACATTTAGATGTGTTTCCTCGTAGCCGAAATAAACCAAACAGACATTTGCCGGAAGAATATAATACGTGGTATCTCGTTGGCTGTTTATAACCATCTCTAAGAAGTTAATTCGACCATCCTGCCATGTACAGCCAATCCGACTCTTGAACCCTTTCTAAGACCCTGAAGCACGGGTGGAATCTTACTTGCATGCATCAATACCTTGGATGTCCGTGGTACGGAGAACCTCTTCCGGTTGGCTTGGTGCATGGATCCTGTACGAAATTTCTTGGGGAGTGTGGGCAGGTGAGAGTCAGTGGAGGGGGAAGGAGGGTATATAATGGCGTAGTAATACTTCGAAGAGAGTCTGATGATTGGAGGTGGAACATGGTTCACTGCATTGGGGGGCTCGCTTAGACGATTGAAATGCATAGATTTATTAAATTTATAACTACTTGTCTCTTGGTGAAGGGGACTTGAAGATCGGAAGAGCTTTCTAGATGTTGGCGATTGTTTGAATTCTCTCTGAACATGCTTTAAGGTTTGGTGGAGGGTTGTTGGATGGTTGATGGGCTTGAATCATTGGTTGATTATTTATGTCTACACAGACTTCTTGCCCATGTCTGGTCTTGAATAGTACAGAGTCTTCACGGCCAAGAAGAAACGAGCCATCCGGGGTCACACTTCACATGGCATAATGATATAGATATGTGTTCCTGTTGTGATTGAATACAGCATCTAACTGTTAATCTAGAAGAATAGAGAATTGTTGACGGAAAGGTTTATTTCGTGTCGAGATCCAAGGGAAATCCCTTTACTATACTTTTCACAAGCAAGCATAAACGTGGAGCGTGGGGGGTAGGATCGAAAAGGTCACACACACACACACACACACAACGCTATTATTCTGTATTCATAGTCACCTTGTCTCAAGAGGAAAGTGAGATGTGAATGGTCCAGCTGATGTTGAGGGTAGTGTTAGCCGATGATTGCTTTCCGCGCTTGCCTCGAAATGCAATACTCGTGGTGTTGAAGACGATAATCTATGGAGAGAGTTATTTTGTGACATTCTTCCAAAGTATCTCCTCTCCTCCTTCAAGTCAAGCAAAGGCTTCTTTAGGAAGATAAATGTACATATCTACGTAACAGATTTTGTATTATATCGCGAGCACGAATCGGTAATATCCCACCTTCACCATTCTAGTGGTCGGTTTTGCAGTAGCTTCAATGATCCGTAGTATCGCCTATAACATTAGAGAAATCCAAAACGACTACGACCTGCCCTGCTTGCCCATCATTGAGTTTGGAAAAAAGTACGAACGAGTAGAAATAACTTTTTGATATTTTGATATTAATATTTGTTTTTTCTACTTCTAAAGCACTCGTTTACTTAACCACCTGCCCAATGGAAGACAGTTTGCACGGTCTCATTACATAAATAACAAAGTCACTTCCCTGTGCTCCCCCAAGTATTGGTGCGATAAGAAGTGGGTGTGCTAGTTGAACTCCCCAAAAAAAAACGAGAAGAGCCCCCCAAGTGGGAAGAAACGATCCATCTTAATTAGTACGGGGTTTCAACGACGACCGAATGAACTAGCTGGTCCATTCTACGAGGTCGAGGTCGAGGTCGAGATCGATATTCTTTTGGCCAACACAGAATTGTTAGACAATATTCACATTGCTGTCGTCTGTCTCTTTTTGATTACTCGAGAGAAAATTTACATTGAAAAGCGATTGCGCCTAGAAAGCCATTAGCCATCAACCAATCCCCCGTTCCCCAACTTGCTCACTGTCGAACCGAAAGCTCAAGTCCTGCTTGTGAACTTTCCGACCTTGATTACTACGACAGATCTCGCCAAATGGAGTGATATAGGTGATCAACACAACTCGCACTCTCATCTGATCAGATTTCAATAGTCCGCGCACGGCGCATATACCGTTCTCATCTCACCAGGACCCCTCAGTTTGCGATCATTTATTGTACAACCACAACGCATTTGTGCACAAAATTGGCGGAATTTATTGATTGATCATAATCGCAATCATGGACACTTCTGGGGTTTGGGATGCTCAGGATCCTACTTTATCCGTTCCTTCGCAAGATGACTTTCAACAATTCCTTGACTTGAACATGCACAACATGGCCGATACCCTTCAGTTCGACTTCAATTTCAACCAGCACCAATCGCAAAGTCAACAGATGTTACATCAAGATGGGATGAATTCAATGAATTCGGGGATGAGTGGCAACCATCAGATGGGGCATGATGGAACGATGCAAGAACATATGCCTTCGATGACTACCGCTTCTACCCATCCGGCCATACTCGGAACTCCTATCGTACAACCACATACTTCTACAGAGAGTTTGACAGACCTGGACGCGCAAATCCAATATTTACAACAGCAGAAGCGTGAGCATCAGCTACGGCAATCACAGGAACAACAGCGGAACTTTTATGCCCAGAGTAGAATTATTCCACCCACACCGAATAGTATAGAAATGCATGGTGTCAATCAACATTTCTATACTCCAGCAGAGCATCTGCCATCTGTATATGAGCCCTATCGCCTGAGGGAGCAAGAGGTTAGTCAAATTGGTTATACTTTCGCGTACTTATTTAATGGTTCCACAATTCAATAAGCATATAAGAATGAGATGCTAATAAAACTAATTAGATGGCATTTACTCCGCTCGTGTCACCAGCTGTTACTCCCCTAGAAACTCAATTCAATATCCCTGATTATACCGTCCCCGGAGCTTATTTTAGTCCTTTGAGCTCCCCAGCTTTACACGCCCAAAATGACCATCAAGTTATGTTCGACCATCGTCATTCGGGGTCAAATGATTCTTCAATTGACATGAATGGCGATTCACATTCTGCGTCAGTGAGCTCTATAATTCCGGCTCGGAAGCCTACCCGAAAGTCTGTTGCACCAAAGCCTCGGGTGAACACTCGTGTAGTTCGGCAATCGCCAATTGTCAAGCCAAGTCGGGGTAGGAAAAGCTTAAGTATGAGTGCTCAGGCGCTAGGAGAAATTATTGAGCCATTGAGTTCGCAAATGTCTCATTCTAAAGGAACTGGATCAACGAACTCAGCAGCAAGCACCGACCATTCTGAAAATGGCTCTATATCTCCTGAACACCTATCGGATATGGCGCCTCCACCGTTACCGAGCTCGGCTGGAAGATCACCCTATGTCGTAGCACAAAAGGACAATGCCAAGAATAAGTGGATTCCCCTTGGATCACCAGCTACGCCAGCTTCGCTGATGAGAATCACAAAATCGCCTACTGCTATTGAGTCGGGACTGAGCCAGGAAATGGAACTTGATGATCCTGTTTTGGACGGGTTCGCGTTGCCAGAAGCTGCCAATACCACTATAAAACCTACATTGTCTCGTATCGATACACAATCCGATGGACAAATGACACCAACGTTGAGCTCAACAGGATCCAAAACTCCTGGATTCAAACCTCTGTCGTCGCCAGTAGTCGCACTTCCTGGAGCAGCATCATCTTCCAGTCAAAGTCCCCAGATAGATGCCATGAATAGTGCAAAGAGTGCCACACGCAAGACGCCACAAATGCTAGCACGAGGTGCTAAGAAGAGGGCAAGCAATTCCGTCCTTGCTTCACCGGCTCTTCTTCCCAAGATATCACCTAGCATCAAACCATTACTCCCTGGTGGTTCATCCATGCACGACGACGCCACTGCCTCCCTTCTACTTGCGTCGAAGTCAAACTATCAAAACATACTTGAAGGAACTCATCTTCCTGGCGTTTCGTATCCTTCGGAACTATCCACTAATTTAACATCGAAACGTACTTCTCATAAACTCGCCGAACAAGGAAGACGAAACCGGATCAATTTAGCACTTACAACATTACATGATATGATACCATCCGAATATTACCCTCGAGGAAAACCCAAAGATGCTACGGGAGACAAGAGTGGAAGTGGTGATGGTGGTGAGAACGAGTCCGCAAGTTCTAAGGGTGGGCAGAGTGCAAATAGTAAAGCTGCTACAGTCGAAGTCGCCATTGAGTATATCAGTCACTTGGAAAAGGTTTTGGCTGAGGCCAACAAAAGAGCAGAGGAAGCGGAACAGAAACTTGTGGAGAAAGAAATTTTATAATAATGGGTTTGGAGTAGTTGTTTCTCAGTAGCAGTTTTTTTCTGGGAGGCAAAATTACAGGTTCATGGATTGTTGAGCGGAGTTATTGATACCTGGATACGAAGCTTCTGATTTCACGGCTGAATATGTTCCAGTGCATTCTAGGCGTCGAGGTTTCTTCTGGGAATGACTGGGTCTGGGGTACATAAAAGTTTAATTGCGAGACAACAATATTGGGGGAAATCGGCGGGAAAGCTACGTGATATAGGTCTATCACTTAGCGTTTTCCATATGGTGCATTTGATACACATCAATACGATCAGACGCTAGATGACAGTTACCTGTGTTATATTCTCGGCTGTGAGGTTGTGATAATGGGTGGAGTGAGTAATGGGTAATTGTAGATATATATTTAATTTTTATAGAATAAAGGTATCTTCTTGAACACAATCATGATGTTTTGCTGCTTTGTTGAGATTTTGAAAAAGGGTCTGGGTATAAGAAGAGACTTGTGGTTTGGTAGGCTGTCTGTGGTGTAGGGTTTCATGGTTTCGTTGGATGGGTAGAAATTGAATACTCGCTACTTTTGATGTGAATGAAGGGGCCCATGTAGGTAATTTGCTTGAATGTTTATTTTGCTATATATGACAAGAGAGTGGTAGCAGCACCTGCTTCGATATCTCTCGAGCATGTATGTATAGACATATGTATTAATTTAAGATCCACATGATGTATGTCCCCCATGATTTTGATTGTACACCCTTGACAAAATCACATCGTCAGAAATAGCTGCATTGAATTCGTCCTGTCGTGGAACAAATCAATGGATGAATATCCGGCGCATGTGCATTAACTAAGTGCTTGAGACGCGATTTTCGAGCCACTGAAGGATATGTCGACTCTCCTCTTCTTCTTACTCTCCATTCTCCATTCTTTAGTTTCCTTCCCCTTTTGTCACTCTGCATCTTGTCTTCCTGGAACACCATCTGGGAACTACCAAGTCATGAAGAGAAGGGATCTGAGATATCTGTGTATGCGATTGAACTCGCGACCCATCAAGAATCAACTTGTGCCTTGGACTCCCCACTCTCCAGAACATCGACGTCTAATTCCTCCATGACGCCCAAGACGACGGATACGCTCTCCATGAACCCGTTGACGGCCACGCGCAATATGCGGTTGGTGGTTGCGCGGTAGGAGGTGCGGAGGATGGATTTGGGTGCCGAGGAGGAGTCTGGAGATGGGGACACGAGGGAGAAGGTGCGGCGCACGAGGGGAGAGAGCTCGGCGTCGACGGAGAGGGCTGAGAGGGCGGCGGATGCGAGACGGGGGGTCAGGAGGGGAATGTCGAGGGTTCTGTTTGTGGGAGGGATTAGGGTTGTGGGGTTTTGGGGGAGGGGGAGATGGGAGATGGGAGATGGGATTGAGAAGGAGGGGGGTAACTTACAGTGTACAGGGGAATTCTAGTTCGGTGGTCATGGTTGTTGTTGTTGATGTTTGATGTTTGAGGTGAAATTGGTGGATGGTATATTGTCGATTGTGTATGAATGGGGGGGGGGGTCAAAAAGTGCTGCGTATAGCATTGGTTATTAATTTGGAGGGGAATGGAGGTTTAAGTGCAAGGATTAGGTAGTTTATCAAGTTCAAGTAGTAAAGTAACCGAGTGACAGAATTATTGAGATATCCTGTATGTATGTACCTGTATGAAACACTTAAGAATCAATATCAATATTAGTATAATTAGTATTAGGATTAAATCTATATATCATTCTTAGGATTTGAGGGTTTTAAAATGTTCAATATGAGAGACTGAGATAGAGATTGAGATATACAGTTGGGTCATTTCAAGGAAATCAAAATGTCTAGAGGAATTTGTTTTGATTTTTTTAGCATAGACCCTGTTCTTTTTGGATGATGTGTTTTGGCGGTGGTAGGGACGGGATAGGAAAAGGAGGGATGAGAGATAGCAGGGATGTGGAAAAGTTTGGAGGGGAGGTTGGTTTGAACTTTTGAAGAGAGGGAAGTTTGTTTCCTTGATACGTGATGTGAGTACTGGTATGTCACGCGATGTTGAGAAAAATGAAGGGGAAAGCAAAAACGCCTATCTGGTTTTGTAGAGAAAGGCTTGAGATTGAGACAAATAGATTCTTCAATGGTTGATTCTGTTTAGGTGTCTGATAGATAGGTATATCTAGAGAGAGAGAGAGAGGTAGGTCAGTAGATAAGTAGTAGAATGTGGTATTAGATCAGATCAAATCCAATCATAACCCTCGGGAAAAAAAAAGAAAGCGAAGATATACTCGGTACCTGACAAGCGATTCATGTTTACCAGCCATATAATAAACAAAACAAATTATTTATTTACATGCGTTCTGGCCCTTATATCCACCTATCCATATATCCATCCATCCCATCATCATAATAATAATAAGTTGTTTTGGAATCCTGACCACCCACCAACCTCCAACCCTGTTCATGTTGCTGGTCAATCCTCGTTGCCCGGTCAGAATAATTACTATAAACAGACTAGTAAATTGTTATTGATCATTAACATTCACCATACATACAAATCCATAAGAATTCCTAACAATTATTTTGGAAATCCTTCTTCTACTTAAACTTTTCCCTTCGAATTGTCATTGAGATTTCTGATTTCCTTCGTCTTTTTTTATGAATAGGAAAGATCTCTTTGATTTATTCCGTCGTCGTTAAAAAAATCTTATACACATCAGCTCTTGCGCGGGAGTGTTTACTTGTTTTTATTGGGGAAGTCAACAACAACAATATAAACTTTGCGCCTATCGTACCAAGTACCATCTCACCATCTCACCATCTTAATCTCGAGTATTCACCACCACCATCGCACTTGCCTACGATACCAACATTCCTCTCCTTACTTTGTATCTACACACTCGAGCTTCGCGACTGCCAGAATAGCTTGGTGCCTTTGCGTGCCTGATTCCACGATGCCTCCTTCCTCTCAATTGAAGTACGGGCAAATCATCGAGTACATCCCAGGTATGTTACTTTATCTACAATATCATCAAAACATCATTCACTGTGCGACTCGACCCATTGAATATCTTCGGCTCAGTATCATTATATTATTGATATCATGCATCCAATGGACTACAATTCTATGCTCGAGTGGGCAACATTGCTACCCAATGATAAATATACTGGCGCCCGCGCAAAGAAGGGTCCAAAAGAAGCTCGAGAAGAGGATAGACCGTTCCACTGGCTAACATACACAGACCGATTGTATTTGGCATCTTACACTACACCTCCCTCACCCGATACTCTCTTCCCGTACCCTGAGCAACAGAGCTCTCGACGATCTCCGACAAAGCGGTCAGCCAGAGCTGCAGATGGTCCTTCGGTCGTTTCAGACAAGAGAGAAGCACCTCATTATTTCTCCGTCGACGATACCCTCCTCTACAATGCCTTTCACCATGACTTTGGACCATTACACATTGGACATCTCTACAGGTTCGCGGTGCAATTCCACGACATCCTTGGCGCCCCAGAAAATAAGAACAAACCTGTCGTGTTTTGGAGTAAAGCGGATGCGCGTAGTAAGCTACTGTTTCATAAAAGTTTGCTGGTTGAAAAAAACTAATCGAGTGACTTAGGTCGAGCCAACGCTGCATGCCTCCTAGCCACGTATATGGTCTTGATCCAATCATGGGCACCACATCTCGCGCTTGCGCCAATCGCTCAAGCAGACCCGCCTTTGATGCCTTTCCGCGATGCAGGATACAGTCAAGCAGATTATGGCATTACAGTTCAAGACGTTGTGTATGGTGTCTGGCGCGCAAAGGAACAAGGGTTCTGCGCTTTGCCGCAATTCGATCTCGAGGAGTATGAAAGATATGAGCGCGTGGACCAGGGTGATTTCAATTGGTTGACCCCCGACTTCCTTGCATTTGCTTCCCCACAACATCACCCAGTGCAACCAATACTTCCTTCTTCTCCACTGTATGCGAGTTTGCCAACAACATTGGAAGACGTGGATACCCACCCAACTTTACCCACACCTTTCAAAAATGTTCTGAAGCATTTCACATCACGAAACATTGGCTTAGTGGTTCGTTTGAACTCGGAGTTATACTCTCCATCTTTTTTCACGGCGCTGGGTATTGAACATTTGGACATGATCTTTGATGATGGCACGTGTCCACCACTTAGCGTTGTCCGAAAGTTCATTACTTTGGCACATGAGATGATTACTGTTCAGAAGAGGGGTATTGCTGTGCATTGCAAAGCTGGACTTGGACGAACTGGATGTTTGATTGGAGCATATTTGATCTACCGGTACGGATTCACTGCCAACGAGATCATTGCGTACATGCGCTTCATGAGACCGGGAATGGTGGTTGGTCCTCAACAGCATTGGCTTCATCTCAACCAAGGAACTTTTCGAGAGTGGTGGATTGAAGAGCAATTTGAGATCAGAATGAAGGAGAAGCTCGCCAATATGGCTCCAGTCACCCCAAGAAAGGGACACTTCACAACTAAGAGTCAAGTCGTTACTCCTCCAAATGGCAACCAAAGAACTCCACTTGGTGAAGTAGACAACGAGAGAAGTCATAGCATTGGAGCTCAGGAGGATTACTTGCCGGCACCAACTCCAGGTCAACCAAGAAAGACAGGCAGAGCTGATCGACACCACCCATATGGGCGTCATGCTTCGGCGTACTCCGAAGATGATAGCACACATCGTGAAACGGAAGTCATCTCAATTCATCGGTCATCGACTGATACCACTGAATCTGAAGAGGAATGGCAACTCCGCATGCGTACCCGTAAATCATCTAGATCTCCAGCCCGAAGCGAGAGGTCAGGGAGATCTATAAGTCAGACCACCACGACAATCTACACATCCATCGATGACAGTAGCTATGACGTTGAGAACATTGGTGTAGGAGCTAGACCTAAGACACCATCCACCGTCAAATCCGGCAGTGGCTCACTTGGAAAGGTTCGCGGCAGCCCTAAGCGTAGTGGTGACAGTCTCCGGAATAAAGAAACTTCTGGAGCAGTTCGCAAAACTAGTGGGAGAGTTGGCAGTGTCAGCACTCGCAAAGTCTCCGGCTTGTAAATGATTCACGATATCAAAATCAATTCCTGTACTGTATAGTACCTTCGGCATGCATTTTAGAATTCTGGCGTCTATGTTGTCGTTGCAGCATATATGAAGCAAATGCGGAAAGGGTGTGTGGCGTTATCAAATTAAACTTTGTCATTTGCTAGTGCAGATGTTGAGCATAGTGTCAGGCTTGTTTGGTCTCTTTTTGGCATTTACAACTGCTTGTTTTGTCTATTGGATGGAGTTATATTCGAGGTTTTGTTCATCTTTTCCCACGTCTATCTTGGACTTTAATGGCGAGGGTGACAATGGGTTGGATGGGTATATTGAAAGTGGCGCGTGGTGAGGGGTAACGTGGGAGCTGGTGGGGAAAGGGTGGCTTTTCTAGAAATCTCTTGCTTTAGGATTGGGTCTGGGTTTGGGGTTTGGAGTGGCATCTGTCTATTAGCTGTCTTGATTGGTTGTTTGTTCTTATTACAAAGCTATTACGAGATCATGAGAGTTGAGAATGGTATGGTTCTGTCTATGCCTGATTATATGTAGGTAGCCCGGGCTACTTGCTATATAACATACATACGTACGTTAGTACTACACATGGTAGAATTAAATTCAATCATTATGAAGAACACAACTATGATTGAGTGATTAAGTGGGTGAGTGTTCAATGTGTAATCCGTGAGATGATGTTAAGTGAACTGGTGGGGGTTGTCTTGACTTGATTTATATCGATGACAGATTGTCAAGCACCTTTGCTGAGAATATTGTACGTCTTGGTACATCCTTTATTAGGTTTAGGTCAAGAGATTACTCTTTCTGTCCAATAAGTCCAAGTAGACGTACTGGCTTCTTAGCATTTTAGATTAGCTTTTTTGTCAAAAAAGAGGAGATGCTGACTAGTTTTATCGGCTGATGGTGTATATTCATCTGGGAGTTGGATGAATGAGTAAGAGGTGGGTGTGAAGCTGCGGCGTTGGATCTTTTGATTCGATGTCTTGGAATGGTGGATTTGAATGGTGGGTCATTAATGGTTGATAGTTGGTAGTGTTTTGGGAAGAAGGAGATTGAGTGGGTGGGTGGATGGATGTTATTGTATTGTATGATTTGAAATGGTTTGAAATGGTTTGAAATGAAGTGGAGCTTCTAGTGAAGGGACCAGGGAGTCGGGAGGGTGTGTGGTTGTTGCAGTGTTGTGGTGTTGAGGTGTTGGGAAGGGGCCGACGGATTTGGGGGAGAAGGGGAAGGAGAGGAAGATATATTGTGATGATATTTATTATCTTGAATTGTGGATATATATAGTAGGGTGCTGGATTTCGAGGCGTTGTGATTTTGTATGTTTGTATGTTTGGTGTGTGGTGTGCGGTGTGTGGTGCACTGACTTGTATATTGTATATTGTATCGAAGTTAGATATGCGAAGGGGGTATCAATATCGATATCGAGACCACTTCAACACTTCATGCGTTGTTTCATGTTGCGCAACTGTAAATACCTACCTGACTGGGAATAAAGCCACTCCATGTGATGGCGTTCGAGAGTATGCGGGTCGGATGGCTAGGCCAGTGCGATCGGATTCTTTTAGGAGCTGGATGGAGCTTGGAAGGAGCTTCTGGATCTCTCTCCTTCTCTCTCTTTTTTATTAATCTTTTTCTGGGGTCGAGATTATTGGTTGATCGTTTAGATGGGGATTTGTTCATCCTTTTTTGGTTCTCTTTTTTGATACTTAATTGGCTCCTCGAAACTTATTTGGCTCTATCTCATCAAGCATCGTTACACTGCATACTCCCAATTCCTCGCATCTTGAGCTACCAACTTCTCTCTATCTCCAAACTCAGCCCACGAACGCTCTCCCTCCCTCCATCAAATATGCCATCCACTCCATCCACATCCCAATACGATACCATCGGCTCTCGCTACACTACGATCAAAAAGCAACAAGGCTCCTCTCTTGAGCTCGCAGCTATTCAGACACATAGTGGAGATATCACCGGTCTCCACATCCTTGACCTTGCGGGCTGGATAATACAGCATACGCAAACGCTCGTGGAATGGGGCGCAGATCGAGTAGTGGGTTTTGATTGATATTTCCCCGACGATGATACAATACGCGTGTTCAATGCGGAGCAGGAGACGGGAATGCAGATGCGGATGCGAATAACGGGCACCCGGAAATTGATTTCTACGTCGCTGATTGTAGCACACTGTTAGAGAACCTGGAGGGAAATTCCATCTCCTGCTCGCGGTGTGGGTTCTCAATTATGCGTCTGAGACGTGAACTCGTGGGTATGTGACGTGATATCTTCGCGTTTCTGGTGTCGGGTGGGAGGTGGGGAGTGTGTGAATATTATACCGAATTGTGAGAGTTTGCGTGTGGGGGTGGGGGAGTCGAGACATGGTGTTGCGAGGAGTATCTTGGGTAGGGTGGATGGGAGTGCGAAAGTTCGGGGTTCTGTTCGTGCGCGGGATGGGGAAGAGAAGAGAGAATTACTGGTTGTCTTTGAGGCGTATATGTGGGAGAGGGAATTGTATGAGGAGTATGCGAGGGAAGCGGGGATGAGGGAGCTGGAGTGAGTGGGGTTTGTGGATGCTTTGGTGGAGGGGATGTATCTTAGGGAAGTTTTGAAGATGCCGCATTTTCAGTGCTTTGTTGCTTTGAGAGCTGGAGAATAGGAGGGTTGGATTGGGTGGTTGGGTGGTTTGTAATGAGAGGAGTGGGAGGATTAGTGATATGATAAGGGCTGAGTAAACAAGGGAGATTGGAGCAATGAAGCGAGTGCTAGTTATACATTTGCCCAGAAGACTCTAGCTTAATGACATGAGGAACTTTTGATTTATACTCTGAGTGGATAAATACAATTTCTCTTATTCTATTAATCCAAAATCATTAACCAACTTCGTCTTGTGCGATCAGCTGCACCCTCAGACTTTCAGATCCATACTTGAATATACATTAAATTGGAAGTCGCCCATCGAATATTATGACATCCTAAGAGACAAATAAACTCGCAATTGTTAGAACCATTTGAAGATTCCATGCATGGATATATAATCTCATGAGAAATATTCGACAAAGAGACCAAGGCTACAATTACTTGTTTCCTGGCCAAACCCTTCAGCCAACTGGCTCACTATCTATCATATATATTGTATATCATGTCACCAGACGAGTTTGCTGGAGATACCGATCTTCAGGCAATAAATTACTCCATCTTTCGCTTAGCTTCCCTTTATGTACTAATTCCCCCATTCATCTCCAGTATCTTTTCTTCGGCGAGCTTAGTGGCACTGAGAACTCTGCTTTTTCTGACCCCTTTATTGGCTTATATACTGAAGCTACATGATACGTCTCAGGAATTTTGAAGATATTGATGACTCGTTCAAAAGTGTACCATTGAGTGAGGATTGCCAAAATCGTCGCGAAATTCAGAGGGAATCTATCCAAACTTGGAGTTCTGGCGGTATTAGATGTGGAGAATCGAGTGTGCGCCAGTCAGTGTTTGAGAGGTTGTAGACAATTTGAGGTAAGAACAAGGTAGTCGTGTGGAAGGAGACGATTGAAAGGCTTCTCAACCCAAAATCCACCGCTCGCTTGATTAGACCGTCACCATATCATAGCCTCACAGTTAATGGAATTACGATAACAATGTATCTCTTCCCTCAATTACTCTCACGTCTCATCAACACCCCAGGCTTGGAGTAGAGTTGGCTCCAATACAGCTCTATAAGCGACCAAGGCTGATACAACAGCCAGTCGTTTTTGTAATTTATTAAATCCTTCCTGATCATTTGCTGATAGATGTTCCTGTAAATAATCCTGCGCAGCCATTCGATAACTGCGTCCATTTGGTGCTCTACAATTCACATGAGCTCCGTGCTGAAGTAGAATGGCAACACAGTCACAATAACCTTTGCGTATCGCGTGGTATAATGCAGTGTGGCCATCTCGATCCTTCTGAAAGACATTAGCACCCCTCTGGCAAAGTAATTCGACGACTGCTTTGGTGGCGGATTCATTTGTGGGAGATGTAGATTCGATGATGGCTGCGAGAAGCGGTGTTCTACCGGCTTGATCATAATGATTGATGTCTGCTCCGAAAAATATGTACTGCTTTAGCTTATCGAGGATTCTTTCGGTATCTTCCAGAGTACAAGTTCTGGGTGGTAGGACCAAGCAATGGAGAGCATTACTACCCGTACTATCCTCGGTATTTGGAACAGAATCCGCCACATCAGGGTTGGAATTTCTAAGAACCGCAATACGGTTTTGTGTCTCCTCAATAGAGTTACCAGGGATTTCAGTTTGTGTAATGAATCGATTGGCGATATTTTCGTAGACTACTATAGCTTGAGCGTAGCCGACATGGCCATATGATGCATAAGGATTTTGAGCTTCAGCAACGTTTCGAATATGTTGTGCTGCTGTCAGACCTTGATTGTCCCGAAGCGAAAATTGTATTGCTCTTTCGGGTCGGTAAAAATCCACTAGGTCATGGTACACGTGGGGCAGTATTGGATTTCGAAGAAGACCATGAAGAACCGTTCGACCATTATGATCACGTTGCTCCAGTAAACCAGTATCTTTGAACATCGTAAGAAAGTTGATCAAATCATCACTAAAACGGCTGGCGTCCAAAACATGTAAGAAGCTCTGGCCAATAGTGTTCAATCGTCCTGGGTCAATGCCTGACGTAATCATGTATTCAAGGACATCCTTTCGCCCAGCTGCTGCAACATAGTGGAGTGGAGTATTTCCTGCCCCATCAATCTTGTCTTTGCTGAAGACATGTCCTAGTATTGTGAGAATTTGATGGTCAGGTAAATCGATCATGCAGAGGCAAACAGCATGGACTTGAGTAACCCCACATTCGCATACAGTTCTCTTGCCGAGTGCAATATCCATGTGATCGTTCCTGCAAGGAATCGTGTGTAGTATAGATGATCGACGTGGAGAATCTAGCTTCTGTCGTAGAAGAGAGTTCATTTCATTCGATGGAATCATGGAGTTAGCGTCGAAGAGTTGGTAATAAGCTTGATCCGGACTATCAGGTCTAGGGTCAACCATGTCAAATTCTCCATCAACAGAGGCCTCCTGTTCCTCTTGTATGCTGTCATCTACTTCTTGATACCCTAAGAGTTTCTCTACCACTTCCATCGAGTAATAGCCAGAATCGGCATCAGATGTGACAGACGAGATTGGTGGTGCAGTTAACACACTGGGGTTGATATATTTGGGGGATACATCGTTATTGTTTTGAGTTTCGGCCCAGCCAATGACTTCCTGTGAGATGAATGAACTTGCCGAAGAAGGCAAGCCAGGGTCCATTGGAATTTGCCCATTGGTGACTTCGTCAAAATTTCTCGGCGAAACACTATCCAATTGGAAAGTATGGTCCAGAATTGTAGAGCCTTGTGGCATAACGGATTTCGACGCTTTGTGGTCAAGTGGTTCTATGACATCGGTTATTGTCTTTCCTTTAGTCGTGCCAAGAGTTGGAGAATCTTCAAATCCAAATGGTGTGTTGAATACATTGAGGTGGATATGACTGGGAACAGCAACTGTTTCTAAATTCGATAGGTCAGATACTACCGAGAGATCATTCCGAAGGTCAAGTTGAAATTTTCTCTCCCAAGCTGCTGCTTTCTCTCGTAGTCGACTCAAAAATATCTGTCTGGAATGTGGATTAAGAGGGTAGCCCCATGCCTCTAATCTATTGTCACAAGTTCGAGGTCTGTTAAAGTATATATTAACTAATTATCGTGTGAGACCTAAATTATTGTACTTACGATTGACTTGAGAACCGGTAGCCTGTCGCAACGATCTCTCGTAATATGCCTGCGGAGCTGTAATTTCGCATGTAAAAGAAGAAGATATCGCGTTTGTGTGCTTCCCATTCGCGATGCTTCCGAACCTCAGAGAGTTTCAAGAGTTTTCCGTGGATGGTGTTTGGTTTGCTGATACGTTTTCGCTCTTCGCGTTCCTCGTAACATGCTTGTAGAAACTCTTGTCCGTCAATGGTTTGTAAAAAGGCAAAACAGCGCTCGCACTCCTCTGCCGAGATATCGGACGAGTCGGCATTGGGGGTAGCCATGCTGACTCAATGGGTCCCTTGAACCCCTCCGAAGTATAAGGAAATCAAAAGGTCATAAGACTGCCATAAGAAATCAGAATTTTGTGGTACCAGTCGTGTTCGCAATGTTCGACAACAAGCTAACCAAATTTCTTATGAAAGAGAGTGGTCTAGTCGCAAGTAGCTCATGGAATATACATAAATGGAAAGTATCACCAAAGATTTCCCAGTTGCCCCTATAAACCAATGACTTATCGAGAGAATTCACGCTGGATTGAAAATCCTACCATGAACATTGAGTCGCAGAAGGAGAGGAGTATTACCACCAAGCCTTATGAGTGACAAGGCTGGACTCGAATTCCATCCAAACCTCCCCGAGCTTTGGTAATGATTACAGAGTACATAGGATGTACTCGAAAATTTAAGATATATACAATGAAATCGACCCCGTTTGCGACGGCAAAATGTCAATGGAGTATGGAGAACGAATGCTCAGATAGCAGCAGCACAATGAGAAAGATGATAAGGGGTGATGAGCATTTCAAAATATTGCGAATGCACTACTACATGATAGACAGGCATGTCAATCCTGTTCCAACGAACTTGTAGTGGCATTGGCCTTGGCTAAGGCTCATTCAGCCAATGAGTTGTATTCAGGCGAATTGCGAACTTGCGAGCAGGGGGTTTAGAGAGCCGCAAGCTGAGCTCCTTGATCTATCATGTACTCAGACTCCTTGGTGATTACATAATATCGATAGCCGCTTTGGCCTTGATTTCGAGGTATTAACTCATGACTTAATTGTGGCTTAATAAGCAGGTGGGGTAAATCATAAGACTGACCTCGACCTCATAATGCTGTGGCTTTAACACAGAAGGAACCTTGGAAGCCAGAAATAAGCGTTGACAATTACCTACTCTGTAGGTAGGTACGCTCCACCTTCAACCTTATTAATCACAAGTGGAAACCTTGGAAGCTCCATTTGAGAGATACTTCAACTTAGTGTGGAGCATTTACAGTACCCAGCCACTAAGTGGTCTTGTCTATGGATTGAGCACGGCGCAATGACAGTCTGTGGCAACGTTGAAATAGTTATTTAGGAATCAAAATCCTCTCGTAAAACAATTTCGATAACTTGCTCGACCACTTGAACACCATGATGTGTGCCTAAACCTTATGTTATGGCGGCGTCAGTTAACAGCCGCGATAATCCAATTCATAGTCAACCGATGAAGCGCAAGAGAGCTCGGGCTTCAAGAGTACGTTCTGGATGTAAAACGTGGTCGGTTCCGTTCTCTTCCGGATTCATTCCAATCAATTTATTCGCCGAGATCCGTGACTAACATCTAATCTAACAGCAAGTGAGTAATCCGAAGGATTTGGACATGCTCTCAGGGACTCTGACATTGTCTGTCCATCAAGAACAGGCATCTCAAATGCGACGAAGCGAAGCCGACATGCCACCGTTGCTGTCAAGACCGGGTCAAATGCGATGGCTATGACCTCATGCGCGAGACGAGTGTGCCCCATCATGAAGGGCATCCAGAGTATAACACAATTCAACTTGTTCAGCCCCAACAGTCACTGCTCACAGATACGAACAACCAAGATCTGTATTTCAATCATGCTGTTCAATATACGATTCAGGATCTGTCCGATTCAACGACAAGGACAAGTTTTTGGGTCGACTTCCTCCCTCTGTCATTATCGCAGATTGCAGCAACACGCTATGCCTTGATAGCATTAGCAGCTGCTCATATTGACTTTCTAACACAAAGAACAGCCAATTGCAGCGCTGCAACTGCAACAAAGCACGAAAGATCTGTTATACTGCACTATAATATGGCAATTCGGCATTTGCAACCTCTTTTGTCCAAGGCGACACCTGAGGATGCTGAGGCCGCTCTAGCTTGTTGTATCTTGTTTATATGCCTTGAAAATGTTCGAGGACGATATGCTGAGTCACTTAAGCACTTAGAATCGGGAGTTGGCTTGCTCGTGTCTTTGTTGGTTCCCGAAACGAAGCGTCGCTCTTTAACATCCCGAAAAGGTCGTCTTCCAGTGGCGTTGCACCAAGAAATATCATCTACAGGTCAAAACAAGCGTAATATAGACCAAATCGCTGTGTTATTTTCCCGCCTTAGTCTGGAGACGCATCTTCTCACAGACAGTGAAGTGGTTCCGCTCATAAACATCTCACGTGCAACTCCGGACCTCGGCAAAGTCGAGCTACAGTCACTTACACCTATAATGACATTGGATGCTGCTAGAGACGAGCTTCATTCGTTTGAGATTGCTCATGATATGTTTTATCAACAAGCGTATAGTAACATTAAAAGCAGGCCGTCTCATGGCGATATACGACCTAATCAGCCGCCTGAGTACTTCTTGAATATGTTTGGCTGGGATGAAAAGGTTGCTTATCAACAGATATACCAGCAATTTTGGCAATGGAGCGCCCGTCTTGATCAGTATATCTTCGAACGCGCTTCTCTTCCAAGATCATCTAAGGATTTATCCGACGCGTCCAAGATACGTCTTTTGCAAAAGACATGGACTGCTATGTTAGACAAAGAGCCGTGGACATTCAGCGGCCAAGACTTTCCTGCAATCGATGTCTTGGATGAGTTCCTACCTGAAGTCGACTCGATCATCAAATTGAGGGGTCCTTCCTCACGGCCTCTCATTACGTTTGGCGCCGATGTTTTACCCTATGTAACGATTGCTGGATATTTAACGGGTGATTTGGGATTGCTGCAGCGAATTATCAGCGCTCTTAAGCTGCTTGATACGAGGGAAGGATTTTGGGATAGCAAGGATATTGCTGAGATTTTTGAGGCCTCTATCATAGCACATGCGGATCTTGGATTGGACACCAGACAGAATAGTAAGGGCATTCTTCACATGGCCAAGATTCTTTCGGAGATGAATATCCAATGTATTTCGCCAAACAACTCGATTGCTTCACTAGCTAGAAACATCGAACCATAAAGGTAACTTCTACAACAAGGATACAAATATATAATGATAAAAGAATAAAAGATTTGAAGTTGACATAAGTTCATGGTTCGTGATGCCTACCTCCACTCCCCTATACCATGTCGTCCAAGGTGTATTCAATACAATGAGAACCATTGAAAATTGTATGGAAAGATGATGTAAGTCACCAGTGATGCCACCAAAAGAAACACAACTGAAAAAGCTCCCTGCTGTGATTTGGCTGCAGTGCTTTCAAAATTTGACCTATTCTTTGTTGTTAAAGGGTTGTCGAAAGCGGTAGTAAGCTCTGACTAATCACCACTTTCTTTTGAGATAGAAGTCGTGGTGAACCAAGATTACTTCATAGAACGTCTTGTCATGGTTGTGAGTAGGAAGGACCTATTTAGAAATTACTTGCATCTACAATATTCATTGATTTCCAGACCTGCTTTGTGATTGGTGCATCCGTAGATTTCTCAGAACGGTTAAGCCTGCACGTGGCTCAGTCCCTATAAGTGGAGTTCCGAGATATCGGCATTAGCATCGGTATTGGCATCGGCTAAAACTACTTAAACTCCACCTCAAGTCAAACCTTCTGCTTCTCATTGGTGCCGTCGTAGATTTACTAAAATGGTTACTGTGAAATTCCACCTTATGTCGTGCAGAGGCTTGGACAATGATTGGGAACGCTTCTCGCCAGGAGTCATCTTCTTGCTTTAGTGGGCAATGCAAGGTACATTCAATTAATCATTGATACTGGGCATGCATAGATCAGATGAGTGCTAGCAATTGCTGTTTACTGGTTTTGATTTGATTTGTTCTGTTGCTTCTAGGCTGGAAAATTTCGAAGCCAGATGGAAGAGAGGCAAAAAAGGACAGTTTGACGTACTGCAAAGTCGTAGATTATCATTTGTCCTTGCGCCCTTTCATGTTGTATATGCGACAATGTAGGAGGGCACCTAGACTCTTGGAAATATGGTAGAATTATGAAGCTGGCTCAAGTACCACAACTCGGAACTCCTTTCTTTAGTCACTATGTTGTAAAGTTCGGCATCGAGGGGTACTTCACTTGGCGCATGAAAATTGCTCTCTAATTCAAGGCGGTAACGGTTAGCCTTTTTCTCGTCAAGGGCTCCCCATTACCTCTTGGTACTCCCTATTTGTGCAATTTATGGCGCCGGTGTAACCTCTAGTGTTTTCCGCAAGCCGCAATGCATTGTCTCTTGGCATATGCCCAAAATATACATTTAAAGCTCGATTGCAAAACACGATGGAATAGCTAGAATAGCTTATATACAGAAACCCACCAAAAACTCGTATGTTATTAGGCAATACGAATATAAAAGAGAGGAAGGGAGTAATATATAATTTGAGAAATAAATCGGGCATTCTCAGAATCTCTCTTTCTGCAATTCTGTCAAATTCCTGCTTTTTTGGTTCAAACATGAGTTTAAGCACTATCAGGCTCGACCCTTGGGGCGATCTCACTCTTCGAATCGGCCCAGACGGCGCAACAGACGGCTACATTGTCTATCCGAGAACACTAGCCCGTGCTTCCCCAGTATTCGAGCGTATGCTGTATGGCGGGCTTGCGGAACGGGAGCCCAGCACAAGAGCAGCTGTCGGTGAATGGATCGTACGACTACCAGAAGACAATTCCAAAACCATGGGCCTTTTCCTTTCGATAATACATGGCAATTACGATGAGACTTTACAGGACCTTTCTCTTGATGAGATCTATCACTTAACCGCCGTAGTGCACTATTATGATGCAACCAAAGTACTTCGGCCATGGGCAGAAATCTGGATCAACCATGTCGCCAGTTTGGTTGAAGATGTTAACACACCGATGCTGAGGGTGCTGTGGATTGCGTGGGAACTGGGTAGTGTATCGCTATTCCGGATCGTATCGCGTCACATCTTGCTGGAGTTCGACACTGCAGACTTTGACGATGCATTATCCTGTAGCAACACGCAAACACCTCCTGGTGTACTAGGTACGTCTTAAAGAATTCCCATTGATGCCAGTGTGAAGAACCAAAGTACTGATCCATTGGCAAGAACATATTCACTCTGTTCGAGAAAATGTACTGTGCTCGTTGCTACAGCCATTCAAGGACTTGATTCGCCACCTACTAGTTGAGAATGAGAAGCCACGATGGTGTCGACACGCTGTTTGGATGGGACCGCATAGGTGCGAATCGATAATCCTCGGGTCGCTTACATGGTGCCTCTGTAAATCAAAACTCTGGCCACTACCAGAAGCACCTGATATCTATGAGAGTATTGCAGCAACTTATACACGCTTGTCAGGCCTCATAATACACGATTTGGGGAAATTTGATAAGAAAGAAGATCATAGTATCTGCAATCCGTCAGGAATGATCAATTTGCATATGAAAACAGCCCTTACTAGTCTTACCCTCCCATTGACTGGAAGGCAGATAGAGTACATGAGGAAACAAAAACACATACTTGACATGAAGGTTGGTTGTTTCAAGCCACTCTTGAGTGATAAGTCTGCAGCATAAATCCCCTACAATAGTTAGTTATAGAGATCAGATCCAATCAAGAGCATATTATCAAAAGAAGATTTTTTAAGCCCACTTGAATCTACATCTACCAGAAAGTGATAGTCTACGCTGTTACGCTAATTGGCCTGATATACTTCTCTTGCTAGCTACTTACCAAGGCTTTAAAACATAACTTGCGCTTATCCCAAATCGCTTAGCTTTTCGTCCCTGTCAAAATAAGGGCTATACATTTCCCCTGACTCCACACTCTTTTCTTAGCCCAGCTAAACTTGCGGCAGCTCCACCTAGTCCACATAGCACCACTATGCAATGTAGTAACAATATTGAGGTAGGCTCTAGCCAGGGCCCCTTGCTTACATATTTCGTGACTACCGCATCTACCAGAAAGCTTTAAAAATGTGCATTAATGGGTCTTCCTAAGAAGCCTTTAATATGCCGAAGCTATCTAAGCCTCAATGCTTTCATGAATTGTCTTAAACACAAACTGATGCGATACGAGTGAATGTGCAAACGTGAGTGCGCTAGCGCACGAGCGTATTGCATATAGATACCTATCGTAACTCTGAACCTAGAAAAAACACACAATATCAGTCAATGCATCAAACACATTATGAAGACATCATAATCACCACCGAGGTGATATCAACAAAAACGCATCCTAAAGGGGTCAGCTTCACTGTTTAGCTGTCGAGACTTGCAAAGGACACTCGTGACAACGTCTGGCTACGCATTCTCCAAAGACATACATTCATATGAAGATACTATTCTAGTGCAATCAGACCCGGAAATTTCTTCTCAACAATCCTCCGCAATACCCTTACTGTTTTTCTTCAGTCTGCCCATTTCTTTTCTTCATTCTTCTCCGATTCAAGAGAACAAATAAATATGGAAACACCAAGGAGCTGGAATAATTCGGCTGAAGACTATCCTATGAATGATCTCATTCAACATCCAAATAATGTACGCCCACGATTCAAAGGGTTGACCAAAACACATTTGCTAACAAACTTTTGAACGGTCTGTTACTGATCCTGCTACACAGTCAACTAACACTGATCATATTAGTGATGTACATCAATCAAATTATGCTCATGATGTTGGTGAAAGCTTGCTATCAGACCCTAGTGGCTACACTCCAACAATACCCTATGTGGCTGGCATTGGCCAGGCGCGGTATCAACATTCACCAACCAGCCCAGCGAATGGCGAGTATTTTTTCGGGGATCAACATGATCTTCCAAACGACGACCAAAACTCCTACACAAACCCCAACGGCTCCTTTGATGCGCAAGAAATTCCGTCAGCTATTGGTGCTCGAGGAGCTATCCGGCGCCGCGCTACTCGAAAGATTAAACTGATTCAAGGCGGCCAGGGATCAGTCTTGAGCGCAAACTATCCCGTACCAAGTGCAATCAAGAACGCAGTGCAGCCCCAGTACATAGATGTGGAGAATGGCACAAACGAGTTCTCGGAGATGCGTTACACCGCGGTGACTTGTGATCCTAACGATTTCACCTTGATGAATGGTTATACACTACGCCAGCACATTTACAACCGGCACACCGAGCTTTTGATCGCTATCACCTACTATAATGAGGGTAAGATACTATTTGCTAGAACCTTGCATGGTGTGATGGAGAACATTCGCGATATTGTGAACCTGAAGAAGTCCAGGTTTTGGACGCAGGGTTCAGCAGCATGGGAGAAAATTGTAGTGTGCCTAGTGTTCGATGGTTTCGAAAAGGCGGATCCTGGTGTGCTAGATCTTCTTACAACTGTTGGAGTGTATCAAGATGGCGTGCGAAAGCAGGATGTGGATGGAAAGGAAACAACAGCCCACGTCTTCGAGTTCACGACACAGTTGTCTATCACTCCCGACTTACAGCTCGCTCGTCCCAGTTCAAATGCGGACGATTCTGATAACTTGCCCCCAGTGCAACTCCTATTCTGTCTCAAACAAAAGAATACCAAAAAGATCAACTCGCATCGTTGGTTATTCAATGCTTTTGGACGGATTCTCAATCCGGAAGTCGCTATTTTGATTGATGCAGGAACGAAACCTGGACCTCGCTCTCTATTAACCTTATGGGGGGCATTCTATAATGACAAGAACCTTAGTGGCGCATGTGGTGAGATCCACGCTATGCTTGGGAATCGAAACTCCAATTTATTAAATCCGCTTGTGGCAGTACAGAATTTCGAATACAAGATTTCAAATGTTCTTGATAAACCCCTTGAGAGCTCCTTCGGCTACGTCACTGTTCTCCCCGGTGCATTTTCAGCATATCGCTTTCGAGCGATCATGGGCCGTCCCTTGGAGCAATATTTTCATGGCGACCATACATTATTATCTGGCAAGAAAAGTATCAACAACATGAATATATTCAAAAAGAATACGTCTCTTGCAGAAGATCGCATTCTTTGTTTCGAGCTAGTAGTGAAAGAAGGACAGAATTGGCACCTGTCTTATGTCAAAGCGGCCAAGGGCGAGACAGACGTACCGGAAGGCCCTGCTGAGTTTCTTAGCCAACGCCGGCGTTGGCTGAATGGATCATTTGCTGCCTCTTTATACTCGCTCATTCATTTCGGTCGCATGTACAAATCCGGGCATAGTCTGATCCGGATGATAATGTTTCATTTCCAGTTGTTATATAACATCGCCAATGTTGTATTTAGTTGGTTCTCCTTATCATCCTATTGGCTTACTACTACTGTCATCATGGATCTTGTCGGTACACCTGTAGCTGTATCAGACTATCACGGCTGGCCGTTTGGTGATACCACGTCCCCCATATTCAACCACATTATTGAATATATTTACCTTGCGTTTTTGATCACACAATTCATTCTGGCCCTTGGAAATCGGCCCAAGGGATCGCAAGTAACCTATCTTGTATCGTTCGCAGTATTTGCATTCATTCAGCTTTACGTCATCATTCTGTCATTCTATTTGGTTTATCGGGCATTACGGGCACCCATTGGAGACCAGATCAACACCTCTTCGGGCGCGGCATTCTTTGAGAGCATGTTTGGAGGAACAGGGATCGCTGGCGTGATTCTACTAGTCTTAATAACCATCTACAGCTTGAATTATCTTGCCTCGTTCCTCTACTTAGACCCCTGGCATATATGTTTCACTCCTTCCCGCAATATATTATCCTCGCTTCGACATATATTAAATATTTTGATGGTATATGCTTTCAATAACTGGCATGATGTTTCATGGGGCACGAAGGGCTCAGATCAAAGCGAAAAGCTCCCCTCGGCTAACGTGATCAAAGACTTGAAGTCCGGTCACGAGATTGTCGAGGAAGAGGAGATGCAACAAACAGATATTGACCAGAAGTTTCAAGAGACCGTGCTAAGAACTCTGCTTCCTGTTGCAGTGGAAGTTATTGTAGAAACGAAGGAAGTCGACGACACGTATAAGTCGTTTAGGACCCGTCTAGTCGTGTGCTGGATCCTGTCGAATATGTCGCTGGTCTGGATCGTTACCTCTGATGATTTCGCATTTCTTGGCGTCGGTGTAAGTAACAAGACTTCATGATGACTCCTATAGCGAAGTTCTAACTCTTTCTTGCAGGAAGCCTCTACGACCCGGACACCAGCCTACTTCCGATTTCTTCTATATGCCACCGCTTTTTTGTCGATTGTGAGATTTCTAGGATTTCTTTGGTTTCTCGGACGGACAAATATTATGTACTGCTTTGCGAAGAGGTAATCGCATATATTCGACAAAAAATTTGAAGCTGGCTTAAGCCAGTAACAGTTCATGCCCTCCAAGTTCTAGACAAAACATTCCTAAGAAATTACTTAGCGTGGGCTGGTACCCGCGAGGTGGATAATCTGCAAATTATCTGTCCAGGGGGTAGGCAATTTAAAGATATATGTAAACAAATCACAAGTAGTCTATAAATTATTCGCAAATTATTTGTTTGAATTTATCTTCGCTTAATTTTGAAACTATTCCCAAATCGTTTTGAAGCTTAAAAGTAATCCAAATTTAAATATAGATTTATCTTCGTCTTGATTATGGTAGAACTTATATTAAAAAGCTACGCACTAGTAAATAAAGTAGTAACTGGATGAGTCTCACTTCATGAACTCAAAGAACCCCTACAAATCATATTTTTCTTTGGAAACTCAATTAGCTGCGAATCAACGTTCAAACGCAGACATGGCAACGCGATGAAACAAAAATAAACTAACATCCTAGTTACAGCAAAGTCTACTCGTCCCATAACGGAAACAGACAACATATACATCCCCAGTTGGTACGAGACTGCCTTTATAACCAACTTGCTCGATTAGGGTCCATAATTAAAAACCAAATGTTGGATTGATGATTCACTGCGGCGCGGTCCGTATGTATTGCGGCGCAGAATACATGTGATTTCCTGAAAGCCGAAGCTTGTCAACACCTCAAACTTCCTACAAACCCGTCTCAGTCATCCTTTAATCTAAATAAACTACAAATCAGTCTAAACCTCTCTCAAATACCCATCTCTTTAGCGCAATCATGACCCAACTCACTTGGCTTATCACGGGCTGCTCATCCGGCTTCGGAGAGGAGCTTATTCTTAGTGTTTTAGCCCGAGGCGATCGAGCTATAGCCACCACTCGAGGATCTACAGATCGTATCAAACATCTAAAGGATGCCGGTGCAGCTACCATGTCGCTTGATGTGACTGATTCACAAGCGGAACTCGATGCAAAAATCCAAGAGGCCCTCAAAATTTATAATGGCATCGATGTCCTAATCAACAACGCTGGATACATTGAGGCTGGATTAGTGGAGGACGTTACGTCAGTTTCCCCAATCTTCACATGAAATTGTTCACTGATGACTTTCCTTCTAGTCATGAAAGACTTGTCGCAAGCTGCAACACCAACCTATTTGGGCCTATCAACTTGACTCGTTCAATTCTTCCTCACTTTCGGCAACGAAAAGCTGGAACTATTATATTCATGGGCTCCGTTGGTGGCTGGCAGGGTGAGGTTGGTGCAGGCCCGTATTGTGTGGGAAAATTTGGACTGGAAGGTAAGAAGTTCCAGAAGTCCGCTCTCGGTCGGCTTCACTAACGTGATACAATCAGCTATTGTAGAATGTCTTCAAAAGGAGACATCTCAGTTTGGTATTCGGACTGTGATAATTGAGCCAGGCTACTACCGTACAAAAGTATACTCTGAAGCCAATGTCAAGTGAGAACCACTTTCGATTCCAGAGTACGAACCCACGCAAACTGCTTTGGAAGGTATGGTGAAGGCTGTTGATGGCAATCAACCCGGTGATACAAAGAAGGCCGCAGACCGCATCGTCGATATTGTCAGACGAGAAGGGTTGGCTGCTGGCAAAGAAACCCCATTAAGACTTCCTCTGGGGCCAGATTGCCTCCAGCAGATTAAAGACAAATGCTTATCCACCTTAAAGATCTTGGAGGATTGGGAAGAGCTCATTGTTAGCACAAAACTTGATGGCAAATAGTAAAATGCATTTCTCTCATGGTATGAATGTTAACATTTGACAAGCATGAAGGGCCAAGACAAAGATGAGTGCCATAACATACGTCAAAAAGTTGCGACTCCTTTCATGCTTTCATTCAGTGCCATGCACGAATAACTGAAAACAATTTGCCGAAATCAGCGTGGGAGCATGCGGACAATAATTTCTATCTAAATCAATAGAATACTATGACATTGAATAACGTTTTCATTCTGTGCTTGTGCCGTATAAGATATCTAAAGTCTATTCATATGTACCGAGATGTAACGAGACAAATCATAGGTACTTCGAGTTCAAGTGATATTAAATCTAGAAACGCGCCAAAGTTTCTATCTATTTTTATTCCAGTTGAATTGCATAGCTCCCCAAACACCCCTAACCTATCAATTCCGAAAATTGTTCTCGCGTCGTGGCCATCCCCCAGGTTAACAGAGAGCCTCCTTATACGCTAAAACAAGACCCCTTGAAGTACAATAATACTAATAAGCTTTTATTACCTTCTAAACATTTCGATCGATTGAATATGAATATCTAGATTCTATCATAATGCTAAAATACTTTTACTACTTTTACAGCGGCTGGGTGCAGTCTTTTATACGACGTCGCTAAAGAATATGGATTAAATTATAATATTATAATAATATTAACAAACATTCAACTTATTATATAAACATATAATCAATCTTCTTAAAAAGTTTTTAACTAAAAATAAAACCGCTATAAAACTTTTGAAAATTTCATAGACTATAAAGAATTTCTTCCTAAGTATAAAGAGCTAATTTTGGAATAATTAATATGGTGAGAAGATAGTAATATATAGGGGTACTAGGTTATATAATATGATAAAGTAGTATACTCTTGTAAACATATGACCATAACATCTTAATTGTATATACTTTGTCGGAAATTTCCTGTTTCGTAACATTTTCCGGATTAACTTAGAGCGAAAATTCAGCCGCGTCAACTCATCGTAGATACCATCCACTAGGGCTCTTTCTCACTTGAGGTCCCAATATTCCGTCGATAAGCGTTTACAATTAAAATATCTGGTTGCCACGGTGCCGATAACTCCAGGTATAGAACCCGGTCTGAACCGTCTTCCTGGGCCCTTGACGAGAAATTAAGTGTTATATAAATCCTACAACACTTCACCACCGTGGAACACATCGAGCAATCCAGTGTAGCAGCGGTTAGCCACAGTATTGAGAAGTGCGAAATTGCACACTTTGCCTGCCATGGCCGGATAAACCAGATTGATCCTTCGAGTAGTGGGCTAATACTACAGCGGAAAGACAACTTTGGGAGCATTATATAGGATATTCTAACCGTGCATGATTTCTCGGAGATCAATATATAGTATACTAGACTAGCATACTTCTATACTTGCTCGAGAGCCGAGAATAAAGTTTCCAGCCTCTGACGAAACGATTCTCCTCGTTAGTGGCTTCCAAGTGGCAGGTTTTCCACGTGTAAATAATCGGATGCTTGTAGCCATCAGTAGATCGATTGTGCGTTGCGTTCGCTCGCGGCTTTATACGTCGTTTGTAGAACAAGGCGTATTGTGTCTTGAGAGCAGAGGCATCGCAGCGGCACTCCGCACGAGTGTTATAGAGCAGCGAGCGAAAGACTAGAGACCGTCTTTGAACTGGGCGAAATCTCGTGCATTATAGAGCGTGAGAGCTCTTGATGTGGGCACACAAGAATGTATATGAATAACTCTGATATAAGGAATGCTGCTTGGGATAGAAGACCCTGTTGAGGATTAAAGTGGCTACTTTTCGATTACCAGGGTCGCGCTCCTTTACTAAAATTTAATCCCATGGTCAACAAGCTAGTTTATTATACCATAATAGTCTTCCTCTGATACCTGCCATTTTCCCACCCTACCCGCGTCAAATGCAGCTTGAAGTCTCGAGCTCCTCTTTGGCACAAAAGGTCTGATAACCTTTGACGAAGATTTTGTAACTCTTTTAGATGAGCATAATCTTCAAAAAACTTGGTATGTACAATGCACAATGCTGAATATCGTATTTTTTTCCGATTCCTTTTCCTGTTTTCTTCCACAATTTGCAGTACGCATTGGGATCAGCGCCACGCACAATGAGAAGCTCTAAAATCCTGGCCCAATTTTGAAAACGGTCTCCGAGACGGCCTTTGCCTTTCGTGAGAGTGTAAAGAGAATTCTGTCATGGAGTCCAGCCATTGAAGACCTCGTTAGGGTTTGCACCATAATCCACCAAAAGCTCAACCTGGTCTGGGTTGATGGCTTCGATCCATCTTTGATAACGAGGCTCTGGTCTAACTGCATAGTCGAGGATAGGGCGTCCAGGTTTGGAGAGCTGATCATTGTTGGTTCGAAAAGCTGCCAACCTGTGCATGCCATTATCCAGAGACCCGCCAGTAGGTCCAGGCATCCGTGACAAACCAGCTTTCATCAGACTTTGTTGAACATAGCCAATTGCTCTATGCCTTACCGCCAAATTCAAGAAACTGTCATGCCATGGAACAGGTCTATTGTATTCTTCGGCAACGAAATCGGACCAGTGACAGTACTTTTTGTTCAGTCCATATTGTCCTGTATTGAGGTTCCAGCTGTGGTTGATATAGGTCTGGCAGCGAGCTTGAACCAAACTATTCATATGATCAAGTAAGGTTACTTCAAGCTTGCTCAGAGACGTTCCTGCCTGAGATACAAGACGCATGGTATTGCCCACCAAGAACCATATGGTCTGGCGACCCGTGGATTTGTTATATTCAAAATCATAGGACTTCTCAGGTTCCCAGGCTTCGATCTGCCGCACAAAGGATCTCATCAGGCTAATCCTAGTGTCAAAACCGGTTCCTTCCGTGTATGCAAGAATGTCTGCTCGGATGTCCAAAAATTCGGACACCGATCTGTTCGCAAGCTGAACTTTTGCATACGCCAATTTGAATTCATCGGGCTCACCACGATATCTAGCTTCAGCACAATGGAAGTCGAGGAGCCCCATACACCTACTTCGTAACCTGCCTTCCATAAATTTCGCCAGCTCAGCCTTCAGAATGGTGGTGAGTGGCAGAATCGGACAAGCGAAGACCTGTTGGTCAGGGTCTTTGGTCGTGGCGAAGAACAGAGTCACAGCTCTATGTCGATGTTCATAAGCCCATTCAGGTTGCTCTGCATCTTCATCCATCATGGCTTTCCACACAATCTGGAACAATTTCGAAGCTTCGATGCGGTACTCCGGTTTAATGCCGTTCCACATGTGCCCGTAGAAGGGTATGAGGTCCACAGGAGGCTTCTCCACTTGCTTTTGCAGCTCATAAAGCGTGTTGTAGTCACGAATCCCTTCTAGAACAGCCTCCACGACATGATCGACCCATCGAAAAACCCCATCCGCACACTTCAAAATGCATTCAATCAGTTCTTGTATGCGGTCAATCTCTCGTTCCCCATAAGCCTGAGAAAGACGATCTTTGAGCTTGTCAGAAACAAATTTCTCTATATCCAACTTCGTCAGCATACGAAGCTCAAGACCGGCTCCTGCTTGAAAAGCTTGTACGTAGGCTGGAAGCGGCCTACTTGACAGCACAAACTTGACGCGAGGCAGAGCCGCCAAAGATTGAAAGAGATCAGTGAGGGCAACCATTTTTTGCTCGGAGGCATAATATTCATCCAGCCCATCAATCAGAAAGATGAGATTTGATGTCCGTTCGGGCTGATCCAGGATTTTTTTGGAGAGCCAGCATCAATTCCGCTTCGGTAGAAAACTTCTCGAAATCGAAATCGTTATCTGAAAATGCGAAAACTTCGTGGAATATAATAGATATCAGATGCGGCTGGAGCTCCAATAGTTGGAGTAAGAGGGATTGCATAAGTTCTTTCCGGCTTTTTTGCATCGATGTTCCATTGTACCAAAAATAGAAGGACGCTTTGATGACCGGGCGACCATCGGCCCAGGAAGATCTCCTCAGCGCTTTCATGAGTCGTGAGTCATCGCTGATGAATTTCATGAGAGTTGATTTGCCGGATCCGGATTTCCCATTGATCCAATATATGCTGTTGTCATTTTGCAACCATTCCATGAAGTTTGTCCAAGACATCTCCACTGGCTGTATTTCGTGAAAAAGCCAGTCGAAAGTTTCTCGATGGGCCAGTCTTATCTCTTCGTGACGGGCGTGTATTTTGCGAAAACGAAGTTGCTTCAAGATTCTCCGCTGTCGACTTTCGCACACAGCAACTAAGCGACTTAGTGACCATAGTAGAACTCTAAGATAACCTGACACCAACTTTGTGCGCTTTCATTTACAGCATCGGTGGTCCGCAGCAGTTTCACGCAGCGCTCGACCTCATTCATTTGCTTATCTTGGCCGAGGTAGGAATCTGTCAGCGCTGTCATTTCCTCCGTCTCTGCCCATTCATCCAATTTGAGCTGGCCCATCCCCTGCTCAACATTGAATCTAAAGTAACGGTCCTTGATATTGAGGTCTTCTCGATTGCCACGTACCCAGTCTTCATACTTCTTCTGAGCATCAGTGAGAACTTTGACAGTCTGACCTAGGAAACCCAGCAGCCCCGATTTGACCTTCGAGTTAGCAGGCCATCCTGTTCCAAGGCTAACAATACATGCAAACTGCGGGCTGTTCCACAAACGCCTAGCTTCATTGACAACTTCAGGAAGAGAACAATTGATTGTGGCACCCCCGTCGGAGAACTTTGCTTTCGACTTTTGGAATGTGACAGGACCAAAAAACATAGGAGTAGCGGCAGTCGCAGATCCAGCCTCCCAAATTGTGCAGTCGTAGTCAACCTGGTCCGGCTTTCCACTAGTATAATTTCGGATGAGTTCGTAATTGAAGGTCTTGTTTCGTGTTGCGCAAACAAACCTTGATAAGTCAGCCTAGATTTGAAGAAAAAAATGAAATTGAGACTTGCATTCGACAGTGTCCCGTGACGCCTTTCACGCGAGTATCATTGAGCGGGGCATCCTCTGGATCCTGAGCCGCTTCTCCGGACGACGAGGAAGGTGCCTGTACGGCCTGATCTCCTCGAGGAGCAGTAATCGTGTTCGCAGCCCTCGTATTATCTGTATCTGCTCTGAAGGGGGCCCTTTCTTGTTTAAGACGTTCTGCTACCAACATTTTGATAGCAGTCTGAAGATCCTTGGTCTCGTACATGCTCCCACTGAACATTGTCCTTCCTATGCCAAATGCCTTCTTTTTGCCAAACACCGTCTTGCCAAATTTCTTGTATGTTTCTATACACTCGTCAACGGTCATGCCTAACCGACCGAGCATGATGGCGATAAGGCCTCCTGTCGAAGTGCCCCCGATGAGGTCGAAGACGTCGCATGGCCGTGGTATAGGTTCATCCGGATCTGTAACATCCCTCTTCAGCTGCAACATCAACCGACGAAGGATCAGTAAGGAAGTGAGGCCTTTCACACCGCCACCGTCCACGGCAAGGAGGCGGAAGGTTTGATTCTCAGGCGGCTGTTGAGACGTAGACATTTCTGTGATTAATGGAGGCAGTATTGTTCTCTTTGCACTCAGCTGTCAACCTGTCTCTACGTGACCGAAACAAGAGACGGAAAATCGATACTGCCTAAAACGACTTTAATATAATTTTGAAATGGGAATGAAATATATATAGTCCTGATTATCAATAGAAAGAAACCTTGTGGTAGCAGATTCCATGAGTAACGAAACCATTACTTCATTAACTATAATAAAATCTTAGGTATTCAATTATGTATTGAAAGAATTGTTTTTAATATATTAATGAAATCAATTCGAACTTTGTACTAAACAAGGGAATTCTATTTTAAAGGGATTTAATGAAATTTTTGAATTTTAAGTTTTAACTTTAAGTAATCGTTTTTAAAGGAAAATAGTTTATATATATTCAAGTCAGATTATTCTTTTATTTATTTAGTATATTCTATATTGATAATACAATGATACAGTTTTTAGTTAAAGAATAAATTAAAAATGAATAGCAAGAATAGAAATCCCTTTCTTTATAAACTTTCGGCTAATATCTTTAGCTCCCCCGCTCGTTCCCCTTCTCCTTTTCTAATTCCTCTGTGTATTCCCCTCCTCCTCTTCTTAACTTCTATACTCACTCCTCTACTCTTTCTAGCTCTTATATTCACTCTCTTTTATCCATCTTCTCTATAACTCTAAATATTAAAACCTTAAGATTCACATTTTAAATTTATTTATTAAAATTCAATAATAATAAAATTACAAAAAGTATTGATTTCATTTGTGTTATACTTTTAATCACGTGTATGTACTAAATTAGTCTAGCTCAGATTAGCTAAGCCAGTGCCAATATCTTGGCCCTTGGCACCATTCTAAATAACCATCTTTTAATCCATATACAAACCTTACAAATAATAGCAAGTCCTATTTTAGATATCAAAACAAATTATTAGCTATTATATTAGATTGTTTTCTTTATTATATTATATATTCTATAATCAAATCTTTTATTATATTTCTTTTAAATTATAGAAAAACATTTTGTTTGTTATATTTAAATATCATTATGAATCTAAATATACTTTGATAGGGTATTATATTTTTGAATAGTAATACAAGATAGCCTTATTATTAAATTAAAAGCTCAATTTGATATAATTCTTTAAAAAATTATATCAAAAATAAGATTACTTGATTTTTTTCTTACCAAATATTCTAGAACTTAAAACAAATTATTAATTCAATAGTAGAACATTATTACTTGGATTTTACTAAATTTGAATATAAATAATCAAATAACACCTATCTTCTTATATAAACCTTTATTAAACAATTTCTTTCTTTTATTAAACAATTCTCAATAAATATTTAATATATTTATTAATTAATTCAACAATTATAATTAAATAATTGAGGCAACTCAAAGTATTATTGACACTTTATCCACACTATAGATTACAAGGTAAGGTTATTATTCTATAATATTTAATATATCCCCTTCAGTATAATCTATATTATCAAATAATATTATTAATAGCTTTTTACTAAACAAAATGGAGTTTTTAGTTATAATCTTTTCTATAAAACAATTTCAATAGTTATTATGAATAATTCAAACTTTTATATAATAAAACCCTTTATTAACAATTATCTCATATTTCTATTCTCAAGATTTAGATTATTTTGATTTGAATAATAAGACTAATATATTTATTAGAATAATGGATAATATTTTGATTTTTTATAATATATTCTTGTTTACTGTTCATATAAAAACCAAATCTTTAGATATTATTAAGAGATTATTTACTATTTATCTTATTACCTTTCAATTTGATTAATGTTTATATAAAAAGGTAAAGTTTTAATATATTAATGAAATATCCAATATAATATAAGCTGAATTGAAAACTAGTATTAAGAATTGGTATATCAAATTGAAGATACACTTTCATATATTACCAGATGTAGTACTTAAAAAGTTAGAAAAACTCAAATATATTATTAGAGATATATATTAATACAAAAATCCTAAAGAGTTTATTCAGAATATTATGGTTTTTGGCTGGAATATGGGCACCATCAAGTTTGAATATACTCAAATACTCATTGCTCATTAATATCTAACTATAAAGCTTCACATTCATATACCTGCTCTAATAATAAAAACAAATCTATCAATCTTTATAAAACAAATTGAACAAAAGAAGAATAATTGATTTAACATCTACCACCCCAATTTCACTAATAATTGTTTATTTAGTTAATATAATAATAAACACTTTTCTTCTAATAAACTATAATGCTGAAATAATCATGGATCTACCTACTTCTCCCTATTTCCTAAGAATTCCTTTAATCTCTATAAGAAATATAATATTAATAAAACAAAAAATAATATTAGATAAGATATATCTTTATTAAATAAAAAATTATATTAAAAATAGAATTCCAAATGGAATCAGAAAACTAATAGAATAAGAATCTATAATACTAAGGAGAATAAAATAGAAAAAGCTATTACTATAAACAAAATAATAAAAAATTATAATAATTATATATATAATTAAATTTATTATTAAAAATTAAAAAGTGATTATAAGAAATCAAATACTGATTCTAATATTTATAATGAAAAAATGGATATATAATATATTCATCTTATTCAAGATTCTATTCTGATATTATTTAAGTCTTTAAAGATTAAAATATTAATTAATATAAGATTCAATAATATGTATCAAAATAATATCAAGGGTTTTCAATTTGATAAAGAAAATCAAAAATCAAAATCTATCTTTTTAGATATTAATTTCAGATATAAATCGGGTGATTTTATAATATTTCAAAATATTAAAATCAATAAAGCTAAATATCAATATTATAATTACTAGAAGATATTTTATATTAAAAATAAATTATATATTCATTTCAAAAATCAATATGGAAAATATAAATCAACAAAATATTTAGTGAAATTTAAGATTAATGATATTTCAAAAGCTATTTTATCTTATTCTTTACAACTTATTAATTAATCTAAATAAAATATTATACTAATCAAATTTAGAAAACTATTCTTAATTCAATATCAACCTCAAATAGTTCGTTTTATAGCTAAAGCAAATAAATCGCCGTCAAATTATGTATTCAGAAATCGAAGATATACTGAGATCAAAGTATCATTAGATAGTCCTTAAAACAAAATATATATAATCTACCTTAATACAAATTACAGTATAAATTTAATTAACCAATTTTTTCTGTTCAAAATATATTCTATTATAGAAATTCATATTATAAATAAGATTATAAATATTCACAATTTGGGTTTTCAAAGATATAATATAAATCAATTTATAAATTTGGATTTCTATTTATTAGTAATTAATAATATTATAATTTATTTTTATTATAAAATCTATATTATAAATATACTGAATACTAAAATCCTATTAGATAATAATATTACTATTCCAAAAGAATAGATTATCAATCTAGATAATAGAATCTTAACTTTATCTCAATATATAGATCTGTAAGCTAAAATTGTAATACAATCAAAGAAGATTGAGAGAAAAATCCCAGTTTATACTATGAATAAAGTTATTATTCCATTTCACTCTTAAGCATTTATATTAACTATAAGTAGAAAGAGTAATGAATTATCTCTTCCAATTTATAATATAATTTATAAATCTTTATAGTAAAGGAATTTCATATTCTTCTCATATCTAATATCTAATAAGTTTAATTTTATTATAATTGAGAATCCTATAGATAAAAAAATAATAATTTACAAAAGTCTAAAATTTAGAAATATTATAAAATCTGATATTTAAATAATAATAATTATAAATAAAATTAATATTTATCATTTTATTTAAATATTGGTTATTATATTTAAATTAAAAAAACACCTTTTAGCTAAGAAATTGTTTATAATTATAATAACTATAATTTTATAAATAACTAATAGTATAAATAATATTCTAGGCTATATAAATATAACTAATTCAGAATTTATTAAATAAAAGGTTATTTTACTAAATGGAATTATAATTTATAGAAATAAAATATAAAGATAATAATTAAAGGATTTAGTAATAAGTAATTATATAGTTTGAAAAAATCGAAAAGATTTTATAAATATATTAAAAAATAAAAAGATAAAGATTAATTTATATAAAAATTAGAAAAAAAAATTCAAATTGAATAAAATAAAGATTTATTCTATAAATCAAAAAGATTAAATCCTTATAAACAAAACTTATAATAAACTTCATAAATAAGATTGCCTCAAATAAATAATAAAACCAGTCTCTTTTAACTTTCCAATATTCTATATATAAAAGAAAATAATTGATAAGAAGAAGTTATATTAAGAAAAGGCAGGGTTAATTATAAATATCTGTATATTAAATCAAATCGCTATTCCTAATATATATCCAATTCCTATGCAAATCAATATTATTATAGTTATAATTGAATATCCTTTTATATTCATTATTAATTATACTAGCTTTTTCTATTAATAATGTATCAAAAAGAATCATTAGAAGTATCTTATTATATTATCTTATTATGGTTAAAAGATATTTATTTATATAATAATGGGATTCAGAAATTTATCAATTTATATTCAAAAATATATTAACATTATTTTTAGATTGAAAAAGGAATTTATAAAAACTTATATTATAATATTATTATTTTTAATTATATATTTAAGAATTATTTAAAATATTTTTAATAGATTTTTTCTATAATTAAAAAATATAAATATTATTTTGAATTTTAAGAAATACTTTTTAATTTATTCTTCTATTATATTATTTAATTAAAAAATAAATGTATTTAATTTTATATCAATAAAAGATAAGTTTTTTACTATCCAAACTTTAGTTTTCCTTCGATTTTTAAAGTAACTCGAATATTATCTCAATTTTATTGGTTATCTATAATAATATATTTTATATTATACAAAATTATTAGTAGTACTATAAAAAAGAAAAAGCGAGCTAAATTGTTTATTATATATTTATAATAAAAATATTATTATAAAAACCAAAAAAAAAAACTTAGTAGTAATTTTGAAATTCAAAAATATTATTATTAAAGAAAAGAATTTATTCAATAAATTGCAATTTGTTTTCAAAAAATCTTTAATCTTATATTATTTTAACTCTAAGAAAAGATTATATATTGATATAGATATATTCAAAAAGAGAATCAGCAATATAGTCTATTATTCTGTAATCGATTTGCCAATTTAGAAGTTTATTATATTAATCATATTTCTCTCTCAACTTATTATATTTATCAAATCCAATTATTAATTAATTAAATTAAAGATTGCAAACTTGTACTAAATAATTTCAAGAATTCAGCATTTGATTGAATTATCAAAATTTCTGATAATAATATATATAGATTATTCTGCAAATATTCAAATTATTATTTAGATTTTTATAAATATATTTTCCTTAATTCAATTGAATTCTTATTATCTATAAAATTCCAAATATCTTTTCTAATTCTACTTTAAGATATAATATAAATCTGGATATTTTAATATTATATTAGATATTTTATTATAATTTTATATTATTAAAAAGAAAACAAATAAATAAAAATCAATTTAGATGGAACAAAGTTATAACTATAGAATATCAAAAACTATAGTTTATCCTATAATAGTCCTATAAATCGAAAAGGCTTAACTATAAAAACTTAAGTAGATATATATATTAAATTCATGGTACATCAAGTTAATCAAATAAATTAAAGAAAATAAAAAATTGGAAATTAATATTATAAAACTATTTTTCAAAATAAAATAAAATATTTTATATACAAAATCTAATATAATATATTCATAAAAAAGATTAATAATGCCCATATTTCTAAAAAACAAAATATTCAATTATATATATAATTAATTAGAATATCTAAACTATAATTATATTTATAAAAGGATTTCTTTTAGTTTTTATATTTTTAATATATTTAAAAAGCTTTAATCTTTTCTTTATTATTATTACCAATATAGAATATTATCAATCTTTTAATACTAGTTTTATAGATTACTATAATCTATTCTAACTTCTTTATATATCTTTTATATAATATTTATTAATTTTATTTTGATTTTATTTAAATCAATGTTGGATTTGTTTAATTATACTTTATTAATCACAAATAAACTTTCCAAAACAATTACTTTAATTCCTGAAAGAAATATTTGGATTATAGTTCAATAAGGAAATTCCCTAATTCAATATTTATTTCTGATATTATAAAAAATGTTTTATATAATTATTTTTGATTGAAATAAGAAATTTATTTTCAAGATATAGAAAGGGATTATAGATTCATTAAGTATTAAATTATTATTCAGCATAACTTAGCATTTATAAATAGATAGAAGTAATAAATATACTAATTAAACAATGAAGATCGCTTTTCAATATTATTTTAATACTCTAAATAATAATTCACAATAACTAATAATATTACTATATTTATCTATAGTTTTATTAAATTTTATATCTCAAGATATAAATATTATTATTATTATAATAATATATGGATCTAAAATCAAAAAGCCATTCGATATTATAACAAAAATAATTATAAAGCTGACAAAAATATTACCCTAAAGAATTAGATCCAAACCTGCAATAGAACAAATAGCTAAGATATACCCAATAGAGCCTACGAATAATGCCAAATACAAACTTACAATAATCGAGGTAATTAATATAATTAAATTTATAATTATATTTATAAAGCATTATTTCAATTAATAATATAAATCTATATTCTTTAAGATTAAGAATTATATTTTTTTATAATTATATTGAGAATATAATATATCTAATATTGTGAATAGAAATATAAAAATTAAATAGCAATTTATAAATTTATTCAAAATTCTAAAAAGAATTAAATATCTAGTTTATTGAATCAAATTATCTAAGTTTATAAAGATACATTTAATTATTAATATTATATATCTTAAATCTATACTAAATTCTACATAAGATTTTTTTTATTATCCTTTTGTATAAAGAATTCTACAGAATCCTGAATTGATTTTAAAGAGAATTCTATGGAAATGAGTTTTATATAGAAAAGGAAAAGGAAAAATAAATAAATATTTGATTTAATATTTAAAAAAAGAAATAGAATAGAATTAATGAATATTAGATAAAAGAATTTTAATAAAGTTAATTAAAGCTTTTAATAAATAAATTTATATATATTTAGGGATAAAAATCAGAACTAAATATATTTTGCTTTGAGATAAAGTATTTTTTCAATTATAATACTTGTTATATTTTTAATTATGTATATATATTAAATTAGTTTAGCTCAGATTAACTAAGCTAATGCCAATATCTTGGCCCTTGGCACCATTCTAAATAACCATCTTTTAATCCACACACAAACCTCACAATTTGTTATATATAAAATAAGTATATTATTATTTACAAAGATATTGTTAATATTATAATATATATATTAAAAGTTTATATGGGAATTTATATTGAATTTCTCTTTATTTTGAGTAATGGATTTGCCACTACAGGAGAAGCACAAATTTTCGCGAGGTCTTCTCAAACTCTAGTATTTGATTTGAAGTGAACTTGTAACTCATTAAAGAAGTTCTTTAAACGGGTGCTCGATTCCCGCCTCTTATTTCCCGCCTCTCATTTCGATTACGAGGTAGAGCATGGTTCTGTCGATACCATGTGATTAGATGTCCCAGGTTGGATAAAAGACCATGGATCACATGATCACATTAACATAACACTCCTCTCGTCATTATACTATGAAGACACCAAACATTCAAATCTCACATCTCGAATCAAGTCACAGTTCAAATTCGTGTAGCCGGGCAATGATATTCAAGTAATTTCTTAATTCCTTTTACATTGCCGTTTAAGTCTATGCAGTACAAAAAACCACCTGCCCAATCCAAGAATTTACCCATGATATTTCGCTCGCTATTTGTATCGAAAGTTTTCATCATTTCGTAAAGCGTGAAAGTCATTCCTCGATCATGTCGAAGGATATAGCTGCAAAAGAGTTAGCTTGATTGTCGGCGTTGTACATAGGTGATCGTACCTCAAGCACTTTCACTCTAACTACTGTTGCTGCTGCTACTGCTGCTGCTCGTTGGTCGCGTTAAAAGAGCTCCAAAGTTGACCTCAGCAGGAAAATACTTTGCCAACATTTTTTCGTACATTGGCTATCAAAAATTAGCTTAGATATTGATGTGCAATTGAAGTGGGTCTTACAGTAAGCTTTTCAACATCAGGAGGGCTATCACTCTTGCTGTAAAGATCAAACTGGTTAAAATCCTGTACCCATGGCTTCATCGCTCGATCATGATCGTTCTCAAAATGTGAATATTCATTCTCACGATGCCATGGGTAGAACGAATGATACCGGATCATTGCCAAGGCCTCAGGTGGGAGAGTAGATTGGTCTTTGAGAACCTGGTAAAGAAATTCATCATGGCCCCATGACATCATGACATTATCTAATCCACAACCTGGAGAATAGATACCGTATTTGGTGTTGTAGCGAGGATCATTGAAGTCCGGGTTGTCTTTGAGACTCTCATATAATTCGATCCGCTTCGAGTACTCAGCGCCTACTATGAAGGTATCTCCGACAGTATCCCACTGTCCTTGAGCACCCATGAGGCCCCATAGTTTGCCCAGGTCATGAACAAAACCAGTCACGACATACCAATCAGGCCGTCCAGCCAGTCTTGCCGCTTCGGATGTCTGAAAAAGGTGCTCTAGTTGACCAACCTGAGTATCAGGATCTGATTGATCAACATATTTATCGAGAAGCTTCGCAGCGGTCATTACTGGCATTTTACCCGGTTCTCTATTGGCGAATACTTGGCGAGCCGTGATATTGTATTCCACAGTTTGTTTTAGATGTTGTCTATCACAGGGTTAGAATACACGATCTGCATATGCTGAAAAGGAAAATGGCAGATTCATACTCTGTGTAGAAGATTTTAACATGGTCTTTCGCCTCACCATATCGTCGAAATTGCTTCTTATCTTTCTCAGCTCCAGACTTTTTCATATCGGCTTTGATGACGTTGAGCTCGTCGATTTTGTCGGAGACTTCCTCCAGTGCTTGCATATCTACTTCATTTTGAAAGGGGGTAGTATGTTGCTCCTCGGCTGGTGCGATTGAAGACTTAACCTGTTGTTCCCTGACTGAAACTACTGAAGCCATGTTCAATAATGGCAAATAAAGCAAGGTAGATGATTAAAAATTATGAGGTCTTCTGGAATGATTTTTGAGATTCCAAACGCTAGAAAAATATTCTTGAACGTCCTGTAGGTACCTATGTACTTATACTTTCCCCGATCTTTTAAATGGAGCTATTACGATATTATACCTTAGTACTAGGTAGGTACCTGGATCAACATTGCCAAGATTCAACTATGTATTGAGTTCCATTAGAAAGGGGAATAAACATTTCTTCGGGTCATGGCAAAGAAACTACCTAGGTAATGCGTGGGGGTATGAGGGGAGTGAGGGGGATTGACAGGGAAACGTGGAAACTGGGGTTACAGATTTATAGATCGTGTTGATGATCAGTTGTCAATATTAAGGAAAATTGCTTAATTGAGTGCAGAGAAAGTAATTTTTCGGACTTTTTGCCGGTCCCCTAGATCTTCCAAGGTTAAATGGTCAGCGGTCCATGCGGAGATATATGTGGGTAGTACTGTGGGATGGAAATAGAAAAATTACTATATCGGTTGATAAAGTGGTAATTTCTGAAATTCTTACTTCTGTCTTAACTCTACTTTCTCCTCTCAACTACCGAATTGGCAGTTACCGTCTGTCCATTCTGGGACTGGGAATCAACAATGAATGCCCTTATCCACATCCGTCGTTCTTGACAACTTTGTTTTACTTTAGAGTTTTACCCCAAGTAAACGTTATTATCACATGTTCTCACGATACCAGGAAAATCCTCCGTTTACAAATATAAGAATTGTGGGTAAGTTCTTGATAATTCTTATCAAAGCCTCTCTAACTGGATTTATTACGCATCATTCTGACGTGTTACAACATGATAGTCTAGGAGTCTAGAATATCAATTACCCAACCACCAATATGCGTCTCATACCTAGTGAATCGACCCCGAATCCAAAGCCGAGCTTGGCAGAATGGTCAAAAGGCATGAGGAAGTATTGCCGATGAGATGATCTTTCGTTCTTGGCTTGTGACGACAATCCTCTGCACTATTGACGTCGAACAAGAAGGTTTGCCGCTACAGAGTCCTTATTCCTATGATGAACATAAATACCGGTAAAGATGCAAAATTTAACTCGAAAGTCGATGCATAGCGTTGTTGATGAATGGTTCTATTACTTCATGGCTCAATAGCAGTTTCTTGTTTACTCTTCCCAAGCATCACTATGATTGATGAATGGCCATTTCCAATTAGTCCTCCACTTTCTACCATTTTCAATTTACTACATCATACCTCGGAATTCAGTACTGAGCTTCCCTCTTCCCTTCCCCAGATAATCGGTAGGTCCGAGCCGATCCCACATGTTAACCATCTCAGTGCCGGATTAACAAACAACTGATGGATTATATACTGTTTCAATAAGTTGACACTATCGGAACATTCATTGAACCATGTTCGTATCGGACCACGGACTGTCAACTGGCAATGAAAAGCTAGCATAAGAGGAGCAATAATCAAGCCTCGTTGACCCTAAATCGGCCCATTGCCGTATATGCTGTACTCTCCACTCATATGTCTTACTTGGAGGGCGCACATGACCTACTAGTGATACTTACAGCACAGATATATCGTCCCAATATACATTCTGGTAGTCTTTCTATCTATATGCATCTAGCTAAGCCTGTCTTTACTTTTATTTCAGAATTTGTGAAGTCGAACTCTGCTTTCAGATCATGTAGGGTATGTCATTTTCTCTTTTTGCGATCCTCGGTGCTGTGATATCGGCCCGTCATGTAACCATTGCCATTCTCAAAGGTCTTGTGCAAAAGCAGGTTCGCTTTGCTAGTGAAGCTGGAATCTTTTTGCGTTATTGATTAGAAGGAAAGTTCCATGCTTTAGTGAGCTGGGTCGAGATTCTCCAGAGGGCAATGTTCTCTGGCTACCTACCGCTAGACAAAAGCAAACGCAGTCACAGACTTGTCCACCCTGAGCCACGAAACTTTTATAGATAATTTGAGTAGGACTTAACATCAAAACTTATCTATTGAATAAATAATTTCCATTAAATCAAGTCCCAGATGTAATCTAAGAAGCCGTCGTCGACCAAAATGACCCTCTAACTCTCTCCATAGCGCACAAGATATGATTAATTAAATCTTTCTAACTCTAAACCAGAAAAACTGAACTCCACCAGCACATCAGGACTTACTCTAAATCCTTGCTATTATCGATCTTCGAAAAGGTGCATTAAGCAAGGAGTGTTATCTGGCCATGGGTGAGGAATGGCTCCAGATAGAACACATCCATTTACGACTCAGTGGTGTCAACGAGAACTTTTAAAACCAAGCTACCATTCTCATCCTTAACTTTACCAGCCATTGCAAATGCTTCCGGAATACTCTCGAATCCCTTGTACCTCTGCGTGATTAACTTTGAGAGATCAGGGAGCAAAGGATCTTTGCTCGCAACAAGTTTAATGGCATCTGCATAAGTGTTTGCATATCTGAAAACACCTACGAGATCAACCTCTCGTAGAGCAGCTGCAGAAATTGGTAATGTTTGTATGGGTGTTCCCATTCCAATTAGCATTATCTTTCCTCCTGGTTTAGTTGCCTGACGGGCGTTAGCACCAAACTCCCCATCCCGTGAAAGACCTTTTAACTTACATATATCGAAGCCTGAAGGCATGATTCAACGCCTGTACACTCGAATACTGCATCAACCTCGACTTCTCCGGATGCTTTCTTAACCAATTCGGCAACCTCTTTCGCAAAAGCCAACTTATCCTCGATTGTCTGAGGTCTGGTCATTGGAACCAGAAGCTTGGCATCTGCGAAATTGTTCTGAACTGCAAAATCTAATCGGTCGGGCTGTATATCCGCTATGACAATATTCTTCGCACCGGTAACTCTGCACATTGCCGCGCATAAAAGGCCCACTGCTCCGGCACCGAAGATGAGCACCGTCTTGCCCTTTGGCAAAGCAGCTCGCCTTGTACCGTGGATTGCGACACTGAGAGGTTCGAGCACGGCACCGAGCTCAAGAGATACATTTCCAGGTAATCTACCCCAGTGAGCACATGGCAGAAAAAATACGGAATCGATACCTACAAATGACAATATGCCGCAGGATGATTAATCCGTTCTTGCAGAGTGCCTTGAACATGTGGGAATGCTTTCGCTGAACTTCTAAACTTCATTTCTTTGCAGATATTGTATCTTCCATTTACACATAAATCACAAGTCTTGCAAGGAAGTCCAACTTCTAACGCAACGCGGTCTCCAATTTTCAGATTGCTGACTTCGGAGCCAACAGCAGTAACAATTCCAGCAGATTCATGTCCGAGAGTCATAGGCTCCCGGACGATAATATCTCCATTTCGATAATGATTATAGTAATGTAAATCAGATCCGCAGAGACCAGTAGCTTGCACGGCGACTTGTACTTCTGTTGGCTCAGGTACACCTAGAGTACGAGTTTCCTTTTCGAATGTCAGCCATCGTATTCTTACCTTCTACAAAGAAATTACTTGAGAACACCTTACTTACCACTTTCAAATCTTTGGCGCCATGAAGCACGGAAGCTTGCACTTCTCTTTGCTCACCACTTTCGTTATTATTAGTAGATGCCATGATGTTGAGTACTTTTTTGTGGAAGATATTGTATGATGATAATCCTGATTTCATTCCAAGGTCAAAATGTGTACTTGATGACATTTTACAGTAATTAAGTACATTGGCTAGTCTTTGTACTAAAATGACTTCTTTTATGCCGACAAATCACCAAACAGGTTATGACGGTGTTACCAACCCCACTGTGGAGAAAATCGGAGAGCTACCCCCACGTTTTAACATCTCATGCCGCAAACCGGAGTGGAGAGTGGGAGCATAAGAACAAATTACTTAATTGTTCAATTGATATACGAGCTTAAGTACTAAGTATTAATCTCAACTATCAAACCATGTGAAGCTTCACGGAATAACACCTTCGGGTACAACAATAATACAATGGCAGCCACAGCTTTATCAGCGTATTTCTCTTTGGAGGGTCAAACCGCACTCGTTACTGGTGGTACTCGAGGCATTGGACAAGCTGTTTGCATAGCACTTGCTGAAGCAGGAGCAGATTTGATCTTGATACAGGTAATTGGCTCTCGTTATACTGGATTTAAGCTGTATCGTACGTACGTACTGACGATAGATTTCATACAGCGTAGTCGTGAGAATCTCGAGACTCAGAAAGCCGTTGAGGCGCTTGGCAGGAAAGCTCTCATATACACCGCGGACCTTGCATCGCAGGAAGAAGTCGCCGGCATCACTTCTACTATTCTGAAAGATGGACACTCAATACATATCTTGGTAAATTGTGCTGGAATTCAAAGACGCCATCCGAGCCATGAGTTTCCAGATAATGACTGGAATGAGGTGAGCATCTTATTTCCCACCATTTGAGAAGGTACATTGAGCTAACAGATATTGAATTCAGGTCATCCAAGTCAACCTCAATACTGTCTTTACCCTCTGTCGCGATGTTGGTGCACACATGTTGAAACTCGAACCCTCTGCTATTACCGGCCGAAGAGGTAGCATCATCAATTTTGCTAGTCTTCTTACTTTCCAAGGTGGTCTTACTGTTCCAGCATATGCCGCATCGAAAGGTGCGGTGGGACAGCTTACCAAAGCTCTATCGAACGAATGGGCGTCAAAAGGAATCAATGTCAATGCGATTGCTCCGGGATATATTGAGACGGAGATGAATACTGCCTTGTTGGCCAACCCCGAACGATTGAGGAGTATTAGCGAAAGAATACCGGCGGGTCGATGGGGTTCCCCAGATGATTTTAAGGCGAGTGTTGTTTTCTTGGCAAGCAAGGGAAGTGCATATATCTCTGGAGATATTCTTACGGTGGATGGTGGCTGGATGGGCAGATGAAAACTTGTCAGGTTGGATATAATATATTCCTAATTCTAGTTTGATGCTCTTTGACATTTCACCGTTTTTCTCAATATTCATTGTCATCTAAATATTCAGGTTCTCCCAGTCGTCAGACCTCAGACTGGTTGGCAAAAGTCTGGTGGGATCAATTGGCTCATGAGTCTCCTGTTTGGCATGCATAGTTTGGAATCATTTAACTATAATTCATTGAACGTTCTTGTTGAGGATTTCAGCACATTGCTGAACCCCGTTTACTACTGTACATCCCACTCATGTAAACTGACACACCAGTGACACCACAACTTTCTGCATCGATGTCATTCCATTTCTTTAGATTATTTCTTGTGGGGCCTTTGTCATGTGCATACCTTTTTGACAATCGGCCTATTCGTAACCATTGCAGCGCCCGGATGAGTACCTCTATGTCAATCAATTTCTCAAGACATGTCTCGCGAGCCTATCTACCACCAATGATATCATTCTTTCCAGTGACCAGATTCTCAGTGCCGGTATATACACCCGTCGATGAACATTCAATTGAGTCTTCTGTCTTTGCGTTCCATCTTTATGATCTTATCTCCGAAACAAACCCCGCCAACCCCACGCACAACCATGAAAAATCTTTCGCAAGAAATCCATGAAACGGGACCACCAAAGAGACCGGACAAATCAAGGATTGGTGGTTGGAAATAGTACGGTGTAATGATACTCCGAACCGTTCCGGATGTCATTCCGGGACTTCTGAATACACACCACGCACCAATCGATGAAGGCTCGAAGAAAAAAATACCGTTCAACGGATGAGATAGAGCAGAACTCAAACCCAGAAAAGAAATTGTTCTTTCTTTCCTAATCATAGAAGCCTCGCCCCCTTTAAACTATTCGCTTCACTCGAAAGTAAAATGAAAAGTTTCCACCCAATAAAAGTATCAACAACTTCCTCAATTCTCAAGCTAGAAAGACAAAAAGAAACGCAAAATGATATTGGAGCGGCAGGGAGTCGAACCCTGGACTTCATCGAAACTTATCAGATGTATCTGGGAGGATATCTGACAATGCAAACGAGGCACTCTACCACTGAGTTACAGCCCCTGGTAGTTGTTATGAAAGTCCGGGTTAATCTGATATACATTAATCTTTAAAAAATTCATCCGTAAGATGTGGAGTTTATGCAGGAAATAGATTGGGTTGTACCTATCAGATTGGTTTTTGTCAAGTACGAGACCCGCAGAGGGGCAGTATCCACAGCCCCTCTTCTCATTATTTTCTGTGACCACTCAACAGGATTCTTTTTGCTTGTAATGAATCTTTGATGTTCTGATTGGATTGTTTTGGATTGCATTTCTTTGCAAGTATGATGTATCTGATTTATCGTCATACCACTTTTGTGGCGAGCAGCATGAACTTCGTCGTCGTCAGTTATTGGATTGATTCACTTCTGGATCATCTCCATACATAGTAGGAGTTTGCGAGGTGGAGGGGATTATTAAGAAAAATGAACTGTCATTTCACATTTTCATATAACTGTAGCATGAATTTTTAATATTCCGGTGGAATTCAATAATTCGAAGGGTTTGAATGTTTCGCCTGAACCCAGAAAATGGAAGCCTCTCATTTTCAGACTGCAATACGGTCTGCAGGAAGCCGATACAAGGATGTCAGTGACCTGCCTTGAGAGTAGACGGGGAATCAAGGATCTCTAATGTTGTTTGTCGGAATTCGAAGTCGTAGTTCGATTGAGGGTCGAAAGGAATCTAAATTTTGTTTCTCAAAAAGATGTCGTTGTAGAGTGAAGATATACTTTTAACGTAAGATTCATTCTTTGTACATGAAGCAGTGCCACTTTCACTGCAGTCAATTATGGAAGGGAGCACCACGAAACGATAGTCTAAGTCTGGTCCTTTGTTACATCTGACTCACATGAAGCAAGTCGTTTCAACCGTACGGAGATAGGAAATTCCAATCTGATGTCGAGATGGGAAAGTGTTGAGCTTTATGAATTCATCCACATAGCAATATCTAGTGGTTAATCGACTGCTACTGTTTCAATTTAGAGAGATGCGAGCTCATTGTTTCTCTCAAGATTTGAAAGAGAAAGAATGTCACCCGATTACTTCAGTCTTTATCATTTTACAGATATGCTGAGGTCTAACATATTGAGTTATCAAAACTACCAATGATGGAGTAAGAGTCCGTTGATTTTCCGCATCATTTTAAGATTTTCGGTAGTCTCTAGCTTCTTTAGCGAGTTCCCTATGTTGTAAGCTACTGTCTGTGTCTCAAATTTAGAAGCCCAAATTTGAGGAAATAGCACGTTTAGGACAAATAACTATCAATTTATAGCTCAGAGGATATAAAAAAAAAGTACAACCCTCTCATTTAACGAGTGTATGGCTCTATATTATCTCTGTCTAATGCCAATAACGGTAGACTATTGTCTAATTTTTCTCCTGAGTTAACAATAGATTATCAAGGCGTACCTATGCAACCAAGGGGTTTTTCTCTCTCAAAGATTGTTCAAAATCCGGCAACTCAAGTTCGCAATCGACAACACGATTCAAGAAGTAGTCAATTCCGATTTTTCAAATGGTATATATTTGCTTTTGGTAAGAATTTCAAACCGGGAACTCGTATATACCAGTGGTGTCGAGACTATATATCAAACCACTAGTATCTCTCGTATGATCCCACCAAAAACCTACGATTTCTCCATCGCTTTCTTCTTCTTCATCTTCTTCCTCTTCTTCTTCTTCGACGTCTCCTTCATTCATTTCATCGCCATAACCCTCTTCTTCCTCGTCGTTGTACTCTACAACGATAACACTGCTGTCATCCATTTCTTCATCACTATCTTCTTCTCCTCCATTCTCCTCATCACTATCTTCATCACCATTATCTCCATCGCTATTTCCTCCTTCATCATCTTCATCCATTTCTTCGTCGTTACTCTCTTCCCCATCATTGTTGTAATCGACAACGATAACGCTGCCAACACTTTCTTCGTCGCTTCCCTCTTCCCCTTCATTGTCAAACCCTTCATTACTATCAGCGGCATCGGCAGCAGCCTGGTCTGCGGCACGATGGTTCTTAATAATAAGTTCCCTGATGTGCTGCTTCGCGCGACTCCAACTACTATTAAAGGAGCGCGGCGTATTGATGCCTCCGTAACTGGCCGCCCAAACAGGATCCGCTTTTGCTATACCTAGCATCATCTCCCAATAGCCGAAGACGTGGCGACTGAGATCCGTGATATCGTAGGCTGTTGCTGTTGTTGGTGCAATGGTCTCGTGGACTCTCATTGTCTCTTCTTGAACTGTAAAATGACTGATTAGTGTTCTTGTCTTGAGAGATTGGAGATACCAATGTGAATATCACTTACAGCGTATTTTCGCGTTATAGATTGCTGCATCCTGACAGCAAAGAAAGGTCAGGGTATCGACGGTGGGATAAGCTCCTGGGCCATATTGTTGATCTTTAAACCAGAGGTTGTAGTCTACAGTATCTACTGGGACCTGGGCAGACATTGTGCAAGGAGAAATATGATGATAGTGGTGGTTGGTAGTATCGCGCCACGTAGCTGATAAAAATTCGAATGAGACGGCGACGTGGATTTAGGCTGTGAGCACGAAAGTGCCCGTTGGATTGACAGCTGGCGAGATCAAAGAGAAGTTTCAGTATTTATAGAGAATGATTAGACAATCTGCAGTAATATTGAGCTATGTAGCTACGCATCAATCTTCTTTTTGCTGTCTTTTGTGATGGTTGTTGGAGAGTTCGAGGTTGCTGTACCCGACGACAGAAATTAATTCGACGCGTAAATTTAATTTTGACATAACAACACTAGCTAACCGTTGTTCTCGAGTTTTTTGAGATGACTACCTTTATAAAACTAACTCGGAACAAGCCGATTGGTTTGTCAATGTCCTATTTTAAGCAAGTCTTAACATTACTGAAGTGTATTATATTCACTTGTCAAAACAGCAACCTCTCCTAAGCGGAGAAGAGTAGAAGTAATGAAAGCCACAAAATGTTCTTGAATTGAAGGAAAAATAACCTTTATAGTAGACAAGATCAAGACAGCTATTCAAATACAGTAAGTTAATAACGAACATATTTATATTCACAGACGATCAAGCAGTCAAAGAACAAATAAAAGACAGTCATAATTGCTCAGAAGTTGTACTAACTTGTTAATATAGAAAGCAAAGAGAACCAGAGGCAGAAGATTTACAAACAAACACCTCAACTTTATTCGATAAATTTCAAGTTTACTGCCATCAGTAGCTTTCTTCTACCAACACATACAAAATACACGACAAATCGACAAACAAACACAACACTGCTTGTCAGATGGCAACCAATATCTGGCACTGCCAGTCATCTCTGGCCTCGGTAGGACAATATCGTTATACAAACCACAACCATATAAAGGTGGAAACAAGGCAAAGGTTATGCACAATGTTCGCTTGGAAGCTACCCAAAACGCTCTGCAAAACAACGAGTTAGGGGAAGAGAGGTCAGCAAGTGGCGTATTTATATATATATAAACCTATTCAAAATACATTGCATTCAGTCGGAGCCACTACATATTACTATTGTGGATCAAGAATCGGGGAGAAATATCTACCCAACCAGACAAAACATACCGAGATCTTCTACATCAGGATTTGGTATCGTAGCATAGAGGGACTATCTATCCAGGGAAAACCGTTTAGTGCAGCATATATTATTCGCCGATTTTCTGTTCATTCGATCCTTTGAGTACTTGATATACTCTCTGGAAAACGAAGATTTGTTACCTGGGTAGCCTTGATATCTGAATATCAATTATTCAGCGACACTTCCTAGTATTAATTCTATAGAGTGTTGTCGAGATTCATTGAACAAATTATAATTTGTATTATGTTTTGTTAAGGTATTTAATATAAGGATATACGATATGATTCATATATAAGATGTATGATAAATAGTAAAAGTCAAAGTGGATAAGTTTCAAATAGTATTACAAAAATTGTTTCAAAACATAATAAGACTGTAGTCAACTGAATATCATCCGTAAATCATTTTGTATGTATTGAAAGAAATACCTCAGCAAACTTCATTTACCGTCCCCTTAGGTGGAAGGAGGTTCCTTCCCATTTTGAAGCTTCACCTTTTGATGTGGGGCGATGGTATACTATCTACCTAGTATATAGTAAAAAGGCGCCTTCTATTTATCTTCCATTTCTCTCGAATGCATCTCTCTCCAATCCTCGATCCCACTCATATTAGAAATAGCCCAAGGTGATTGTCCATACCTTACAACCAATTTGGCGTTATGGTAGACGCCCTCCAAGCGCATCAGGAGGTCATTGCAGAAGCACTGGAGATTATGGCAGAGAAAAGAAACAGAATAGGACTCTTGCGTTTTCATGATAGCAATCTTGCTTTATAATATGTGAATGTGAATGTGAATGAAATATTAATGCTAACATTGTATAGAATTCTTGATGGCAACATTTACAGAAGCCGATGATAGCGAAAACAGTTTGAAGGAGCTTTTAGTGAGTTGGGATGAGGAATAAGTTGTACAAGTATATATGGGTATTTCAAGAATAGATCATGAAGTTAAGGATGGGGGGAGTGAAAACCAAGAAGCGTCTGGAAAATCGGACAAGGTTCGAAATGAGAAGACAGGAAAACGAATGCAAGAGGAATCCGGAGACGGAGCGGAAGAGAAACAGCAAGAGGAAGCCAGAGACGGAAATAAGAAGCGCATAGGCAGGTGAAGTAGACGCAAGATTATTATTGAGGACGAGTCAAAGGATTTGGTAGAGGACGAGGCCGGTGTGGACTTGGAGGGATCAACACTCCTGGAGTAGATCTGGGAAACATTGTGGAACCAAAGCGGATGAGGGTTGGTAAATGTGAACTAGAAATATGGCAGTATGAGTGATGAGAATGAGTGTATGATATCAAGTGATGGAATGTGATTGATTGAATTATACGTCATGATAGATTCCAAACCATTTGAATATTCAATCTGAGATAGAACATTAGAAGAATGTAATTGTTTAGCCTGGATTGAAAGACTGAAATAGTATAATTATTCAATCTGAGTTGGGAGATCAGAAAAACTGAGTGTCCAATCTCTACTAGAACATTCAAAGCGTTTGATTATTGAGTTGGAGTTGAAGTATTGAAGAGGTTCTCAAAGGTTCATGTAAGATTTGTATGATACCTAGTAGTATACAACTTATCAGGTGTCCATCTCAGTATGAGAGTCTACCCCACATCTCTCTCTACCTGCACAGCGCACTAATTTCCCTCCCGCCAATACCTCTCACCTGATTTCCTCTACCCCACCACTATTGTTATATAGATATATACTTAAAATAGCCCACCTCAGACATCAAAAAACAGCCTCTCAGCAGGTGGTGTGGTGTAATGGTAGCACGTGACGTTGTGGCTCATCCTTCACAGGATATATCACGAATGATCCGTTTCAATCTGGGTTCGATTCCCAGCACCGCCAAAGACAATGTCTTGGATTGAAAACAATGACGGTTTAAATCCGTTTCTCTTTTTGCGTTTTTTTTTTGATGGATTTTTGAGGTTGGACAGTGATGGTGGGGATTTTTTGGTGGTGGATATTAGGCGAGGTGGGGATGGTACGTGCGCAGGATTTTTGTGGTGGGGAGTCTGTCTTGACCCGATACCACCTAACTTCAACTCGGGATTGAGCTGTTGGTCATGTGGTTGAATTTTATGTGAATATTGCTGTTGGAATGTGGATGTAGAAATTGGGTGTGCTATATTGGTTGATATCGTATTTATTCGATGAAGATGATCATATTTAGTATCAGAACACAAGTATGTAGATTACTAGGTACATGATTGTATTTTATTCCACTCTTGTGTATATATGTTGTACACATAACAGGAGAATAAGATGGGAGGACTTTACAGTTTAGTATTTTTATTTTGTACAGAGACGAGGAAGTGTTGAAAAGGCATTGATAAGGGAGAAAAGTTGAGAAGGAAGAGTGAGTCTTGTAGATGTTGAAAGCAACAACTGGACTATGCAAGCACCTTGCCAGATGCAGCGACCTTCAAACTTTAGATGAAGGGTAACACTGCGATCTCTATTATCTCCATCTAGATACCATTGACACCTGAATTAAAATCCTTCTTAGGCTTCAAGACGGGAAATTCGCGTATTAGTTAGTACTTCAAGATCTCTATACAGCTCTAAATTTTCGCTCTACAATCTATAAGTCTCGAGAAGGGATATAGTAGAAAATATTCTCAGAAGAACTACTACACATCCTATCATGATTCCGAAGGGAACAATAAGAGAAAGCTTGAAGTAGTAAAAGTTCAACCGGGAACCAGCAAGAAACCCCAAACAGCTACAAGCTCTCGGTGCCAACTTACTGCACATAGTTCATCTAATGACAACCTGTTTTAAGGACTCGAAATATATAATTGTTTCCCAATTTATACTGCTACAAGTCGTAAATGGTGACTAGTAGCGAGTTTTGCTCCTCACATGTGAAATACGCATGATTCGCATTATCCCATGTTATCCTAAGTCACCCGAAAACCCCTTTGATACCAGAACTCATACATAACGTCACCGTAAAAAGTTGACAGATGGTTGAGAACTATTGCTGAAAAAATAGAGTCTACAGAATAGTACCTTCACTCGATAGTTGGAAATTCCGAGAATTGCTCAAATTCTTATGTACCGCAAGTCATGAACACTTTCCAACTTGGCAGTAGCAACTCAAGTAACTAATTCGAATATCTTTACATAGGAAATATTCAAATTGATACGTGGAACTGGTCCTTCAAATTTGCCGGTAGCTCGAGAGCATACCATATTAGGAAGGCGTATTTTTAGAGGAATAGATAGACAAATAATCAACTTATAACAAAATACACAAATACGCTACGGACATTATAAGACCTCCGAGATTTTGCTTCGTGATTGACCACATGAGAATAAGTGACTGGGGGCTGTGGCGTTCACTAGTATGCCACAGAACCTCCGCAGGATGAATTTTCCCTTGGCGATATACCTCAACAATAGACGAACGTAAGTGCGGCGTTATATTTGCACTGCTAGAGACGGCACTGGTCAATCCCTATTCCATGATTAAGCGTTGATGCCAATCTAGATGCGATTATTGGCGCCAATGTTTTGACGAGCTGGTCCGATTTGAAACCCCGCTAATAACGGTTTGGGCTGAGTTTTTCGGGGAGGTAGTGATTGACCACCCAATGTAAACACCGATCCGCGGTATAATTTGTACAAAAATTTTAATAGCCCACCAGAAATTATAATGGCTCGCTGGATGCAGTTCTAATCCGGGGAGTTAATTGTGGATGGAATATGTGAAGAAGTGACATAGATAAATGTGCAGATTGGAACAACTGTAGTTCGAAGAACTCGGACCTTAGAGAACTTTTATGTGCTAGTTATGTACGCGAGATCTCCCTACACGTGACCTAGCGACAGCGAGCAGGGTGCGATTGACACCGATTCGTGAGTTTATACAATCGATTTGAGAAATCAAATCCCTATCTGATTTTTACTAAGAATTTGTTCATGAATCAATTATTAATCGAACATGTCATTTGTCGAATATACAAAACCTTGTAAATTGAATGGTTTTGCTTGCTCAAGTTTATACATCTGACTTGGTATAAAGACAAGTTTGAGAATAGCTTTCGTTCGACTTGACTATTACAGTTCTAGTTGATACTAGAGATTTCAGTATCCAAGAATTTTAATACGAAGAGTCGCACACCTGAAGCAACTCTTTTTTTCAGAGGAGAAAACTCCTGGGGTATAGAAATAAAAATACCATTCGACATGTATCTAGGGTCTCACATTGAGAGTAAAGATCTTGACGGGTTCTTTGAACTAAGCTTGCTTTAAATGACGGAGATTACCCATTTGCCAGCTTTAACCTAAGATAGAGGTACGCAGGTCAGAAAGGAGCTGATTAGACTTTTCTGGGGGCGCTGTTAGACTCTCCGATTGAGAAGGCTATATGCAAGAAGTGGACTATAGATTAATGCCCACTCAGACCGTAGTCTAGCGCCCAAGAGTATCCTTGAAGATTGCGAGTAGTATGTATGTGTACAGTAGACTTGTCACCCAGGTGTATCTATAGCTGACGAAAAGCTTCGTCATAGGGGTCATCATTATACTTTGGATTTGGTTCTGCTCACCGATTTTGATGCCATTTGCCATTCATCTAGTAGATTTCCAATCGTATCTTTAATGAAGCATACGTATTACAATGCGTTGCTTCACTTTACGGTGAAAAGAAGAGTCTTCACTTGACATAACGCCCTGCTAAAAGCCGATTCGTTAACTTTTATTACATCTTTAATGAAGTATAAAAACTTTTGTTTGAACCAGAGGAATAGCTTCAGCAAGAGATCTAGATTTCCTCTCATTACACCAACATTCGTTTCTCGACAGCTAGAAGCTTAATACAACCTTTACTTTCATACATTTGGATATCCCATATTGGATTTTTCTCTCTTTAAAATGTGCAAGTCACTTTTCGGACTCGCAGCCGCTGCTGCCACAGCTTCTGCAGAATCTCTGACCGACATCTGTACAACATCCGTCGCTAAAGCGGCTCTACCCGCAGACGGTACATTGTTCGGGAGTTCTGTCATCCCATCATCGGTCACAGCAAACGTCGTGTACAACACTTCTGTCAGCGGACAAACTTTCTTCCCCGATGCTACTGTCAATTTATGCAACGTAACCTTCGCCCTATACCCACAATGGCCGTGGGGATAATGTGGTTCTAACACTTTGGTTACCAGCCCCAGAGAACTTCGAAAACAGATGGCTCTCATCTGGGGGAATGGCTTACAGCATCAATTCGGGTACTACTAACCTGGTCGGGGGTGTCATGTATGGTGCTGCATCTGGTCTCACCGATGGTGGATTCGATACTGTATTCGACTCCGTATTCCTTCTCGACAATGGTACAATCAACTGGGAGCCCACTTACATGTTTGGTTATCAAGCTATTGGCGAGTTGACCACGCTTGGAAAGGAATTTACTAAGCAGTTTTACAACATGGGCGATAATAAGCTCTACGCTTATTATCAAGGTTGTTCCGATGGTGGTCGTGAGGGATGGAGTCAAGCTCAACGCTGGGGTGATATTTACGACGGAATTATTGCCGGTGCACCAGCTTTCCGATATGGCCAACAGCAAGTCAATCATCTCTTCTCAAACGTTGTCGAGCAGACACTTGATTATTACCCATCAGCATGCGAGCTTGAACTAATTGTTAACGAAACCATCTCGAACTGCGATGGTCTTGATGGCAAGGTTGATGGTGTGGTGTCTCGAACAGATCTTTGCAAGCTTCATTACGACATCAACCAAACTATCGGTTTGCCTTACAGCTGTGCTGCTAGCTCTGCTGGTGGCATTGGTCTTGGTTTTGGTAAGCGCAAGAGACAAATGATGGGAGGATCTACCAATCCAGCTACAAATGGTACCATCTCAGCCAAGGTAGTAGAGGTTGCGCAAACCATCCTCGATGGGTTACATGATTCTCAAGGTCGACATGCCTATCTCTCATATCAGCCATCAGCCGATTTCGATGATGCAGCAACAATCTACAATTCCGATACCGATTCCTACGAACTCAGCATTGCGGGAGCTGGTGGTGAATGGGTCGCTAGGTTCCTGGAATTACAGGATCTTGATAACCTTTCTTCTTTGGATAATGTCACCTATGATACCTTGGTGCAATGGATGGTTCAAGGCTGGACCAGATACGAGGATTCGCTTCAGATCAACAACCCGGATCTCACTGATATCTACAACTACGGAGGTAAAATCCTTCATTTCCACGGTGAATCCGATCCTAGCGTGCTGGCCGCTTCTTCCGTTCACTACTATGAGTCTGTCCGCAGCATCATGTATCCTGGACTATCTTTCAACGAGAGTACCGAAGCTTTGAAGGAATGGTACCGCTTGTACATGATTCCCGGTGCCGCTCACTGTGCCATCAACAGCGAACAGGAGAATGGGCCATTTCCTCAAACTAACTTGCAGGCGTTGATTGAGTGGGTGGAAAATGATACGGTTCCCGTCACCCTTAATGCCACCCACTTGGCTGGTGAATACAAAGGAAAGAACGCTCAAATCTGTGCTTGGCCTCTTCGCCCTCTCTGGATCAACAATGGTACGACCCAGGATTGCGTCTTTAACCAAGCTTCTTACGATACTTGGAACTACACTTTCGACGCTTATAAGCGACCATTGTACTGAGTCTTTGTCGGATGAAGAAGACTCACTGCGAGAACAACATATTATCTGCAGCTTTTCTTCAAGCCGGTGTATATACCATCTTTACTTCTAACTTTCTACCTAGGAAGTTATCATTCTATTCTTCTGTACCTTATTCTAGATTTTTAGAAAAATGCCATTGATTGTCTAACATAGTTTGCTTCCACACCAATGCTTTTTCAATATATTGACACTTTGAAAAATAAATGTAACACTACCACTTACTTTCCAACTACTCTTTTTAAATACTGAGTCGATTCTCTACCCTGGTATTGATTGTCTCCTGTATGCCGTAAACTAAGTACCTTCCTTAGAATCGTATAAACCCAATAAAAATGTGCTTAGGTAGCCACACTCTAATACTAGAGGAGATATCCTCCATACTTCTACTATCTCATACTTATACCAACGATGTAGTAGAACGCGTTGGCGTTGGCACAGTCTGCGGTATCGATGTCGATGCAGTGTCAGAGGAATCTCAGTTCGCCGGTGTAATATGATGGAATTGGGGATTGGGGAAATATTGAAGAGAAAAACTTACGATAGGAAAGAAACGATAGAAATCATCCAATTCAATACCTACCTTGAGGTTTCAAGACGCGATCAATCTAATCATAAAGACAAATACTTGCCACTGTAGAGATACATCATCACTAATTCCATGATAATGGATACATTTCTTTCCTGCGTCATAGAAAGGACTCATATCGTCATTAGATGCATCGACCTATCCAGCATTGAGTTTTTCGGACAACGCTACTATATCTGCATCGCATTCTTGCTAGTTCCAGTTGGGTCCTAGGCCAAGAGCGTATTGGATATATCCCAATCCAATAATAGTGGGCGATCCGTCGTCAATATTCATCGTCCAGAAAGGTTCTGCACCCAAGATTCAATGCGGAAAGACTGACGTTGAATTCAATTCGTTTCCAAGAAATCTTTTGTCAGTGTATCGAAAGTAGCCAGCTAGGTAGTCAACAGTGCGAAATCCAGCCACCATTCCGTTTGTGACATATTGGCCACATAAGAGGGCATCGGCGTCAAAGTTACAGTCGTTGGGATCGAATACAACTGTCTACGCATACTAGATTAGCACATGGTATGATAACATATGAGAGCGAAGTGGTAAGAGTAGGGTTTACTCACATCAATAAGATCATCTTGATCGTCGCATTTTCGTAATAACTCCTTTCCAATGACATTGAACATGGATGTTGGACTCATAGTAACGTGAGAGATATAATTGACATATATACCCTACCCAGAACCGCCAAATTTGCCGATGAGACTTTTTTTTCCCCAGGTCAGCATATGTCAGGCCACAAACTGCGGTACTATAGTGCTACACACAGTCAGTCCACACCGGTATTTTATTAATACCCCCATCAAAATCCCCATGGAGGGAGCAGTTGAGCATTTTATACCCCTATCAACCACCCATCACTTGATGTTAGCCTTATCCGAACAAATTGAGGAAAGGCCATCATACCAGTACCAGTGCTACAACTCTGATAGTAATTACAACCTGAGGCTGTCTGGTAATAGGCTTCTGTGATGTTTTTTTTTGGTAAACACTACACTCTCATGCAATGCTCCCCAACTCCTGATGATTATCATTTTCCTATAGACTGGCAAGAGACACTTACTTGTAGATCTATCGCACCCACAAGTTAAAAATCAGCCAAGCAATCAATCAGTCAAATTGACATTCGGCTACCTCGAGTTTCCCTTTAAATATGTGGACTATTTCATTTATATCCAAGTACACACTGGTATCTTGAAGGGAGCGAAGCCAAATCTAACATATTTCATTCCTGATACATACATGTACACAGCATCCAAATACCTAGCTAGTAGGTATCCCCAAACTCAATTGATTTAATTCTTCAAGAAAATATTTTATAAAAATCAATATATACAACGAAAATACATTTCCCATATCCCATTTCCTCCATAGACACAAAGACAGACACAGACACAGATAAACAGAGTTATATCTCCAATCCATGCTCCAATCCATGCATCCATGCATATTCATCACCTCATGAAATCTTCACTCTCGCTCTCCAAACCATGAATAACGCCTTCGCATAGCAATACCCAGTCACTCTAGTTAGTTTCGCACTCATCAGAGTCAACCCACACAACACTTTGGGTTGCGCTAGCTTTGGTTGTCTGAGCCAAGGCGGTGGTAGTGGCTTTCTTGGTAGTGGATGGGGTTGCGGTTGCAGATGGGACAATGACGGCTGCGCTAGTGGATACTTCTGCGATGGAAGAGGCAGAGGAAGAGACTGGTGCAACGACAGCAGCAGAAGTAGAAACTTCGGCCACAGATGAAGAAGAAGGTGTAACAGCCGCGGCAGAGCTAGCGCTCGTGGTTGAAGCATCCGCAACCTCCTTATCGGCAACAACGGCATCGGAAGCAACAGACTTGGCAACCGAGCCCGAACCCAAGTTTCCGCTTGCGGCAACGAGGTTTCCGGGGGTGACGGCGACGTTGTTAATGATGACGGTCTTTCCGCTCAAGCCGGTAACACGGACGTTGACTTTGGAGCCGTAGCCAGCGGAGTGTTCGAAGTAGTTGTAGGTGGTGCGGGTGGTTGATTGCCAGGTTTTTCCGCCATCGGTGGAAACGTCGAGTTTGGAAACTCCCTCGGCAGCGTTGACGACTTGCATGCTGAACCAGTCGGCGGAGACACCCTCTTTGAGGTGGACTTGGAGGGGGGTGGTGATGGGACAGTCGACATAGTCCCAGGTTACGTCGATGATTCCCTTGGAGAGGGGAGCGAGGGAGGTGAAGGCAGTGAGGTAGAGATCCAAGTGGTTGGTTCCGCAGCCGGGACACTCATCTGTGATCTGAGGGGTGTTAGTTTTGGGTTTGGTATTGTGGAAAGATGAATGGAAATTGAGAAATATAGGATACATACCATGGCAGTGATAGAGTTACCTGAAGGACCGGTAACCGAGACACAACGACCACACTCGGAAGCAGTAGCCCAGTTGGAATCGGAGAGCGCAGTACCAAAGATGTTGGATGGAAGGGTATAGGTCGAGAATGAACATGCTCCTCCTTGAGTGTTACCACCATAATTAGTAGCTTGACCCGAGAGAGCACGTTTTCCCATCACGGCTCCTTGAGCAAGGGAGAGGAAGGTAGAGGCGGTAGCCAAGTTCTTGATTGAGAAAACCATATTGATCGAGCTTGGTTCTGGGGAGAAAGCGATTGATTGAAAATGTACAGTTAATTGAGACGGTAAAGGCTGTCTGTAAGTGATAGGTATCTTTTCAAAAGAATGAATGTATATGTATGGACAAGAATGAGAGGATTGAAGACCAAAGCTTCTAATGACGAATACCGAATTCAAATGATCTCGAATCAAAGTGTGATGAAGAGTAAGGAGAAAGGAAAAGAAAGGAAGCCAGACAAAGGAAATCAGATGCATTTTATAAGAATGAAAATTGATGCATATTTCAAAAATTAATTAATATAATTGAAATGATGCTCTCAGGGGTGGGAACACCAGAACAAAGATTTTGCGGGGCAGGATTATTTCTGGGATGATTTGGTGATAAGCGCTGACATACTCTGATACCTACCGAGGTACCTAAGTAATAAGTAATACCTGGTCAAGTATATTCCTTCTTCTTCTTCTTGCAATTTTAGAAATGCGAGATTATTGAGGAATAATAAGTGAGTGGCGTTGGTTGGGATTTTTGGTCTTTTGTCTGTTGTCTGTTGTCTTTTGCTTTGATGTTTAGATGATGAATTGATGGATTGATGGATTGATGAATTGATGAATTGATGAATTGATTTGGGACTTTCTTTCTGGAGATTGGGATACTATAGAAGTCAATCTCGAGAGATTAATTAATACCTAGTAATTAATCGTTGAATGTGATTTCAACTCGATATTGATCGATTTTACATTCATATCATCATTGGTTATCATACAGACATACCATACATAGGTACATACATACATACATACATACATACATACATACATACATACATACATACATACATACATACATACATACATACATACATACATACATACATACATACATACATACATACACACCTACCTAGGTCTGACTGACTAATAAGTCGATTCCCATTGAGAAACAATACACAATACCTAGGTAGGTACATACATCCATACATCCATACATCCATACATCCATACATCCATACATCCATACATCCATACATCCATACATCTATACATCCATACATCCATACATCCATACAACATCCATACATCCATACATCCATACATCCATACCTACACAGGTACAATCCCCATATCTTTTCAGCCACAACCGCCGGGTAACTAGTAACTTGGAACTACCAGCTCAGCCGTTGCCCCTTAATCTACCCACCTGGGCAACCTTGGAAATCCTTTCTCACATTAGTCATTTAAGCATACCTACCTACCTACCTACCTACCTACCTTGGTAGTATATCATACCAACCCAGGTACTTTCATGTCCAAACGAGAGTCTCGATCTCTACGACATTGCCCAAAAGCTTTTTCCAATCACGCCCCCTACCCAAAGAAGTAATCGCGCAGCTGAAAGCCTGAGAGAAACGAAATATACTTTTTGCGTAAAGGTTTCTCATATCCACGCGGAGTTCTTCCATCATTTTTAACTTTCGCTTTAACTTTCGATAGCATAGCATAGCATAGCATAGCATAGCATAGCATAGCGTGATAGATACTCCACGATTAAATCTCGGTGCGTATTTTACCCGTACCTTTATCTCGTCCCTCTCCATGGTGTTTGTCAACCGTATCCATTGTTTAGACTTTGGAGTCTGGACGCACTCCACGACCACTCAGATATGTTGTCGCCCTCACGATGCTCTCGCGACCTTCCTATCTCGTGATGTGATGGTGAATACGGTGGTGAATACGATGGGCATGGGAAAGTATAAGCAGTACCTAAGGTAGGTATTCACAACTCTAAATATCAACGGAAAATAAACTTTCTCGCCGAAGGTCCTCATCCAGCACAACATAACAGTGTACACCCAAATAATTCACTCATCGTGAAAAGAAAAAAGGTGGAATAAATATAAAGTTCATCTGATTCTTGGCAGGGGAGATGCACGTATGGGGGTGTAAAAACTTTAAAGTGACAGACCAGACCAGACCAGACAGACCAAACAGCACAGCCAGATAGATCAACAAATATCCGTGCCATCCTGGATCCTTCTAGATCTCTTGTTTCAACCAAGAAATGTGGCACGTGAAATTATTATTATTCATGTTGTTGATGTTATTGATGTTATTGTCTGGTGGAAAATCAAAAGAGTTGTGAGGTGCCGGTACAGGTACTAGGTGGGTAGATTCTTAGCTTTGACGAGGACATCAACTGCTCTTCGTTATGTCCGAATAACTGAATTATGATTGAGAAATGCCTTTTACTACATGCATGTGAGCGTATCTGGTGGATATTTCGGAAATCGAATTTCGGAAATCGGAAGTCTCGGATGTCCGGAGATGAAGTTGCTAGTTACGGTTACATAGTGGTTCGCCGAATAAGTTCTTGTTCTTCATTCTCATCGTTGACTGCCTCTCGATTGCACTTCTGGATCCGCTTGAACTTCATCGAAAACAAATCAATCTTCAAAATTACGACTCCTCCACCCACGTGAATGATTTTTATCATGACGTACGGTATTAATACAAACTAAATATTTACAATTAAATGAATCAACAACATCCCTTCAATATCTTTTCAACAACCAATAACACCTCAGAAATGGTGGCAATGAGAAAAGACTGACCTGATCATGAATACTCCAGAGAACACAGATTCTATCAAATACTTGGAGAAACCCCAATTATTGAGTGTGTGCCGAACCCAAGCTCCCTATATATACATTCAAGAGGTCGAGGTTCCTTTAGGTTCTCTAGAGCTTTCATGACTCTGTCCTGGCTCTACTCCCGAAAAATTAGCCAATGCCTCAAGAAAATATCAAGCAAAAGATGTCTTACAGGTTCTGAGTGTACATCGCACCTTAATCTTCACCTTTTTGCACGGTAAACGTCTCCAGTTCTTATAATTTCATCCTCTGCATTTTTACCTCTTCCTTCCTTCTCCAGCTTTCGGACCAATGGTAAAACCCTTTCACCAAAGTTTTGAATATCATCCTCATAATGCAAAAATGCAATCAGAACAATGTCAATTCCCAAGCTCTTCAATAACAAAATTCTATCGGCCACTTGTTCAGCTGTTCCAATCAATTTTGTTTTGAATCCATCGTTGTATTGCACCAAATCCTCAAATTTGCTGTCTGCCCACATGCCCTTCTTACTCCCTGTTGATGAACCAGCTTGTTTTGTTGCATCCGAGAAGGCATTCACAGCTTCTCTGTCGGCTTTGCCTTGAATTTCCGAGAGTAGCTGTATGGCCTCTTCTTCCGTTTCTTTGACGATAGCAAAGCCATTGACGGCAAAATGTATTTTTTCTTCACGCCCGAGCTTCCGCGCTCGCTCTTTAACATCGGCAATTTGCTCTTGGAAGCCTTCCAGGGTGTTGCCATTCATAAAATAATAATCGGATACCGATGCTCCATTTTCCCGAGCATCAATTGAATTTCCGCCTTGGAAAATCAGAGGATGTGGTCGACCTGGTAGATTGAGCGGTTTTGGTGATAATGGATAATCATGGAATTGGTAAAAATCCCCCTTGTATGAGAACTTCGGGGAAGTCCAAATCCCTTTCAAACATTCGATGAATTCCCTACTACGTCGGTATCGCTCAGCATGCTCCAGCCACCATTGTCCAATGCTTGTGAACTCTTGCTTAAACCAACCAGAAACAATATTTACAGAGATCCTCCCATTTGTATAATGATCAATGCTGGCAATTTGCTTAGCGGCGACGGCTGGATTCCAAGGTCCAGGTAATAAGGCCGCGATGACGTTCAATTTCTTAGTATTATGGAGAAGCGCTTGTGAGAAGGAGACGGATTCATGTTGGTTATCCTACAAATAATCAATATCAATTTGTGTGCCAATGATGTGTTCAAGAAACTTACAGCTCCGTATCCTGCCATAAATCGGATTTGCGTGAGAGCATATTCGAATCCGACTTCTTCGGCAGTCTGCGCATATCTCACATTCGATTCGTAGTCCCAACTATCAAATTTTAGTGACCGAAATTTTTCAGCTGAATATAAAGAATACCTTGTTCTCTGAGGAATTTTCGATATGACTAAACCGCCGGAAACGTTAGGGACCCAATAGGCGAACTTAACACGGTCTGGTGCATCGTTAAGTCCTGGTTCAGCAGTGAAATGTGTATTGTGTCCGTTCGTAGTGACACTATTGGCATATTCAATGAATCTGTTCTGACTGTCGCCATTAAAATATCCATTGGTAGGTCCATTAGTATGGGCATTGGGTAGACCATCATGGCGAATGACAATTGGACTATTGCTGCTGATTGTAATGGTAGTAGACATGGTTATATGTAGAGGGTAGTTGAATATGTGAGTTACACTTGATCAGAGAAAGACGAAAAATGAAGGACAAAAGTACTGAAATGAAGGTAGAAACAAATACTAGGTAGCTACGCTCTCAAGTAGCTACACTGATACTCACTAACGTCAACATGAGCACTTACTCGCATCATATTAGAACTACACAAAAACTTCCGTCGGTAATTTAACCAAACTTTTGGTTGCGTAGGACGTGACTTCTTGTGGGAGAAAGTTATGTATTGATATCCTGGGCGACGGATGGCGCAATATGCACCCCTCCTTGTGCAAGAGCTTTGCTGCAACCCGAGACTAGAGATTGATCGACAAGACCATCATATTAACGATTATGATAATCTAACATCGGTGATCCGGAGCAAACATGAGTGAATCCAGAGATCAAGTAGTACCTAATAACAATGTCAAACTAACATATTATAGAACATTGATAAATTTGGTCATGACGAAAATGCAAGAAGAGACTCACTCAGGAGAGGAAGTTATGGTAAATACGCTAACCTCTGAACAGATTAGCATGGTAGCCCTTATCTAATCTAATCTAATCTTGAATCTATTTTTCAAAAGTACCACTACACGTCCCGCGTCCAACGAATTTTTTGATTTGTCGGCGCGTCATATCCATATTCATTTCAAAGTCTCATCAATTGTATATACATTTATCTTCTTAGCTTCTCAGTCCTAATGGTACAACTATTCTTGGACCATTTACTGAACCATCCCTCAGTCTATCAAGTGCTGCGTTTATGCCTTGTAACCCACCATGCGCGATCTCAATTTCAGGAGTCGCTATTCTTTTTTGCTCGAATAGTCTTTCCAACCAGATCATTAATCCTTCACCGATGTTTGGTGCTTCATGAAATGTCTTGATAGGAACGGAATGATATAGCACTCCTGGAGTTGGTTCCTTTGGCAACCCGGTCAAGCCAACAAGATGCGCCCTTTTCCCTTCTAGTCCGCTATCTGAACGCATGGTTTGTGCGAGAAGGGCTGTACTTTCTTTCCCTCTCGTATCAAGTCCAAAGCGGAGTTTTCCCTTTGTGATACCTTTGACGATGGATATCGCCCTTTCAGTGTCAAAACGATCCACCAAGAGATCTGCACCATGTTTCAACATACGTTCACCACTTCGAGCAACGTCTATTACTGCAATAACTCTGAGTCCTGCCAGTTTTGCAAGTTGGACTGCGCAACACCCAGTAGCAGAAGAACCTTACAACCGTTAGCATTTATCAAAAGCTTTACAGAGATTAACTTACCTCCCCAGATCGCTATCCAGTCCCCTGGTTTAGGCCTCTCATCCTCTCGGATACTATCAAAGCATTCTGCTCTGACATCATGTGGAATAGAATCTCTAGTTATGGAGCGGATTGCTTGGAAAAGATCTGGCCCTTGAATTTCACCCTCGCCATTGGCAAAATTTACTCCTAAACATATGCCTAACCCAAGGGCAGCGGCAACAAAGGCAACGCCAAGTGGTGCAGCATCGATTGGACTAACGGTACTTGGAAGCCTGCAAGCATTGAAGTCTGAAACAATTGCATATTGTTGATATGCAGCTTTCCGAGAATCTCGATAATCAGTGGAAATTCCCATAACCTAGAATTGTTAGCAGTTACTTTACTCAGCATTCATAAACTCTTACAGTATCTCCAGGTTTGAATCTCGAATTTGCTTGAGATGATTTTACCACCTTTCCAGCAAAATCTCGGCCACTTATACAGGGGAGAGAAGGCAGTCCAAAGCCAAAGTCGCTATTATGAATGGTTAATTAAATGATATCATTTTCTATCGATACACGAAATAATACTTACGGAGCTTTCCAATCGATTGGATTCAAACCAATAACCTCCACTGCAACGAGCATTTCTCTATCATCCCCTAAGGAAGGTATTGCTTGCTCTACTGCATGGGTATATCTTTGCTTTGCGCCATGCAAGAGTAAGACTTCTTGATGCGATACATTGTCTAGGTTCGAATTATGAATCGAATCAGATTCCAGGCGGGGAACTTCTGTCTTGTGGTGCAAATAGATACCCTCGGGCTCACTTTCTGGTTCCGGCCAATTGTGAAAGACCTTCTGATACCCATGGGACTCCGGAGTCTTTGGGGGTGTTATTGCCTGATTAACAGATGTCGGTACATATGTTTGTGTTGAAGTCATTTTCTTTTTCGAAGAATGGAAGTTCGTTGAATTGTTTCCTGCTCAATCCAATCGCTCAAAGGTCGACAAAGTTGAGTATATCGATGATTTCAGTCTCACTTGAATCATCTTCTAATTTCGTTCTAGTTCCTTGTGAATTCGGAATAATGGGTATATTGTCACGCAATATTTAAGTTCGTTTCTTTGCCAATCGCTATCAAAACCGAGGCTTGAGATTCGTTCACTCCAAACATCATAGCCAATCTTCGTTATTGCTATGTACATGATCTCCCTTATCATAATGTGTATGAATTTGCGGAGGTTATGGCGTGACGCACTAAATACCTCGAATTGTGGGTCTCCCCGTGATGTTCAAACACGGCAGATTGGACCTACCTAGAGCTGGAAAAGGCATCTTATCTTATCAAACTCGAATTCCTGCAATTACTTTGAATAATTTGTTGAAGAGTGTTTACTCAGTTATCGCTTTGGCTAGAATATATCTTCACTACAGACGAAACAATCATTTCCAAAAACCGTGCGACATAAAAATTTAACCCGCAAGAGGACCATGCCGGTGTAACAGAAAAGTCTACCTACCTACTTTCGTAATTAATAAGAAAACACAACTCGAGACCTCCCTATATATATACCTCGTACTCATTTTCTTACAAAGTAAGACGAAGTTCGCTCGCACAACTTGATCACACTTAGACCTCGAAAGCTGTCGAACGGATAATCCGCAAATCCGGAAGTGCTGCAAGTTCTTTATCGTTTCACTCAACTGAACAGCACACCTTGTGATGTCATCGTTGATGTTGAGTGCCCTTGGATATCAAGATTTTGATGTTTACTTTGATCATACGTACTACGCAGATCGTGTTCTCCATGAAAGCTGCTATACTTGGTATAATATCGGTGAGTTCGGTAGACTACCATGTTGAAGAACATTTCACCTGCTTCTACCACAATAGAAATAAAGACAACAACTGTTGGGTATATCTGATTTGAATGGCCGTCTTTTTTTTTGTTCACATTTTTGTGTTCGTTCCCATGTCATTGCTTTTTCTGCGACAATTCCAAGCTCATCCATTGTCCCTTCATTTCTCAGTTGTTTCATTCTTTATTATGAGCTTTGCAGCCAGATTTTTACACGGAGATGACTTCTTCGTTGATACCGACTGCACACGTCGTACATACTTTATGCGTGCAATGGGTCAGTCGATCGTGCATTCAATTATTGATGGTATTTTCTTTCTGGAAATTTCAGCTTGTTCTGGAGTGGAAAGCTACACAGCATTGTTGGAATTTCCTTCGCCCTATCCTTCAAACAACAAGTTATTCGTTGGCATATTATAGGCAGGCATTTTGTCCCTCGGTGAAGACCAATCGACATGACAAGGTAAACAGATGATTTCTGTAGCATCTTTCCTCGAAGCACTGGTCTATTCTTTTAAGCATAACTTATTCTCAAATAATAGGTCTACAATGACAGACAACCCCCCCTTTCACGATCTTGTTCCAGCATTTACACCGCTGCGTAGAGTTCAATGACTGCTGAGGCACATTGCAAAGTTGATAGATTGAATAGAACATTGCCGCTCAAGTGAGTAATTGGCGATGATGCATTATTACCAGTTGTTATTCTAGAAGTGTTCCCAAGTCCTGGATTGTCGGGATACGATTACCTAGGTATGAGAAACATCATTGGAGAATCGGACAATAGGAAAATTGAGCCTTTCAATGCCAGACATACTAGTGGTAGATAAAGTAGAGAATGCTCGGCACTTTGGCTCAAGCTTCATTGTTGCTTCTATTTTCATGGATTGGGAACCCATAAGGTTGCAGGACGACGGCTTTAATTGACCAAATAGTATTTCCTTCGCCAATACGCTCACGTGAAGTAACATATTGGCAAGAAAAATAGTATTCGAGAGTGGGAAACCTTATTATCCACAAGGGTTTGCTCCGCGACCTTGCTGAGAATGTCACCAAAATAAATTGAATATTCGCTAAAAGATTTGCCATCGGTACATGAAACAGAAACATGGGGTCTGGTGGGCCCGAAATAGCCAAGAACAATGTATCCAGGGCTCCAAGTGGTACAAAGATGTTTATGTCCGACAACCTCTCGAAGTGTAAATACGATATTGCAATTAGATGTTGCCGATATGTAAGTATCGTCAACTTCACTCCTTTCCCAACTCTTCATTCCAAAATCGCCACAGTCTTTCATTCCGTGCCCTTAACCACCAGAAAATCTTTCCACTCATTTGAATAGTCACTCATTAATTCTTCACCAAACATGTATACCTCGACCATCCTCGCTACCGCTCTTGCAGCTGCCGTCCAAGCTGCACCAGCTTTACTCCGCCGCGACAGCTGGGGAGGTGCACTTTCTCTTGGTCCTACCACCTCTCACATTCTTCATTCCACCACTACTCTCATTCCGGGAACCGCACCTTCCACTCAAAATGGTGAGCTTTTCCTCTGGCCGGGCATGTCTAACGGTACTGGCGATCTCATTCAAACTACTCTCGAATCCTGGCCTTCCAACGACTGGTGTGGTGCCACTGCGGGCCAATGGTGTGTCCGCGCTTCTCTATTCGGCTGGTTCGGACAACTCGATGGTGTAGGAGCTGCAGTTTCTGGAACCGATCAGGTTTTGATTGATTATGGATACAACGCTACCTCTGGTAACTGGACACAAGCTGTCACGAATGGACAAACCGGCGCAGAACTAAGTTACTTCTCTTATCCTTCGGGCCTTATGACGGGATGGGGAACCGGCACAGAGTGCAATGACGATTGTACGGGTACAGTGGCCAAGCAACAATATGTCAACACGACTATCACGCTTGCATCTGCGGATCCAAACTTCGGAGCTACTTTGGGAGTTAGTCAGGGAACTACGTACACCGGTCTTACGAGCGAGCAGGGAGGTTTGATCTGGAAGATTGCTGAGATCAATGTTCCTTCTATGTCTTAGGCTGCGAAGCGCCATATCTTTGTGGAAATGGAGATATTGAGAAGAAAAGGGAGGGATTGGTAGGAGTTTGATTCTTGTATTTATTTGATGGTGGCAAGGCCATTGGGAATGATTGTACATACTTTCTTGATTAAAACGGATCCGTGGGACACATCTAACTTTTCCAAAACAACCATTCATTTGTGAACTTGTGTAATGTCTTCAGCAACCATATCTACACCTTTTTTAGGCCCTGATAAATGCACCTGCCACTTTCGATCACCTCTAGGCATAATTTTCACCGGCACTTCAACCCTCAGCGTTGGTATGGTTGATGTCATTGTAATATCTTCCGAGCCTCCGCCCACATGCCATCTATAGCTAGCAACTTCAAATCAAAGCGAAGCAACCATAGCGCCGGAAGAGCCATAATATCAGTACTAACAAAGTGAAAGCCTGGATAAAGCCCAGTCAGAGAGAACAAAACGCCACTGGATTTCTGCGTTTTTCGCCAGGCTTTCGTAGACATCGTCGGTGGTCAAAAGTATTCGCAGTTGAACTCCACACTGACATTTCGTTGTGATGAACTGGGAAAATCGTCATCACAGTGATGTTGATCAAGAGATGTAGGCTGTCGAATAGTATGAATTTCATTACCACTCGAGCAGATATACCAATGTGCACATCGCGTCCAGTTTTCTGCCATGTCGAGAGGATCGGAATTGCAGTTTGAACTTTAGCTAGATTAGAAGTGCAAACTTCACTGTCGAAACCACGCATCAGCTATTCAAGCTCTTTCTGAAAATTCTCGAAAATTATAAGGTCAAAAAATACGGGATAGATCATCCAGAATGCGGCACCGACGATAGTATGTGTAGAAGTCATGATGATATGTCAAATTCGATCAACGCGGTTTGTAAATCGATGAGTAAATCAGCATACCCCATCCTCTAACAACGAAGGACAAAATTGGTTGTCGATATGAAGGTGCAGGAAATAATGACCAAAAAGAAACTGAGACGATACTAAGAATGGTGACAAAGCCAATGATGAATATTCCAAGAACAGATATGCATCAAAATCAGACTTTTGAAGATGATATCGGTTCAGGGAAGAAAAAGAGGATAGTATATACAGTCAGAAGAGACTTGCAAGCTTAACTACCTTTAGGAATTGCTGGAGAGTATAGTGAATGGACCTCAAAGTACAATTCCTGTTTAGAAGCATCCTAAATTCAAACTTGTGAAGATTGTTTCTGGTAATTAGAAGCAATTAAAAATGGGTGGACCAGCTGCTTCACAATTCCCATAATTATTGTGTGAACGGACTGCGCCGCAATGATATCACTCACGTAGGTAGAAGTTGAACTATTCATACACGTTCCATCCGACTACGGATGTGAATTCGATTGTTCCCCTCAAGAACGGGCAAACGGTGAAACGATGAGACATATGTGTTAGGAACTCAGGATTGATAATTACTATATAGTAAAGATAGGCGTATTTAGGACTCGTTGTATGTTATTATGCATACTGTCAGCGGGCCAATCTACCTATTTGACGGAGTGTGTGCATTTCCGTCGCCTATCTCTTCTGACCGAAACCGTTGATGAAAACTTCGAGTTTTCCTATGAAGGTCGATCAAAATGGTTTTTCTTTAACCATATCAAGTTGTCTACTCAGGCACGCCATTTCTTCTCTCGGCCGAATTTTTTTTCAAACCTTCCACGTTATCTCTGGCTGAATTACAGCATAACAACGCCCACTCCACTGCCCGCATCATGAATTCTATTCAACTTATCCACGCCACCTGCGATATTGTTCGCCTTGTAGTTGTACAAATAATAATGTAACTGGCCATCGCCGGCTCCGAATTTCTGCTGTTCTAAGAACAATGTGTTATCCATAAGCGTCAACGCGTTAAAGACATCAAATTTATATTTCTTGGCAATAATAAGTGCGTCATGAACGAGCTCATTGAGACGTTTGCCGAGACCAGCTCTAGATGCTGCTGGATCAAGAGCAAGGGCTGAGGCATAATAAAATAGATAAGCGGCGCGAACGTTAGTGTGCTTGGGGTTGCCAATGACGGATGATTCGAGGCAATAGAAAGAAAAGAAATCAGTGAGTTTCTTCGTCGTGGGGTCCTAGAGGATATGTTAGTTTGTAGTGCAATGAGAACCAAATGCTAGAAAATTACCTCAACGACATAACACCAGATGACTTGTTCAGCAGGGGTCTCAATCTTGTTGAACAGCCAATGTTCTATCTCCTCCCGAGTGAAAACTGGCGCCATATCAAATTTCGCCAGGTAATTTTTGCAAAGTTCCAGGACACCGTCAATGTCTTTGGCTTCCATAGGTCTCAATCCTTTAGTGGATGTGTTGGATGGTAGAGCAAATTTACGGACTTGTCGATCGGGCGTACTTCCAGGAGGCAGTGGACTGAATTTGACCTCGTGTAACTTCTTCCAATCCAACGATCGATGGTAATATCTACATGTACTGACTGGTTTCGGTAAAACCACACCAGCAGTGTATATTGCCTGCCATGTTCCTTCCAGGTTACATCTACGTGTGATCTCTTTGATGAGAACGGGCGCTAATCTCTTCGCTCGCAGCTTCTTGTGGATACAGAGGAAGTTGACCTCAGAGGCTTTAAGAGTCTTATTTCGTACTCGAAGTGCGACTGGAATAGCTGATATAAAGGCTACTAGCTTTCCAGATACGGTAGCTCGAACACCAACGTGCCATTCCTTACTCCAACCTGGTGACATAAGTGCCCTAAATTGTTAGTAAAAGCCGTTCCAAAAATTACATTTATGTCTTACCATCTGAGGAATGACTTTGAGTAGTTGAATCGAAACATAGCCTCATCATCTTCAACATAGTGGCCGTATAATAAATCAAAGACTTCTTGCAAAGCCTCGTCACTTGTCATATCCATTGTAACCCAATGGAATCCAGCTACCAATGGACCTGGTTCTTTAGGAACTTGTTCCACATCAATAATCTTGAATGGACCCTCTTCAATGATCTCAGAGTTTTCCCCAAATTTAGGAACGGGTTGCGTTTGCCAAAACTTGTATGCGCCCATTTCCTTAACGTTCTTTCCACTCGAGGCCAATCCAGTCATTATATCTTCCAAGCTAAGCTTTCGCACAGCTTCTGTAGCTTGCTTCGAAGAAAGCTCTCCATCTACAGCACCAAGTTGTTGTGCGAGTGCAGGATTTAATGCGAGGATATCTTGAATTTGAGATTTGCTAAGACCGGCGACAGCTTTTGAAAGGTCTTCTCTGGTAGGGTTTTCGCTTGGTCCATCTGAGGAAGATCCCACTCCTAACGCTGCCTTTACCTTCTTTCGCTTTGACTTCTTCTTTTTACCAGTAGCTGGTGTGCCAGTTGCGCCGGTGGTTGTTTCGTCATCATCTTCTTCATTTTCGGATTCGACTTGTGCTTGGGTTGAGGAAGATTCTTCAGGGGTATTTTCAGATGCAATTTCTTTGCCCTTAGGCTCGAGGGGTGTAGAATCTGCCATTTTTTTGGGTTAATGTATAAAAAAAAATAGGGATGTAATACTGGATAGGGATGTGAGGTGTTCTTAAATTTGGAAGTTGGAAGCTAGTTGGGCGGGGCGGGGTTATGACGCTAAATTTTTGAATCAAGACAAAAAGCCCGACGAGTCCAAAATGGGCAATTCAAATGCACTAAGTACTAAAGGGGAGGCGGTAAAGCGATCTTATATTTTACCGTATCTACTCAGTTCACGTGGGCTCTGGGCACACCTATCTAGGTATATGTAGATAGGCACTATATACTATTGCTGTATTATATACCCAATACGTAAAGAAATAAACTGTTGTGCAAAGTGAGTATTAAAAGTAATTTATTATAGTGTCATGTCCAAAAATGAAAATCATATATTTGTTCTCTTGACTCCTTCTATTTTATAACTAGGTGGGTACTTATATATACAGCAAATTTATATATACAAATGGCACTCAAATGGTAAATTTTTCGTACCTTGATCACCAATGGCCTTCTCATCATGGTATTACTCCTCCGTTGTCAAGGCCGAATGCTTTAAACTATAACATCGGGAAGTCAGTAATGGCCTGCTTTCAATATGCAAAAGGGCTATGGATCGAATGAGGAGAGTGAATGAAGCTTCCAAACAGAGCCAGACTCTTAGAAAGGGGTCTTGAGGATACCATGTAAGGAATCTGTTCAGAAAGTGAAGAGGGATATCATAAACATTAGAAAGTTGTGAAGCGCAAAAGGAAAAGGACTGATTAAGCTTACAACTGCTAGGGATAGAGGCGCGTAGGTGAGGACCGTACTATGAGCTAGAATCCAGTTAGCAAGAACATAAAATTACTTCCCCGATGGTCTATGATTACTTACCTCCATGCGCGACTATTTCTTGTCGAATGATCTTATCACTTCCAGTCTTCCAAGTCGAAATGAAAGCACCATCACCCATATCAATGGTATTCCGCGCTTTCATCTTCTCCAACAAGTCCATGCCTATCCCACTTTCCATAGTACCATTTGCTGCTGCTGCAAATAACCCTTGTGAATGATACCATGGAATCTCATAATCATCTAAAGCATGAACAATAAATAATCGCACCCGCTTACTAATTTTCACGAAATTCGTAAGGCGTGAGGTGGAGGGCCATTTGTCGTTCACATAGCTGATGAATAGTTTCTGCAGTGCAGGGTATGGACGCAACGGTGACAGCACCGGTATCCAGCCGGCGATGGAGTAACTGGTCAGTAAATTTGAAACATCTGTAAATCCGGCGACAAGTACAACGCCCGCAAATTCAGTTTTTTGCACGGCAAAATGCTCTATGACGCCACAAGCAACTGCTGTTCCTAAACTCTGACCCAGAATCACAATCCGAGATGACGGAATTTTGGCAATGTTCATCGCCCAGTCTACTGCCGAGATACCATCTAAGATGAGTCCTTCCTCGGTAGGGAAACCAGTTGAGCGGCCAAATCCACGATAATCAATGGCTAAAATGTGAATATCCGAGGTACTTCCGTCAGGCATCGCCCGATATGAAGCTGTTCGTTCTCCCTGAGCCACGTTTCCAAACGTCTGTCTTACAATCAGCTGATAGGCTCACATATCAGAAAGAAAACCATTCATACCCCGTGAACTTTCATCGTTAGCGCATAGAAGAGAGATGATTTGGACAAGACTTACAATTGATAATAAGCCGAGCGTTTGGGTCATCTCTCAATAGTTCGAATCCCTTCCTGTGACTTATATCATTCACGAACCCCGAAGGTTGCTTCAATATTTCCGATTCGTGCTTAGCATAAAGGCCCAGGGGCATTATATGCCAAGCGTAGATAGTCTCCCCATCCACAGTACTGAAATTGAATGGCGATACCTGATTCTCTATCATAAAATTCAGCAATGGAGGATACGTATGTGGCCAATCCTACTGACTAGCGAAGCCAAACTTTTCTGGCTTATCTATGTCTGTTGCCCAGGCCTGTGGCAGATGTAACTTGTGCACGTACATAACACTTGAAGTATGAGCAAAAGGGCATATACATTATTGAATTGGGATGTGTGACTTACTGTCTTTGCAGCCATGGATTTGTCAAGGCAAGCAATGCTAAAGCATAGAACGAAATTCCAAGAAAAAGAGTCAGGTATGCTTTCTTGAAGATAGGCGCCAGGGGGGCCATGCTGTGAACGACAAAAGCTTAAGACAGGAAAAGCTAGAGGGAAAGGATAAAGAAGGTCAGACTGATTTTATGAAGGGAAGTTATCAAATAATTTGCTGTAAACATTTTAAGAGAGAATACTGAGTATGTATCAACTTGTTGGCCATGAGAAATAGATCTGTTGCCCCTCAGCCGCGCGGATGAAGCAGTGATAGAAGAAGATTACGAATAGATAGATCCCATTGATTGAACTCTAAAATCTGATGAAAAACAAGGAATTGATCATTGACTACCGGTATATATGAATAACATAGCTTTTGTACTACAGATACCTAGGTAGATATATGTTTGTGGGTGTGTCCGGAGTACGGAATGATAACATCGATAGAATTGAAGAAAAAAAGAACTTACAATATCTATCTCCCTGTGAAGCTTCAATGATCCTTCTTCTCTATGAATTTCTCTTCACACTTCATTAACTTTCAACTATGATCTTTCAGTAAAAGGAATTCCAAAAGTCGTCGTAGTCTAATTGAAGTTGTACTGGCTGCAAAGTGTAGGTAGTAGGATCACTCGGTTGTTTGACTGAAAGAAGAGAAATCCCAAAGTTTGATGTTCCAGGGCGCTGCTTATGATATGAACGAACCACATACCAAATTCATCACTCTCGCCGCGCTTCAACTTTATTTCACTCCACTTCACACTTCACTACTTTACATACCACAACTTCCACTCAACCTTATTTAATTACTTCTTTCACCACAAAAATCTGTTGGACGCGTATTCAAATAAATCGATTATTGTAACAAAAAACTGAACACTCCAAGATTTCTTCAAAATATAAGCAAAAAATCATGGAAAGAAAGAGAAAACTACCTGCGAGGTCTTCTCGTGGAGGAGAGCCTGCGAACAAAAAACGAACTGCTACTCCTCCAGATCGATCAATTTCAGCAACTCCACAACCACCCATTGAAGAAACTCTTCCAAAGAGCATTGTTGCCGGTATGCCTTTGCCTACTGTCGATGAGCCTCAATCCGACAATCTTTCTTCTAAAGATTTTCAAACAATTTCCGAAAGGTAAGTTTTCTACTCGATGCCCAGTTTATTGAAGCTGGTACCAACATTTTTACAGCGGAGTTCTTGCGGAATCACTACAAAGATCACGACAGAAATGGGTCAGCGAAGGTATATTTGAGAAGTATTGGACGAAGCCGACAAAGAAGAAGGGTGTTCCTGCAGAACCTCTGAACAATCCAGGAAAGGATACGATGACGAAGCTTGGAACATGCCAAATCACCATCGAACCTCATGTATTCGATGCTACTATGTATGCTATTAAGGAACCAAAGTCTGCCTTTCAATCTACTCAACAACAACAAATGTATCGTCCAATCATTCAATATGGCCCTCCGAATGGAGTTATGCCACCACTTGCTCCCACACAAGCACCAAGTCCGGTACAACAAAAACCAATCCAGACAACACAACCAACAGTACAAGCTATGACTCCAAATCATCCTGCGCCGACCGCCCCAATGGTTTTGAATCCTCTTCCTCCTGTGCAAGCACCACCGATGAGTAGCGCTCCGATGAATGGACAACCCCCTGCCCAGGGTCCAAACAACCCGAATTCCAATCTATCTCAGCCCATTAGCACAGCTCAACCAGTCCAACCAGCCCAGCCAAACAAGAGTACAGATCCTGTTATTCAAATGTTGGCAGAGAGAGCTGCGACTGATCAGCAGTTGAAGGGCTTAATGAGAATCGTGGCAAATGGTGAAGCAACATCTTCTGAACTGAGACAGTTTCAAAACCACATTGATGAGTTGAATGCGATATCAAAGGCACGACAAAAGGCTGCTGCTCAATCCGCCGCCCAGCCACCCATGAATGCCAACTCGCAACCACCACCACCACCACCACCGTCTACTAATCAACTTGGTGGGCCACCGAATGCACCAGTCACTAAACCTGTTCCACCACCGACACCCGCTCCTATTAGCGCACCTCCTCAGCAACCTCAGGCTCTTCGATCGAAAGGTCCGGTAGCTCCACCTAAGCCAGATATCTCTGGTGTTGTGTTCGAGTTCAATGGAGGTAACGGTGATCGCTACCTTTTCCCGAAATACAGCATCCTTGACTATCTTCCCGGTGGGCAAGTCATAGCCTCATTCCTCATTGTCCGTAAAGGTAGTAGCAGCGATTCCCCCTCGTATGACCCGGAGCTCGATTATTACCAGCCAGTTACAATTCGTCTCTATACTCACCAAGGCAAACAACTCGACTCGTTGCAAAAGGTCGTTGCTTCCCCGGACGAAGTCCGTAGATATATGGAGGATATCATGGATAACACAACAAGAGCCGAATATGTTCTATTGGCCATGCGTCTGCCTAAGGACACTGAACCCGAAAAGGAAGGCACACCTATAAATTCCTCAGATCAGCCAGAATCGGACGCCAACAACTCTAATTTACCACTGTGGCAAACTACAAATGGACCACCACCTCCACCAGTAGCAAAACTACCAAGGAAAATTCTCACGGAAGAGGAAAAATATCAATCTTTCATTAAATCAGTTAGTTCTACTTGAATATGTCTTTAGAATAGGCAAGAGATTTTTATTTGTTTGTATTAATATAATGGGAGGGCGCAATAATATGGAATGAAACGGGAACATGGATGGATCTGGATACTGGAAAACGGCGGGGAAAGATGGAGATACTCAAAAGAAATTTTTACAAAATGATGGGAGGCGAACAGGGGGCTGGATGGGATGGCGTATCAAGGCATAGGAAAGCCCATTTACTTATATCTTGGTCAAAGATTTCTTTCGATTCACGGTCTAACTTATATTGATTTAATGCACTGAGGTATGATAGTTGAAGGTTGAGGAAATCATTATGAATAGCGGGTATAAATGTATGCTAGGTTGAAGGATGATGGGCAGGCGACCAAATTAGGCGACCAAATTAGGGGAGATAATACAACGATGCGGGCTGTGAAGCCCTTCTATTACCATGGGAGTTCGATGTATGATTGTCTTCACTCTCCCTTGCTTGCCCCGATATGTCAAATAATCACATGTTTGAAATGTATCATTATATCCTCGCTTCCCTCATTTGTTTCTCTCCTTCGCTTTCTTCACGTCAATCAAACCCTGATTATCCACTTCCACTCGCGCCTCAATACCTCCCATCTTGCAAGCGCAAAAGCTAAACCGGACAAAATAAGTACAAATCCGAAAAAGGAAATGAACAGGGAAGGAGCTACTCGGGAGAGTATAATGGAAGCGAGAGGAACACTGAGGAAACATCTAAATTGAGGGTGTTAATATTTGCCATTGATCTCGTGAACTTGGATGGGAAGCCACGAAAGGAAAGGGAGGAAGAAAACATACGCAATGGCGACTCCAACCTGGCTGGCGCCCCACCACCTCGCATACACATGCGACGGACACAGCGCGGCTATGCAAAGGGGGGCTGCGCTCATGACGGCGCCGGAACCGAGGCCTGAGAAAGATGCGTAGAGGTAGAAGAGTATGAGCGATGTGGAGGAGGCGCTGGTGGGGAGAAGAGAAGTAGGTAGGAAGAAAGCGAAGTTCGCGAGGAGCGAAATGAAGATCAAGCAGAGAAAGACGGTATTGTAGGGGCCGAGGTGGTCGGAGAGCGGGCCGGAGATGAGACGTCCGAGGATGGAGCCGCTGCGTCTTGGGGTTAGTTGTGGGCATTCTTCATTTTTGCGGGAGTGGAATGTGGAGGTGATTAGGGGAAGTGAAGAAGGGAGACTCACGCGTTTACAATTGCGACAACGTTGAAGGAAACAGAGGTTGAAAACCCCTGTTGCAGTGCGTATGTGGGAAGGAGACCTATGGCGCCTACGAGTACGAATTCGAAGACTTGAGTAAGGTATTGTTAGTCGTGTCAATTTTTGCCAACATATTATTATTAGTATGGGAGAGAGACATTAGGGCAGATGTAAATGAGGGTGATGCACTTACGCGCGATACCAGCCATACACCAAAGAAACCTTCTATCACGTAACAAACTCCAATCTCCCTCGACCTTTTTCTCGTGCCAGAACTTCCACCACGGAGCTTCATTTCTGGTATTGGTCGAAGCCGTACTGACATTACAATCTTCATCCGGTCCCCGGGATCCGTTCTCATTCCGAGTTCCCCTTTCTCGCAACCCCCCGCTAGGCAAGAAAGCCAAAAATCCCACTGCAACAAGAACTCCCACACTCCCTGCCACGATTCTCATAGCATCGCCCCATTTCAAGCTTTCCAGCACAGCTTGGAATACAAACGTAAAAATGATTCCACCAGTCGGATTGCCCACCAACGCAATGCCTGTCGCTAGCCCTCTGTAGCCTGTTCCTTCAAAGGTGTTTAACATCGCGTTCGCTACTGTACACAGGAGCGCCATGCCTATGGCACTTAGAACCCCATATACCAAGAGAAAATGAAAGAGAGAAGAGCATATTGAGAGGAGAAGCAGGGAAAGAATGTATATGAGAGAGCCTGGGATTAGAAGAGGAAGAGGGCCGTAAGTGTCGTATATGGGGCCAAGAGGGAAGAACAGGAGCAATGTGAGGAAAACATTGAGAGTGGGGATCAGGGAGAGAATCGGGAGTGGGGTATTGGGGAGGAGATGTACAGATAGGTGTGAAAGGAGGATGCCGGTGCTGTTGTAGAAACCCCACGTTGAAAGGGTGAGGGTGAAAGAGGAGATGATTGTTAAAATAGGGTTGAAGGAGGGTGGGTGAGCTCTATATGAGAGTGCTGGCGATACAACAGTGATACCCTTTTCCGGGTCATTCGTGCTTGATAATGAAGATTCTGGAGATTTGATGGGTGGATTGATAACTTCGACAGCGATGATTGGAAAAGATCTGGAGGGTTCCGATACAGCCATTGTCCCAGTTCTTCACATTGAATATTCCTCTGAGTTTTTGATAAAATGTCCCAGAATTCAATCGACTCTTTAAGGTAGTTCTGTGAACAAAGTTCCACGCGCTAGGATTGTAACATTTCAATCAACAAAGCAGAAATGACAGCTAGAAGCTAAACACACAATATACAAGTATACACAATCACAACAAGCCGCGACAACCGCCATCTGTATTCATAACATGCAGTACAACATCTCGTACATGTACACTTCATCTGCTGCGCTTGCTTTACTTACTTTTTGCATATCTACTCTCTTGAATGCACATAAGGAAGCAAAAGGAGCCAAGGGGCAGCATGAAATAGGACAATGTCTCTGGGGCGAAAGTGCTTTATGCAAGCACGACATGTGTGCATAGTACGTACATGTAAGGAATGCGGTCCAGGAACCAATGCATGCGCCTAGCCTCGCTGGTATGGCATCTGGGCGCCTACCAGGAGCGAAAGAAATATGGAGAAAGCGGCCGTTTGCATGTACCGCATTGAACGGAACAACGCGCCGTAAAACTACGGGTTGTTTGTTGATGAGGATAATTCGGAAAGAAACTCGATTGTACGGGGTGGAGTGGTTAACTGTTTTGGATACCGAGTTTGCGCTGCCCGAGTGTAGAATTTTTGACAATTCAAACCCACGGAAATTTGGTTCGAAAACTTGGCAGGGCCGAGTTCGAGGTTGCAATTGATGGTTGGATGAAGCCTGCATCAAGATAGTATGCAATATAGTTTGAACAAAGTCAATACTCGTGCTTCTAGACCGCTCTTTGCCACCTCTTTCCTTTTGACAGTTAACAGTAAGTAGGGTGTTGTCCACACCTTGTGAAGATCAAACGATTGGTTGTAAAGCACAGCTTTCAGATATTCGAAATTTGTTTGTATGTTAAACGTGACATTATTGAAACTAGTGGTAGGCATCACCTCAATATAAAATACCACCCAATGTGAGTATACATCACCCTAGCAAGGCCGCGCTATGCAAACTCTCAAATATCAAACAAAATCCTTCAACCACGTAATTGGACCCAGATTTAAGCAATACCCCACGTTTACTATCCAAAGAAATTCCGAGGATCGAGGGCCTTTACATCCACACCTTCGAGCTCATCTCTCATCACCATTCCAGCAAGAATCTTTCCAGTTCCCTGGGAATTTTGCACTCCCCACTCATCGTGTCCAGTCGCTATCCATAGTCCTGTTATACCTGGGACACCCCCTACGATTGGGCCTACCGCTTCTCCATCTGCATGTTTTTGAATTTGGGGCCTGAAGCATGCTTGGCCTAGCACGAACTCACCATTTTCAATTTCTGGGGAAACTGTCGATGCAGCGTTTCGTATGCCCGCAATCATACTTGGATCCACTAGGACTTTATCTGTACTTTCTGGTAGTGGTGAATAATCGCTGGGGCCACAAATATAAACAATCTCTTCGGGGTCAAATGGTAGGCCGGGACGAGGGTAAATTGCTATGTTATCTATGATGGTTTCCTTGTCATTCCATTGCATAGAGTCATTCTCCTTGTACTCTGGAGATTCTTTCGAGATCTGCAGGTCGAAAATCGGGAATAAAACGTAAGGACTCAATGTTTTTGAAGGTTTCATCAAGATACTATGGCTCCTAACGCCATACACTGGAATACGAGGAAGCAATTTAGATGACCAGGGACCAGCTGCAATGATTGTATCAGTTGCATGAATTTGTCTCTTAGTTCCATGTTCACTATACTCGACGGAATGGGCTGCTTCTCTGTTCGAAGAATAATTAATCGATGTAGCGGGTGCTATAATGACCCTCACACCTTTAGCCTGTGCGAGGTCCAAAAGATATCTGGTGAGGGATTTTGGATGAACTTGAGCAGTATCGTCTGGTTTGCCAATCTCAGAGAATTCTTTGATGCCAGATCCATTAATCCACTTCAATGTTTCAAAGCGATCGATACTTTCGTTCGTTGAAGTGTTACTTCGTATATCAAAGGTCACATCAGCGCAGTGAACACGGCGATAACCCCAACATAAAGTCCCCTTATATTTTTCAGCGAGTTCGGTGTGCAATTTGAAACTAAGAGGAGTGAGACAAGAGGGTGTTGCCCATGATGCTAACAAGCCTGGTTGGATTTAGAACATAGTTCAGCATATGATCCAAGTTCCTGGGGACCATTGCACTTTCGTGCATGGAGTTCAAATCCTGTATCACTAACCTCCAGCTTTCCCAGATGATCCCCCGGCTATTTCTGTAGCTTCTAGAATTGTAATGATATGAATCGATGGATCATACAGTCGGTGTTGAGTTAGCCAGTAAGCTGTAGAAACACCAACGATACCACCACCTAATTCACATTAGGAAGAGATCTAAGAAAGACCAGCTGAAAGTACCTATGATAACAATATTTTTGGCATCTTGTCCAATGTTACCCATCTTGATAATCTGAAAGAATGGTGGTGAAAGGATTCCAAGTTCTTGCCAAGACAACGAAGAAGTTTTCAAGAAATGTGTCTTTTGGAAGTCAGAAGTTGATGGGGGGATCTTGTATAACATAATATATCCTACATATTAGCTAACAAGTTTGAATGAATGGTACCAAGATCCTCGAACTGAACAATCACCATACAATCAATGCTCGTGGTATCATTCCAAGCCAAACGAAGCAGGTGACTTGAAGGCATTCCCTGTACTTGCAGAATAAGGTTCAACGTATGATTCGACACTGAATCAAATCTGGAACTCTCCGCTGTTGCCCGCATTGAATTTCCATGGCTTTGGTGGTATCATTGAGTAATACCTTCCTTTTTAAACAGAAGCTGCGTCGACGTCTTACAATCGAAGGGTTCTGTCAAGTAAATCCCCAAGGCGGTCAAATCAATGGCAGAATTGTCGTGACTTTATTAGATAGATTGTAGGGTACCCGAGGTACCGTACTCCAACCTCTCCGAGCCTACCTCTCTGGTGCTCCCTACCTCAGTCTACCTCACTACTCATGCGCGATGAACGAAGTAAATTGCACACTAATTAAGCAAAACCTTATATTCAATGTTTTAATCCAATTTTGATAATCAAATGCGTTCAATGTTCCAATTCAAATCCAACAATTGAATACTTTTCGTGTTCTAAGTTAGATTAGAGATTCGAATGCGTTTGAGGTTTCAAGTCAGTTGAGATTTCAAATACATATCTGACAAAACCATTCTGGTGTGATTTACGTTGTCCATATGGAGCCTACCCTCACTGCTTTGCTCTTTACACCTCCTCAATATGGCTTTAGTTATGTCAATATCGAGACAGAAGCATATTGAAGTTAAAGTTACTGTAGCACCACATGCAGACTGACAAGAGACTGCTATTGACAGTACCCTAGGCTACCCCTAAAGAAAGGGCAATTTCCATACATCTCCAGTCCAACAATTCGAAAGTTCGAGGTTGTTAGGAGTTCGCGAGGAGAGAAAGGCAGTCGATGATGTCAAATTTGGTGCTGTGACAATCTTAGTGATCTTGGTTCGTTCCGCGCAATCGTACCGCGCATGAATATCTCGTCCTTTGAGATGCTACTCAAAAGCGACAGTATCTGAACGGCCAGGTCTCACGTTTTCGCAGGAAATATTTAGTCTCAAACGCAAAAGGCGGCGCCACATTCTCAACTTTCTAAGACACTCTAATCTTGCCAAGAAAACGTTGAGATTTTGGTGTCTTCACATATGGTCGATCTAAATCGCATTATATATTTCATTTCGTTTTCAGCACTTAGGTCACCTACATTTCCTACCATTGTCGACGCAAACACTTTTGAATAGATTTCTTTATTTGATTTTCTCTATTTCCTGTTAAATCTTTCCTCGCAATAATTCCCAGTGGTATTCCAAGCACTTTCTTCTAAAGCACATACACCTTCAAACACAATGGCAGAGAAAATTATACAACTAGAGCCGACGATGGAACAAAAGCCACTTGCTATTCCGCAAGACCAACAGCCCCAGGAGCAAGAACCGCCACAAACGAGCTATTCTAGCCCTGACGTCGTAGAGCAGTCAGAATGGTCAAATAGTATCTGGAATTGCTTCTCTCCAAGCTCACTTTGTACTTCACCCTCAATCCCGCACTTTTGACTGTTCCAGCCAAACTAACGCTCTCGAACCCTCAGGTCTCAAAGCGTTCTTTTGTCCATGTTTTGTTTATGGCAAGACTCAACATCGGCTCAACAAAGATCCCAATCTCATGGGATATTCACGATTTAATAATGACGTATGTTGTTATATGACAAATGGTTAGTTTCATACAAGCTGACTTCCGATAGTGTTTTATATGGGCGGGTGCTCAATGGTGCGGTCTAGGAGCCATATTAACCGTTCTTCAACGACGCCAAATTCGAACGGAATATGGGATTGGAAAAGCAGGAGAGGGAGAGATTAAGGACATAGCTTTGAGTTGGTGTTGCCATTGTTGTGTTCTGATGCAACAGGAGAAGGAGGTTATCATGAGGAATCAGGGTAGCGATGTTTTTTCACAGGGTTATCAGAGGACGGAGCCAATGGCGATGGCACAAACCGATTGATGATAGAGGGGCTTTAACAGGACGGCAAAATTGGGATACCAAATCACTCAAATGAAATCATGCATTGAAAACACTTATAATCTAAAACCTTATAATAATTTCAATCTCAATTTCAGTCCAAAAAATGTATGATATGGTACACATACAAATGGATAGATCTAACTCTTATGGGTATACTTGATAACCTTTGACTCAAGATAATGATTGTCTAATTTGAAATCGACTGTTGAAAAAGTACCTAACTTCGATGTCCCAGATTTTTCGTCCTGCTGGAGAGGGCAGTGGAAGTTTGGATGGTGAAAAGGGTGGCATGTTTTGAATCGTGATATCTGAAATGGAAACACATATTGAGGAGCACGATGATACCCATCCGATTCAGTTACTGATTCTCTCAATATCGAGTGTAAATTTAGTAATCGACAATCACTAGCACGCTTGTCTTCTTGGTATCAATTCCCATCCCAGACTACAATCCTAAACGCCATAACACCAATCCACACCCTTCCCCTCCCCATCATTCCTTCCTACCTCCTCACTCAAACCCCCCTCTTCCTCTTACCCTTTCCGGCCTCCACCTCTTTATCTTCTACACCATCCCCCATCCTCTCAACCCTCTTACTCAAAATAACATAATCACTCTCCAACACCTTCCCCCCCTTCAGCCTCTTCGGCTCCGGACTATACTCATCCTTCTCATAACCAAGCTTCCTGTAAAACTTCAACGCCGCTTCATTAGCCGTGTAACATGTTAGCATTGTTTTTTCGACACCAGGAATGGCGCGCGCAATGTTGGTAAAGATGGACATTAGGTGGGTGCCTAGGCCTGTGCTGTGAGGGTGTCAGTATTTAATTAAAAATGGACATGATAGGGAGGATGCAAATATTAGAAAGAGTGAGACGAACCCACGTAATTCATCCATGAGATGTATTTCATAAAGATAAAGCACTTTGATGCCATCCTCAAACGTAGGCATAAAACTCATAAATCCCTTGATCTCTCCTTCGCCTTTTCCTTTCTCTCCAGATTCTTCCACAATCATCTCCTCATCCTCATCCTCCTCATCCTCCTCATCCTCCTCATCCTCCCACTCTCCCTCTCCCTCGCAAACCCCAAGATCCACCTCCCTCACAACCAAATACCTCAAATCCCACAGCTCCATTTCCTTCCTCTTCCTTCTCCCATTCCACCCCCCTTTACTCTCCCTATAATGCTTCCCCGACGTCTTCTCAACCAACTCCAAACAAGCCGTTAAATCTTCCCGGCGTAGCGTACTAGGTTTATACAAACCTAGTTTATAAGATTTCACCGCTTCATCTTCAGATTTAGGCGACGTATCATAGAGAGCATATGAAGATCTACCAGATGTTAACAATGCAAAAACTCGACAAGCAAAAAGATAAAGAAAGGAGAAAATATACCGAGGAGGCATGTAATCACGTTCAAAGTCCTCGAGAGATTTCGCGCACGCGATTGTGATGGAATTCGAAGTCGACATTTTTGCTCTTCTTGAATATCCGCAAATTGAAAACTTTGATTTTATGTCTATGGTCAAGATTTAATACATCATTGCAATATAATTTCTCCAAGTGATAAATTCGTTTCTTATTTCGAATTAACTATTCAGCAAACGCGTCTAGATGTTCTAGACAATCTGCCCCGCGACGCGAAATCCCGCCCCGCCCCACCCTCCACCCATCCCTCTTCATCTGATGATCATTCTTTCTTTCCACAAATTTATATCCCAAGCCCTCCGCTCCCTCCAATTCCTCACCATATAGCCAAGCCCTATTATATCAACACAAAATGCGCACTCCCCCATTGCGAACCTATTTTCGTCTCAGCAACATCACTCCCACAATTCGTTCCCATTCATCCGCCAAACCCCGGCGGCCATCGAGTAAACTCGGTCCTACCGTGTCACTGGATCATGTACGTCCTGTTCTATACATAGATATATGAAAAAGAGTAGAGTTTAATAGATCGATAGTTTCTCCAGAGATCCAAGGCTATTTCACTTTATAGACGGATTCTCCGGGATTGTCGACGGATTCCTGATGCGGGGTCTAGGGAAGAGACGAGGAGGTTTGTGAGGGATGATTTTGAGAGGAATAGGGGAGTGACAGATCTGGTGGGTTTAGTTTCTTCTTGTTTGGTTGGGGGAGGTGTTGAGTCAGTCTCGAAATTGGGAAAGTTGGAAGAGTACAGTTTGATGTGAAGTGGCAATGAAAGCTAACAAATGCATGGGGATGTAGAGCCAAATCAAATATTTAATTGGTACAGGTAAAACGCAGTGGGAAGGAATGGAAAGGTATATCACTGGGATATGATGTATTATCTGGATTGTGGGAAAGTGATTTATGGTGGGAAAAAGGTTGTATATCTACATGCATTGGTATGGAGTAGCTATGGAGTACGGGGTATTGGAAAACAATCATTGAGGTTTGTAGATTGTGTGGGCAAACTTCCATTATGGGCGTAAAAAAAGGTATATAAATCCTCACAAGGCCCTGTATGTTCATTTGCCTGGCGTGTGGGTTTTATCTGTTTGTATTCTTTTCTGATTGTGTATATGCGGAGGTGATTCTTTGCTCTGCCAACATATCTACTATTTCCCTCAACGCCATACCCAGTGCCTAGTGTGTACTCTTTATACAGAGTGCTACACATATCGTACATCTCACTCCTCATGGCTCTTTCGTCAGAAGCTCAAAATCCTCATGGTTGTGCGCAACCCGCAATTCCGCAACATATTCGATTGAAGTTACTCGTTCTCTGCTCTCCAACCTGGTATTTCGTATCCCGTATGGATTCAATCATCTATTTCCCTTGTCTCTGCTTGTGCTTAGGATTCAATGAACAAATGATATAAACATGTCCTTTCCCCGATTTTCCGCCCTTTCTTCTGACGCTCTGTAGTGTTACCGTGTTAGCATTCACACATCTAGCCCCTCACAGTCACAAATCCTAAAAAGATATCCCCTAAGCCGCTTCTTCGCTGTCTTATGCTATTCCTCCTATCTCATTTTCCGCACAACCCAAATCCTCTTTCCCAGGAATAAACACAAAACATACCTTGCACCCCTCACACAACTTCTTCACTGAACTTCTAACCTTCATACCCCTAACTTGTTCTGCCCCTTTTCCACTCGCGCCCAAATTCGCACTCTCCTTCGCCCTCTCCATCAAAGCCAATGTTGGTCTCTTCGCCATCTGCATCGAAGCAAAACATCTTGCGCCAGCCAATTGTGTACTTTGAACTCGTGCAAAAGCCGGGAAAACCATGCGCGCTGTGCGAAGAAACATTGTCGAGGGTATCATCTTCTTGGTTCTGAAGTGTAGTTGATATATCGAGAGGTATCCGCTGATCAAATTGCTCGTTATTGCGTTCTTGGAGTCGTGTGGACTGATATCGCAAATGGAGGGACTGAGGATTTTGGAATGACGCTAGTGCACGGTTGTTTTCCGTGGATATTACTCCCGGTGAGCTTGCTCTCTTTTAGAGGTAAGAATCTAGCAATTTCAGACATATTAAAGTCAAAGTTCTTGAACTTGAACATCCGAAAATATGAAATTAGTACCAAGCAAAAATCAATATTTGAACATAACGTTCCGAGTCTCGGTGAGCAAAATTATAAAGTTGTCTGTCTATTCGACTAATGTGCACCAGACGACAACTACAAAAACTTCCCAAACCACTCCACCAAAACCCCATAAGCCCTCTCATATTCCCCCCTCTTCACCTCATCCTCCAAGTCTGCTCTCGCGCTCAAAAACCCATGTACCTGATCCTTAAACGTCTCAACGTATTTTTCCACCTTCAGCTCTTTCTCATAAGCATCCATATCCTTCCTTTCCTCCTCCGACGCTAACACCACGTGAGGAATCGCAATCTTCCCCGCGTCTTCTACGTCCATCATACCGGGATGCAGTTGGGCTGATACTTTCCATGGACTGTTTGCACCGGATGTTATGGCGATGACTTTTCCGCCCCAGCAGTACTATATCATTAAGTCAGTTCTTGATTGTATCAAGAAGATACCGAGATGATAGCGAAAGAAAACACATACCCCCACGGCACCCCAAATTTTCTCTCCATGTTTCTCCTCAATATTCTTCAGAATACTCGGAATCCTCTCAATTGCAATATCTGGTTTCCTCGGAGCAAACCAATTCATGAGTGATTTCATTTGTTCATCAGTCACAGGCGGATACCTAAAAATTTCACTAGCATCCCTATTTCCACAATGGCAAACACCGATGTCCACTCACCACTCCAGCCTCGCCGGTTGTCCTTCAAAGAAATCTGGCATGAAGACTTGATATTCCTCCCCCGATCCTTGAGCCAGAATATCTGCCCCTTGAATGGTTTGTGGATAGTATCCAAAGATATCGTAGATGACCAGTATGGCTTTCTTCGCAGATGGCGGCCCAGAAACATCTTTTGGGTTTATCAATAGCTGTGGTGTATTCCTATTGAAGCGGAGCGATACTCACAAGTTTTCAGACCGCCAATGGTTTCGTAGGTACCTTTAGGAGTATATCCTTTCGAAACGACTGGTGGGATGTTGCAGCATGCGGCGCTGTGGCCGTTGATCGATTGCATGGTCATTTAATGAATGGCAATGGAAGAAGCTAGATTGTATTTGTTGGAAAGTACCATCTATAGCCTTACATTTATAAGTTACTCGCGCTTGGAATCACGGGATGTCTTGTACGTACAACATTGTTGAGGTGGAGTTCATGCTGACATGAAGATATCGGCGTTGTGAGTAAGACTCAAGTGTGAGGAACAAAGGTGGGGTGGAACCACGAAAGCATTCCCTTTTGCCAGACGAATTATGATCCCAGTCCACGTTGCTGTTGAGGAAATACAATGGCGAAAACCTAAAGAAAACAGAAGATCGAGACGGAAGACAGCAAGATGATACTCAACAGAGCTATCAGAGTATGGTCAGAATAAGTATCTAATTTATGATAGACATTACAAAAATCTATATCTCTCTTGATAACGAGCTACATAGCCTCAGATATAGAGATATCGAATATGATTCTTCCTCCCCTCTTCCGACGCTACTCCAACAACATACTATATACAAAGTCCAGCTTTCTCGCCGTCAAAATATCAATAAGGGTATCACCAATCTCAACTGTAATAACAATACTTTGTGAAACAAGCCGTACATTCGCTTGGAAGGGCTTGTCCGGTCTTCTCCATAAACGCACAACCTAAACAAGTAGGCCATTCGGTATCATTGCCCTGAGTTGCAACTTCCACACCGTTTGCGATGACTCCCGCGGAAGTGGCCGCTGGATAGATCAATTGGGCAGTCGGGACATTACTAGCGAACGTGTATGGTGCATTTGGGAGGTAAACGATTGTTATTTTGCTTGTATCACCGCAGCCAAAGAATGTAGCTCGCTTGTTGTAGCCCTTGGCAACAAAAGTCTCGACGGAAGGAATGACAGGCATGCGCGTGAGACCAGCTGACAGCGACTGTACGTATGTGGTAAGAATTTCGGATCCGTTGGGCCAGTTGTTTGCATCGTCTGCACTGTTATCATTCACAATAATAGCAGATATGTTTCTGTCTGGCTGCAGGAACGGGAAGATGGGGTTGTTTTGCAAGGCTTCTCCACCATCGACTAAACTTAATGTGTCCTGGGCTGGAACGTTGTTTGCAGTGTTAACCACGCCCGAGGATGAGTCGTATTCGTAAAAGGGATTTTTATAGATAGCATATAAATCTTCGGTGGTTACCTCGTGCACGCCGTCAAGAAATGCAGAGATGCCTTCAATTGCATTTGAAGAACCATTGACGGGTGCTGGAACGCTGAGACACGCCTCGTTGAACAAACTACTTGAGGTTCCTAGGATATAGCCCAAGTTATCGTAATTCGTGGTACATGTCCCAGTTGGCACACCATTTTTCAGAGTAGTGCCAAGATATTCAGTTGGCGTGAAAGCAGACACGTCGGCATCCCAGGATCCAAATTCATATGGAGAGAACTCATACATTGTAGCATTAGGACCGGGCTCGCATTGGCCTAGCCATGTCTTCACTCCCCTACTGGTAATGATTGGAAATGGGACTGCATGTGAGGTGAAATTGGAAAGTGTGGCGACTGATGAGAAAGTGGTTGATTCGCCATCATTTGCGAGCAATTGATAGCTCAAAAGTCTCCCCCATGGATCACTGAGAGTAGTGTGGAAGCCTGCAGCATCTTTTTCCAGAAGTTCTCCGACGATTTTGGCGTACGCTACGACGAATAGCAATCCATCAGGGTCGAAGAGTGATTCTTGAAATGCCGTTTCCCAGAGATTATCTCGCAACCATGAGACTGTTGGATAGTTGTTTCCGGCAAGGGATGAAAGGAACCATGATCCACCCGAAAGACCTGCTTGGTATGTGATAGCTTGGTAGAGACCGCTAGTAGAAACATCACTGTCCCGTGCATCAAGACCTTGAACTACACCGGCGCTCTTTTGGAATAGTTAGTATTGGACTGCTTGGGAAAGATGGTCTAGGAGATATTTCGACGACGCATGGAACGCCGCAATTCTAAAGAATGTCTTTTCATGAAAATTACTGACCGACAGGAGAGATCGGTAGCCCCCACCACTGTGGGTAAGCGCGATCTGAATAATATTAGTCACCGAAGAAATGAGACCGAGACAGATATACATACCGTTGGCAAATCATCGGTACCAAATCCCGAGTTTGTTTTCTCCAGCCACTATACATAAATCAGTCAAAGTTTTATTTTGAGCCAAGAGAAAGAAATAGGGACTCGTAATCTCCTCTCGCCTAAAACATAGCAAGTGGAACCAGTCCTAGGCTTAGGTGAATCAAAAAGATAATGATATTCCGTACCGTTTTCAAAGCGACATCCGCAACAGCTTTTCTCGATACTCTGTAGGATTCCTCATTGTCTGAAAGACCATTTGCAGGTCTAACAAGCGATACCCCTGAAGGGCATGTCACAGAGGTTGGCGCGTACGAAGCGCTAACTACGCTACTCCCCGTCAATAATCCAAGTAACGAGGATATTGACCAAGCCATTGTTGCTTTGAGATCCCAGATCGAATGTTGGATCTGAAAAAGAAGACTGAGATATTGGAACCCAGAAAGGTGAACTCGGAGTGCAATAAAGAACGAAGAGGAGGAAAGAAAAGCCTCCTTGAATCACCGAATCCAAATAGGATATGATGTGAATAGCAATCAGCAATCGATCGACTGCATGAAGATTGGCTGATATTCAGAAGGGAGGCGTGCTTATTTGTACCTCAACGATCGACCTAGCTTTTGATGATAGATAGACATACTCTATATGTGGCCCAGTTTAATAAAGTTGGGGGAAGGGAGGGTTTAGTGCAACATCTGGTCTGTTCATGGGTGAGTGTACAAAAATACAAATTTAGGTCTTCCAAACGGTCACTAGAATACCTTTCAGGTCCATAAGTCTCGGTGTAGATAGGATCGGCGGCAGGCTGGTGGATTAGATAGCAAACGCCCCAATAAATCGAGGTTACCATCACACATTTTTGACGCAGTGACATTTGGACTATATGAATGGTCAATTTGGAATTGACCAGGGGCAATCACGACGTTGTGCGAACGTGGACTTTGTAGCCAGTAAGGAATCACACGTGTGGAAAAGTGCTCTAGCAAAAGCGAAAAGCTCGTGAGTCCGGAAGACTTTTACGCGTAAAGTGACCTGGGTACGAATTCAAAATCCGAATTAGGAAGCTCGATATACTTCCCTATACGTTTTGGGATGCATATCCGATGGCTGAAGAAAATGAAAATCGATGTGGATGGATTCCAAAGTAAGCTGGCTGCTTGCTGTCGGCACTGTAACAACCTGGAAGTCAAAGAACAACCGCAACCGATCAGATGGATTCTAATTCTACGCGAGTAACGCGACAGGACAGTTCCGTCCGGATCGATCACTCCACGGCTAGCTCCATTGCTTGAATGATTCAATTGTAACGAATGCAGCGCAGTCCGATCATTTTGAGTTTACATGTGAAGTAGGACTAAGTAGCTAGATTATAACTAGAGACACCTTCAAGAGTCAAATAAAATTCTAGAAAGTCCCTCGGCATTTATGTTGTAATCGTGCATATCGTAATCTGTAACACGTGCGTGTAACTAGTAACTACCTACTACTAGGTGTCCAGGTGGCTGAGTACTACTCCGTATACGAAAGTACTTTGGCCGAAAAAATATAATCAAAGTTGCGAGCCATATTGCTGCGTGATCTCGTGATTACGTACAGGGGAGGCCACAAGATGGAGTCGGGGTACGGGGATGCCGGTATTTGTTCAGCTGAGTCTTGAAAATCTCCGAAGAAATACCAAAGATCAACATAACTTGGCATCTGTGTTCCCTCACAGAAGTGTCTGTGTACTCGTGAAACTAGAAACTATTGAAAGAAATAGAGATTCACTTATTACGATACTCGTCGTTTGCTGTGTAAGCATCTTCTTCGACATTTCCTCCATCAATTGGTGGAAACATTGGTAAGCTAAAGAGGGCAATTAGTATACTCTGTAGACTGTAGTACCCCCCGTTCATGAAAGTGGGATTGGCCCCTGGCTTGATGTAACTTTTCTTCTTCTTGAGGATGTTAAATCCGAAAACTTGGCCAGCTTGCAAAGTCGCAATGCAGAGAAATGTGCCTTCAATCTGGCTCTTGCAGAAATGGGCCTGACTTATCAGCATGCATAGATTATTCGATACGAGTAGCATATTCCAATCAAGCCGAACCTTGTTTATGAACGAGATCACGATTTCAACCAATTTTTGTAAGGTACCTGGTGCACAATTTTTTCATCTTAGATTAATAGAATTGCTGTCACATGTGTTCTATGTTACAAGGGCCATTGGGCCGAATATTTTCCGTACTGTCTCCTCTGATTTCTAGACATGACAAAAGAAATGAAACCCCTAAGCTGCAGTCGCCTCGTTCCCTTCACTAGCCGGTTTAGCAGCTCCGCCATCAGATTTCTCAATGCTTTGCTCCTTGCTCTCATCAGCTTGCACGTCAGGTTGTGCCAATGGCTTTTCCTGAACATCTGGCTCTGCTTTGCCGACAGTTTGAGGGTCAGAACCTTCAACGTCTGGATGAGGTGGTGCGACTCCAACTGCATCATCCTCAGGTGGGTTGATCTCATTGCCTTGGGCATCAACCATACGGGTCCTGGTTTCATATCTGGTCTTGAAGCTGACTTTTCCTTCGAGAGACTTTACTGCCTCAGGATCAAGGATATTACCGTCTTGATCTCTATATTCAACTTTCTCCTCACGAGAAACAATGCTATGACTAGCGACAGGGGCGGCTGGCGGTGGAGAGACCAAGCCTTCTGGTTTGCCTTCTGGTGCTCCTGAGACGTTCTCTTGTTCTACAAGGGGTTTCTGCTCGCCAGCCCCAGCCTGTGCTGGGATTTCAGCAGCATTGGTTGGGATCAATGGCGAATCTGTCTTGTGGACGTCGGCGTTTGCATTGATAGATTGAGTTCCATAGTCAGAGTACTAAGAACATTAGTGCATGTTCTGACGTGACAAACAAGAAAAAGTCATGACTAAAATGAAATTGAACTTACATTGTTCAAGAAGGTATTGCAGTCCCAGTCCCACTTTTCAAAAAGCTTGACTTGCTTGCAGGCCGATTGTGTCCATGGATTGCCGTATGCCAATGGAGAGTAGAGAGCAAAGACAACCATGCTAAGGGTTAGGAAAATGACAGCGCCAATCCTTCCAATGAATGGGCGTTCGCGCAGACCGATACCAGGAACACGGGCAGTGATAAAGTCAAAGATCTGACACAACGCGATTATGGCGAAATAAAGTGCGGGGAAGTAGTGGTGAAGGAAAAGCTGACGCTGCATCAGGTAGAATGGGAAATAATGGAAAGCCCACCCAAGAACAGATGTTCCAATTTCGTAGTCGAATCGCTTGAAAACTGGGTTATCGTAATCTCTGAACCCTCTTTGCCAACGGAGAACGGCAAGTCCTTTAAAGGCTACGAATAAAACAACAGCCAATGTCGAGCTCCACCAAATTACAGGGTTACCAATGAGGTAAATTTGACGATTGTCTTTTCCCCAGAAATTGATACCACGTCTGAGAATAGGCCAAGAATCAGGACGAGAGTCCCAAGCATGGGATTCAACCAAACCAGCATTTGTGTGCCACATGACTTTGTTGAGCTCCCAGAATTTGCCAAAGAACCCTGGATTCCTGTAGTTGACTTTCTCCGCGTCTGCTCCCAGTTGAGGATGCTCATTTTGCTCAACATACCAAACACTGTTGGGAAGAGTTCCTCCCTTGGCGCATGTGACTTCTTGCTGTTCGGACGCCCACTCAGGAAGCTTGACTTTGTGTGAGAACAAAACACAGCCAGTCATGATATGAACAAGTCTAAACTTGGTCTGAATTGTTCGTAAGCGAGTCTTAGCCAATTCTCCGTCGGACATTTTCTTGATGATCTCGACACGGAAGAAGTCGTTAGCATCGCCTTCGAATCCTTCGTAACCATAAGCGGACACCTCGTTTTGCCAATCTGCCTCGGTAACTGGCGGGCGAACATCATGAGAATGGAGGCGACGATGTGTAGGTTGATGGTATAGCTTGAGGACATCACCGTCTTGAATGAGCTTTGGTTCAGGTAAAGCGTCCCAGGCCAATGATCCGTTGATTGGTTGTCCGTTGATATCAAGTGGTTGAGTCTGGTTCTCCAAGAGCCAGATATTGTTCTCGTCTTTGTGGGGGTACAATGTGATTTGCTGTTGCTTGCTACCAGTTGGATACATAAGATTGTGAGAGTGTAGATATCCTCCTTGGGTGTTGTGGTGCCTGATGCTAACTCGACTTCCAAAAGCAACATCTACGGGAACATCTTGCATGGACTTCGAATTAAGAGTTGCTTGGAACTCAGAGCTCATGAATCCATCGCCGTCTCCTGGGTTAACTAGACATAGGAAGTGGATACCAAACATGGCCATATAGAATGTAAGGGGAATGATAATAAGACAAAAGATTCGTGCAACGAGGTGCTTGGCGAAAATGCGCTGTACTTGTCAATATTTGAAAATCTTATTAGAATGAAGGGCTCTTACCGGTGTGACAGTTTTTGCATCTCCAAGCAAAACCCACAGTTGCAATACAGTAAGACTACCGACCCAAGCAATTGTGAAAAGTCCAACCCATTTGACACTGGCGGTGGCTCCCAAACCAAAACCCGTCATAACCAACCAAAACCACCAGCTAAGTCCAAATGCTTTCGTAGGTCCCTGTTCATGTTGGTTTGTAAAAGATGTAAATGCAAGCGCTGTCGTGGCTGTCATGATCATGAGAGGAGAATCGAGGAGAATCAGACGTGCTTGGGTAAGTAATCCATTTTCTGAAGATGTTAGCCCAGCTCTTGAAAGCAAGATGCAGAATTTGCCTCACCAAATATAATGAATCCAGCTCCCATAGCAGCTGTCATGGTTCTGCAACCTGCGGCCTTGAGAGTTAGGAACATAGTAGGAACCAAGAGGATTCCGCAGATAGCTGGTAATAATCGCATAGCAACATATGGTACACCTGGTTCCACATAATCCTTTCCGATATCTTTGAAGTCAAATTCTCCGTCAAATCCAGCCAAGTATCCCGCAAGTGTAATCAATAGTTTAGCCAAAGGAGGATGTACGTCCATAAAGAATTTACCCTTTATGTATTTCGAGGCGAAACCTCCAAAGCTGTAATAATAAAAGTAAGTGCTTATTCTTAGGGCCAAAAACCAATTGCACCATGACAACTTACTGGACTTCATCAAATACCACACTGCTTGGTTGATAGATGCGGAAAAGTCTGACGATAGCACCCAACAGTGTCAGGACGGTCATGACCTGAAAATCGGAGCCAGGAAGGAGGAAGACATCTTGATCTTTAACCCCTTCAGAGGTATAATCTGTTGATTTCTTGGTAGCAGGTTGCCTTGAAGGGCTCCTCGAGCCCTTTGCGACATCTGCGTGCACGGATTTTCCAGTACGTGCCATAGTGTATTTCAGATGAAAATCGAGAAGCTCTGTAGATCCAGGGAGCTTCTAAAAGCCCAAATTCCCAAAGAATTAAACCAGCAAGCTCGAATTGATGTGTTGCCGGAAGGAGTGTAAAGAAAAATAAATGGTAAAGGATTAAAAGTACGGCATCGAGGTTTGGAGGACAAGTCGCCTGTTAATATTGAGAAGTAAGTCGTAAGGGGGAACTTTTTGGAAAGGGCCAGGTATGGTTTAGAGTGACGCGAGTTGTAGCCTTTTCTATTAATAAACTTCACCAATCAATCAATCAAATTTTCAGCCTCTACCTCTCCAATCTTACAATTTGTCTAAATTTCGAACATGTGAGTTCCCATAAGATGGATACGCTTTTTTATATAAACAACAACTAGCTTCTGTACATACACAACTATCAAGAAATACTTTAGAAAATCCTTACACATTGTGCCAGAGCTATTGTAAAACATTTGGTGGAACTTCTTCGTAAGGCTGAACTTTATATATTATACCCAGGTGTATCCCTAGTGATGTGAATGCTTGATGTAACAATCTTCGCAACCATGAATTCTACTGATCGTCAATAGGCATGGGACATAGAATCATGTGTTAGTTGTCTACGCACAAATTGCTTTGGAAAGATTTTGACATTTCACGAAAGTTCCATCTAAGCGATTACGCGAATCAGAAAGTTGTCCCCAAGTCTAACAATGAGAGTTCAATGCAGCAAATAACCTCTTCCGCTTATGTACAACTCTGTCTAGTCTTGCAACCACCCCCACCACAAGCTGTGTTTGTTCCTCTGATCTAATATCCGTCCTTGCCCCACTTGTTGTATTTCTCGTGTAGCTCCTGGAGACGGTATGTTAGTATAGATATATAGCATGTGAGAACCTAGGAGACGCTGGCAATGGCACACGTATATGAACAGGAGTATACGATCCTTGGTATTCTGTGAGCTGGATACATAGGGGAAGAAACCTACCTTTGGCAAGTTAACATTGGGAACAATGACGCTGTGCAATGCGCTGGGTGCGTCTTTTGGTGGGTTTCTTGAGTCACCGGCTGGGTGGTATTGGTATTTGAAGTCCTGTCTGGCGGCATCGCCTCTGGAGCTCTCAGTCTGCCATGGCATGGTACCAGGAGCGACGTTTACTTTAGCTTCTGAGGTAGCTGAAGTGGGTTTACCACCTAATAACACAAGTCAATTGAAATGCTCAGTACCGGTCGAAGAAAATGATCTCACCGAAGTAGTAGCCGGCCAAACCAAAGGCACCGGCCATGACACCGAAGAGAACCTGCGCAAAATGTGGATTAGTCAAATCTTCGGGGTACATCTAAAGCGGAGGACAAATAGGACTACAGTGAAGCCAGATGCGCTTTGTAGTTTCACTCACGTAGAGTTCGGGATCTCTCTTTGCGCCCTTGTTAAGAACATGGCCATCTGCAGATTTTGCTGCAGACTTGGCTGCTTGTGCGCCGACTCTTGCTGCTGCTTGTGCGGACATTTTGGACAATAGTGGGTTTGATGTTGTATCGCGGGTGAGCAATAATCTATCCTAGAAATGGTACGATGCGATTTCCAAGATGTTTTGGCGGAAGATGTTCACGGATTATGTCACCAGCGTCACGTGTTGGTGGACGTGAATATGCAATGTTTGATTGGTGGAGGCGCCCAATGTACACAACTTTTCTACAATTGAAGCTTGTTGGGAGTGAATGTTTCTTTGCAGAAACAGAAAAATTGTCAAGAGGATGTTCTAATGGACTGGCTACTAGGATAGGTTCGTAGGTTCATAGGTTCCTAGATAGGTCCCAGGTACACATCACCCTTTTCCCAAATGGTCCATGAATCTTCATTTCCCAATTGATATCAGCTATTTCCCATCTCTCATCTCTCATCTCGAGCTTCAAAGCAAGAGCAGACTTCACTCTCAATCCCTCCCAACGCTTGGACCCCTCCCTCTCTTTCCCAAAACAGCACAACGGCGACCGGTAGGAGTATTACAAACCTTCTTCCAACTCGAGAGCATTCTACTCCCGCACTCTACACTCCTTGTAAATTGTAACTTTAATTATTTTCTTCTTCGCGCCTCACTTTAGTCCTTTACACTGCAGCAGTATGTAATGCTTGAACCCTACTATTAAGATCTAAACTTAAGATCCAATTCTCACTCTCCTTAAAATTACCTCTTTTACCTTTCTATTCCCTACCTAGTACTTTTTATCTTGGAATCCACCTTTTTATAATCCTCAATACCGTCACACACAGGCAGAGTAGATATTTAACAAAATTAATTCTCCAAGCGCTTCTCGCCAACTTTCGAACTGGCTCACGGCACACGACCTTCACTTCCATTATTGCGCGACCAACTACTATTATTCGTGTTGATATGAGAGATCGAAGAATTATTTTGGAGGATCGATTTTGATATACGAAATGGCTTCCCGGGACAATTCTTCGTCCAAATTCCCTCATTCCACAGATAACGACAATCACACCTTTCCCAACCTACATCTTGCGCCTTCAGAAATAGGAGATGGAGCGAGCGTTTTATCATCGCGAATGACTGATATAGCTTCCGAAGATGGAGATAATACAGATACCTTTTTCGGCCCAGTTTCGCATAGTCAGCGATTAAGCCAGCGCCATAGCATACAGACTGAAGATGGAACCTCGAGGCCGGGCACAGGAGTCACGGCTGTTTCTTCCAGAGGAACATTTGGACAAGCTGCCCCAGCTCGAAGAGGCTATATTCCAGGAATAATGGCGCAACGAGGGAGCACGTTAGGACAACGCCCAAGCTCTACAAGCAAGACTCACGTACCATCTTTAAGTGCCCATGCTTTCTTTCGCCCGATGAGTTCCCAAAGACTCCAAGCGCAACGTGGAGGATCTCGACCAGTTACACTTACACAGCAAGGGTTTGGTGAAGATGGGTCTTTGGATGGAGGTAGTGTGAGGCAGAGCGTACATTCGAATTTTACTATACCTCAGCAAATCATTACAGAAGATGCAGATCTACCTCCGCCACCATCTCGAGGTACCGAAGTGACAGAGCTAGGAACAGTGGACAGAGGTACCGCAAACACAAGTCCTACGCATGGCCATGCAGCCGGAAGCTTCGCAGATAGTGTTCGCCCCTTGCAGAAAGGTCCCGTGAATACCAAAGGGCTGAGTTTGAACACTGATAAGGGTTACAAAAACGGCACTTCAACTCCCAAATCTCCACGGTCATTTCATTCCAACTTTTTGATGCCTACAAGAAACGATGGACCTGCTGGAAGCCCTAGTCCAAGTCGTAGCAATCAAGGTCGCGAAAAGCTCTCGTCTGCTGCTTCTTCGCCCGGATTTACTCCCATGGACGCGCAAAACAGGAACATGAAAACTTCGAGCCTTGGTAAAAACCATCAATATTTCACCGGTAATACGGTATTTTGCTGGGGAGGTAGGCTGCAAAATACGCGGCACAGACCCATCAACATTGCCACGGGATTGTTTGTTGTAGTTCCATCAATCCTGTTTTTTGTATTCTCAGCCCCGTTTTTATGGTACCATGTTTCTCCTGCGGTACCTATTGTGTACGGCTACATTTTCTACATTTGCATGTCCTCTTTCATACATGCTTCTGTGTCTGATCCCGGGGTGAGTACTTGCAAGCACGCATTCAACACCTGTAAGATTTATCGGACAATGCTAACACTCCTAGATTCTACCTCGAAATTTACACCCAATGCCTCCAGCGGAGGAGGATGAAGATCCTCTTCGACTGGCACCAACTCAAAATGATTGGACTATGATCAAATCGGCCCAATCTAGTACAAATGCAATGGAAGTGCCTACGAAATACTGCAAGACTTGTAACATTTGGCGACCGCCTAGAGGACACCATTGTCGAGTTTGTGATAATTGTATTGAGACACAGGATCATCATTGTGTCTGGTTAAATAATTGTGTCGGGCGTCGAAACTACCGTTACTTTTTTGTATTCGTAACTTCGGGTACACTTCTTGGAACATATCTCCTGGCTGCGAGTATAGCCCAGATTATTGTTTACGGGGATCAACAAGATATTTCATTCGGTGCCTCGCTAAGTCATTGGAGAGTCCCCTTTGCAATGTTCATTTATGGCCTCCTCGCTACACCATACCCAGCCGCACTGATGGTATATCATTTCTTTCTCATGGGTCGAGGTGAGACAACAAGAGAATATCTCAATTCACACAAATTTATCAAGAAAGATCGCCATCGTCCATTTACCCAGGGAAGTTTTGTCAGTAACTGGATTGCTGTACTTTGTCGACCCCGACCTCCAACCTACTTGAATTTCAAACGGAAATACGAAGAAGGTGATCAAAGATTTGGCGAGCGAAGGGGAAAACGAACGACACCTATTAATAAGGAGTTTCAGGATGGAGGAAATAATATGGAAATGCAAAATGTTCATAATACGGAAGGGGAAGGGTTTCAAGGACCTACATCTTTGAGACGGACGACTTGAGGAGTTTGGCTGGGTGTTTTGGGAGGGAGCACATTTTGACTTTTGCACTGACGCTAGATACCTATTTTCTTTGCATTTTTATGTTACCAAGGCGGGATCATACTTGTACTTAATATTGTATTATTTTTGAAGAATATACGAGGTGAGCAGAAGAGAGGATAATGCATAAGAGTCATCGAATCGCGGTCACTGCTGGTGGTGGCCGACGATGGGATGAGAGGAGAGTATTTGATGGAAGTTGGAGGTTGTCGTACATTTTACTTTCTTATAGGAAGGAGACGAAATAAGAGATGGACAAAAAGAGAAATAGCAGATATCTCGAGACGGCCTTTATTATCATATTATATAAATATACTTAATTTACTGCATGACATGAAGATCTACCTTTTCCGATATCGTCTTTTCCTGATAGGACGATACGAGATATGATTGTTTTCTACCTGATGTTTCATTCTTATAAATAAAGTGCAACAGCACAGTGAGGTAAAACTGTTAAGGAATTTAGCTCTACATATTACCTGTATAGGTTGTAAGACCTTCGACTCGTGATTCTAAGACGAGAAGTTCTGTTGTCTTGGATAAGTGCCTAGGTAGTTTGCGGTCTGATATTTTTGAGAAAGAAACTTGAGCTTCTTTTGGTGAATGGGAGGTTGGGGTGGTGGGTAGTAATGGAATACATGGTGCTAAGTGAACAGTGCTAAAGTGAATGTGTTAAAACATGTGATTAAATTGTGTGCAAGAAAGTTATTCAATCTACTGCATCACATTAGAAGATATTCCGGTTGTCATGCAAGTAAAAATTAGGCCTTTCACTCCCCACGAAATTTGGCGAGACAATGAAGGGGCAGACGCTCCATGCTCTTAGCACTGCGCAATGGTATAATTCAATCGCCAAAAATCAAGCATAAGGTTAATTCGATCATTCAGTAAATTTGATTAACGTGATTTTGATTGATATACAGTAATACCTAAAGGGCATTACAATAACAAGATAGGAATGTCTATTATAAATACATAAATCCTCTCGTTTGATCCTGCGACTCTTCTTTTGGAAGGGAACTAATAAGACATAGCGAAAAGGAAACACATCCTGCAGAACTTTGTCGTCGTAAGATAAGAGAGAGAGAAAAACAGTCCACCCAAAATCAGTTTTTGAGGGCGCTCGCGAGAGCTAACGTTGTAAGAGTCGCTATCCATATCCATATCCGTATCCCACCAATTCTATAACCGTTTATCCGTCCTTCCAAGCTCCAGATGTACCCAAACAAACAAAGGAAAAGGGGAGTGGTGTAAGGAAATTATTCTAAGAAACGATTCGCTCGCTCGCTCGCTGCCGGATGACTCCAGAAAAGATGATTAAAGTAAGTAAGTCCCAGTGTTCCCAATCAAAAACGCCCAAAGGAAAATAACGTTGATACATTCATCTTATCCTGACCATAGTTTTGGAGGACGAAAAGTACGGGGTCCAAGAGAAAATGTCAGCCCCAGGGATCCAGCTCGTCTATTTCGAGGAAGGAGTCATTTCTAAATGCATCCGCGAAATGCTTCATATGCCGTCGTACATGATCTTGGGCATGGTGGAGATTTTAACGGCGACGCATCGTGAGTAATGATGACACTCTTCTTTCTATTCTCCATCGGGGAAAAGCGAGGATGTGAGAAGACTGGTGAGAGTTGCATGGAGAGAGGGCAGCCTAAGTCTCATGGTCCGGGCTGAAAGTTGGATGATGTGATGTTGTTGTGCTGAGCCACTCCAGGGAGTTTATTGTGCTGTGGATTTTTGGTACTCGGTACGTGCTGAGTTCGTCTGCGGTGCAGATAGACAATCCATCTGGAGGGGCTGAGGGGGAACCTGACGGGAGGGATATCGATGGTGAAAATGAAAGAATTGAAGACTTCGGTCGCGAGAGCAAGGCTGAAAATGGGCTATGGCTATTGGAAGTAGGGATTTTTTGGTTTTGCGAATCTGATATCGTTGCGTTTCGTTTCGGTGTGGGGGTGAGGTCGGGGAGGTCGGTGAGGTAATAATGCCTGGTGTATGTCTAATACGATCTTTAATTTGATGTTGTACTCGTGATCGAAATTTGAGGGGGGGGCTTTGAGATTGTTGACTACATGGTGAAGTTCGGGATTATCTATTGATAAGATTTAATTAGTTTAATTTGTTTTTCAGATCTTCAAAATTAATATTTCTTGCTTTTGAGTTTCTGCTTCTTTGACACTTGTCCCCTTGTGTCGCTGATGTCCCGTATGCCCCATATGCCCCCTTTAGCCCTGTTCACTTGTTCTTCTCCAAGAGGAATGAAGTGGGAAGGACATTTTGGGGCAACGAGGGCATTTTGGGGCAACAGATGACAATGTATTGCAATTGAATCCAATTGCAATCGATTATACAATCAATTGCGAAAAGGGGCATTTGTGACTTGCTTGTCGTGAAGTGGCTGATGAATGTGACAAGGGTCGCTTATCTGGTCACAGTAAAAGAGTACTCCGTAGAGAAGTGCTAAGAAGTACTGTGACGCAGTGTACCGCCTCGGCTGCATATTTCGACCTTGCAACATCTTGCAGCTTTCATCTACTCAGGGCCACTAAGAATCTAATAAAAGACCAGGGCTTTGAGTCTGAGACCTTTTTGCACTTGCTCAAGGTTCCAGCCTCGTCTTGATGATCCGAAACTTTCGTACTCAATTGTCTGCATTGGGAAATTGTCCAAAGTACCAAATTGATTGGAGGGAAAAGAGAAAGTAAAATGAGGATATACTAACATTCAGTCCATTGTAGATACACCGGGCAAAAGAGATAATGAGGTATTTAGTGGTCATCATCATCGTTGTCTCTTGGGTGGCTTCTGAATGCCATGATGGAGTCTGTAAAGTATCGATTAGCAACCATCACATGTATAGATAGAATGGAGAATCCTATAAGCCATAACTGCCGAAGAAGGATCTCATGAACAGGGAATTTCACATACTGGTGATTGGGAAGGATTCGGTAGACATTTTTGGTGAAGGGGGTTGGTTGTTGTTGGTGTTGGTTGGTATTGATATTATAGTGGTGGATGTACTTGACGGATGAGTGTTGGAGAGTGTTTTATGTATGTTCGATGATAGTGAGTATGAGATGAGTTTGAAATGTAAAGTAATAAGTTTGAAAGTATGTTGGGATGGATGATGTTTATATCTGATATTTGATGCAGTTGGAAATGCTGAAACAAAAACGAATTGGGGAGAGGGTCTGGGGGTTTAAGTATCTTGAGCTTAACGTATATAAGTCTTTTCTGAAGATATCACAATTATATTATTATACATAGCAACAACATGCAAAACACCTGCATAGGCCATGCTTGGATAGTGGCTGAGAGCCCCATGGTAGATCGGTGTCTATGTTCAGATAGGGAGAAGATTACAAGGAGGCCATCCAGGCTGCCTTTCCCATTTCCAGGCACAGATAGTACAATAGCTCAGCATCGTCATAAGTATGACTGAGGTAGTCAAAGCTGGGAGAAACCTTACAGGCTCGGCGTTGAGAAACGTATGAAAAAGGTTCCCAAATGTGAATCTCTAGGAATATCTGGAACCTTGCAACCTGACTAACTGTAACTACTCAAAAAGGTCCCAGACTATGAACCTGGGTACTTTTTTGACATCTCAGCGACTAACTGCCTGACGCCCATCCAAGGGGAGAGTGACTTTGACAAGGGTGGAGGGCGTCTCTTAACCTATCATTATTCTCACTCAGCTCCATTTGCCACGGTTCGCCCCATGTTTGTTGGTAACCATCAGTTCGAATTATAGCCACAAAAGGCGCCTGCTCTGACTCTTAATTCTGAGCCAGGGTTCTAGGTAGTAGGGAGTATGCACACTATGGAAAGGGTCCGAAGTACCGTACCATTAGCTTCGCAATGAAAGTACCGTATACCTGCAGCCTTGGGATGATGATATCAGGCATTAGGTACAACGTTTACGGAAAAGGAAGTGCAACCAATCTAGTTGGCAAGGGCAGGAATGCATGGTAGAGTCATTTGTTTGATCTGGATGGGACAGAATTCATGGATTAGATGGAAGAAGACCCAGATGGAAGAGAAGACTTACTCGTAAGTTGTCACTAACTATAGCTAATCTTGAACACACATTGACCAAAGAGCCATTGAATGAACCCCACGGTCTCCAAGACAATATCCCAAAGTAGAAAAGAGGATACCGGAACCAGAAAGCAAAACCAAGTCTCAGCCAATTTATTGGGGAAATCCCACAGTATCCAAATTAGGAATCATTTAAATAGATTCTTTGGAAATTTGTTCTAGAAACATGAAAATCTACGGGGTAGTACAGTGGATTAGAAATCTATCAAACTAATCTCTCAAACTACGGTACCTACTCTGTAGATAGTAAAAGAAAAAGTATCTAATCCAGATGCGTCAACCCATGACGGGGGGATTGGGACTGGGGGGGGACTGGAACTGATGGACTGGGACTGTAATTGTGGTTGTGGTTGTGACTGGGACATTTCATATTTGGTGTCGGTTTGACAGAGAGCGAGCAAACGAGAATATCAATCAAATCAATCAATCAATCAATCAATCAAATCAAATCAAATCAAATCAAATCAAATCAAATCAAATCATGTTGGATCCATGTTGGATCTTCAATGTCCAATAACCTTCAATCATCTCTGACAAAATTGTGGTTGATCGATTGATGTTTCGCATTTTGGATTTCTAGACCCTTCATCCCTTCATCCATTCGTTTCCTTGTCGCGTTCCAGGTTTCTTGTCAAGGGTTGATTACTTTGTGTTCTCTGTACGGTTCCCATTCTGAGGGTCCACAGTGCGTCTATAGTACCGCTGGTCCGCATTGATGAACATGAAGCCATCCGATCTGGCCCTCTATGGAAAATCCATGGATTCTTTTCTTGTCGGTCGGGGGGTTTCTTTGCTTTTGCGGCAGTACTCATGCCATACCTCCTTGTATCCTCCGACACCGTCACCGACACCGAGGGAGATCGGGCAATTCTTACTCACATTCCATTGCTACTGTAACCTAACGTGTACCACACAACATTGCATACGAGTAGCATCACATCGCATTGCATGGCATAGCAAAGCATAGCCTAATGTTAGACAAAGCAATCCGATCTCCTTCCCGCCTTATGGCCCTCTGGTGCTCCGTGGGGGCGGGCTGTCAATGAGATTTCCCAAGTATCACGACCTGTCAGTAGTCAGTCAGTCAGTCAGTTCAACCACCATCTGCTGTGCATATCCGTAAAACTACTTTTCTGTGTAGCCCCAACGTCAGCAAGCACCTCTCGCAGGCCACCTTGGAACGCATCGAAACAAAGGCACAGAAGAGAAAAGGAAGGTATCATGATTCATGACGATTACGCCCTCTCTCCCAGCTGCATCGCGTTTGGGGGGATTATTGTGATACACATTCATATTGGTGATCATACTGGCGATCCTCTCGGTGAGGAGGATGCCATGGCCTCCCTCGTATGCTAACTCATGAATCTGCACTTCGCATGCAACTGAACCAAGATTTGATATTCATTTCTTTTCCTCAACATTATCACCGCCGTGATGATACATGATACATGATACATGATACATGAAATTCTTGAGCCCCATCAGAAGTCCAGCAGTTCCTGAAAATCCAGAAAGGTTGCTCACCGAACAATGACACAGCATGTTTGATGCAGGCCGAAACAAAAACAATTGTAATCGCAAAACACAGCCTACCATGTTTCCCATCTACCAACATCACAATATGCAGTGCAGTGCTACCGTCGCGATGAGATAAATCCATACGGCTGGGCTGAACATGACAAGGTTTACCACGTTTTTACTCTCCTATGAGGATGGCATCGACGTCACACACCCTCATCCGTAAATTTCCCCTTTCTACAATGCGATTACTTTTTTGTTCCTGCATCAAATTGGCTTCCATCTAGAGTTCCCCGGCTAGATCAACGGCCAAATGGACAAATCCATCTTACTTACATGTCACATCTTACATCTTACATTTTGCGACACACACACAACCGATAACATACTCATACTCACCACGCTCACTCACTCACCCATCCACCCATCCACCCATCCACCACACTCGTTCTCCCAACTCAGTCTTACGTGATGCGATGCCATCGATGTATTTTGATAATCATGAACCAATGTCGGCACCACACCACCCAGAGCTGGATGACATGAGATTCTCTATTTCCAGATAGGAGAGATATTCAGCCAACATTCTCAATCTAAAAATTGAATTCTGGTACACTTTACTATAAAAGGGAAATATGCAATTTACTCTCAGGATATCCCCTGTCCGGCACCACAATCCGCGGCCAAAGCCCAAAGTAAGCAAGCCTTACAAGATAGAAGTTGGAATTTCGAACCAAACCCGGCTCCCTTCCTCTTCCATTCCGCGACCGTTGTATCCAATGTACTGGGTACTTGCTAAAGAAAGATACTGTGGGTTTTTGTACGGCACTCAAAACTTTAGTGTTGCACATCTTTCCTGCCATGTTTCTCTTTTTTTCTGTGTTTCTCGGCTTCTCTGCTTCTCTATTTCCTGTTTCCTGTTTCCTGTTTCTCTTTCTCCTTCTCCTTCTC